CTAGTAAAGAAGTTCTTATATTTAATTACTTTTATAAATACTTTATTTATAAATAATAGAGATTTTTTCTCCTAAATTAGATATATTCTAGTTCTAGTAAACAGAACTAGATATATTAATATTATTTACTAGTTCTTTACTAAATACAAGAGAGTTACTAGAAGTATTCTAGCTTTAGAACTTTATAATATGACTTATAGCTTTAATTTAAGTGCTTTAGTCAAATCTATAATTAATAAAGTACTAGAAATAGAACTATTACTAGTTATCTATATAAATTCAAAGTTATTATATAAATGCCTTATTAAATTAGGTACTATTTAAGAGAAATATCTAATAATTAATATAATATATCTTTACTAGATATATAAATAATAAGAGATTATAGAAATTAAATAAATTAAGGGAAAATTAAATCCTACTAATTCTATAACGAAATTAAAGCTAATAAATACCCTCAAGTATCTAATTAATATAAATACTATATAATTAGATATAGAAAAATAGGTCAAGTATAAATAGGGCAGAAAATAGATATATAAGATAAAAGAATATTATAGAAAAAGAAGTTATATATAAAAGGCTATAGCCTTTAGTATATAACTAAAACCTCAGAAGTAATATAGATATATAAAGCATTTGGGAAATCTGGTACTAGGCCGGATTAGGGAATTTATATGTAATTAAAGGAGAAATACTATTTTTCACGTTTTTTTAGAGAGTTTCTAATATTAATATAGCTATTTCCTTAGGAGTTATATATATAATTACGGGATATGAGATATAAGTAATATAATATGGGATATAGGATATAGTTATATAACCTCGTATCCTATAAGTAACTCGACTAGTAAACTAGACCCCTTTAGGCTTAGTAGATTTAGGGATTATATATTAATACTATAATACTATAATTCCTATTTCTAAATAATAATAACTTTACTAACTAATATAACTAGTATTTCTATACCTATATAATAGTATTATATATTACTAGTAAACTAATAATTAGTATCTAATACTTTTAGTTCTCTTTAGGCCTTTAATCTAAATCTTATAATTATATAATTTATAGAAAGAAAAAGTATTAGATTTCTTTTTAGAGAAAATAAAAACATATTTCTTAAATTCCGGAAGTAATATTTTCTAAAGCTATTAAAGCTTTATTTCTTCTAGTTATTAATTCTCTAAGCTAGAGATAGCTTTTCTTTTTCGAGCTTTAAGCTTTTTATTAATCTTATAGATAGAGATTTAACTAAAAATATTATCTTTTCTCTTAATTATATAATTAAATACTATAGAAATAAGAATAGCTAAATCTAATATTTGCTTTTTATTAAGGACTTTATTTTACTTCTTTAGCTTTTACTTGAGTATTATATCTTAATTAGGCTATAAAAGCTTCTTTTTTATAGTTTTATATAATTTTCTCTAATTAGTCTAAAAGAAGAAAGACTACTTAAGAATAGAAGGTTTCTAGAAATAGCTTATAATAGAATCTCATTAATTAGTATCTTTTTAATATTTCTTATTAGATTATTTCTCTAACTATTACTAAGAAATATTAATAATATAACCGAATTATATAAATTTGGGCTTATTCTTTAGCTATATAAGCCTATATCTTTTATAATTAACTAGAATATTAATATATATAGCCTATTTCTTACTAATAATAATATTATAATCTCTAAGATTTAGAATAATTATAAGTATATTAATACTTTATCTATTAATTAGAAATAAGACTTCTATATATTTCTTAGTAAATTCTATTAGCTTTCTATTAAAACCGCATATAGTATAAGGTAAGAGAAGAGATTATTATTATAAAACCGGGTTTCTGGACTTGGAAAGCAAGATAGAATAGCTCTTAATTCGAGGATTCTAAACTAAGGAAAGAAGCTTATAAATACGGGAGCTTGGTATTCTAAATACTAGCCAGCCATATGCATTATTGCGATCACGTGACGCTAAATTTACTAGTAAAGTGGCAGAGTATAATAATTATAGTTTCATTCCTAAGAATTACTCTATAAGCTAAGTAAGCTTTATATTAATAAAAGTATAACTATTAGCTCTAGTATTAAAAAGAAAAGAAAACTTAATTCCTAATTCATTTATACTAATAATATAAGATATTATAAAAGTATTTCCTTTTATTAGACAAGTCAAGTTAATCTCTATTAAATCCATATTATAAGCCCCTAAAATAAAGACTTTCTTTAAAAGTACTTATTTTCCGGTTTTATACTAGAATTAGAGCTTGAATTCTCCAAATACTTTACTAGAATAGGAACTAGATATTCTAATAGAATAGAAACTAAGCCTGGTTTAATTCTAGAAAGAGTTCCCTTAGTTTCCTTATTATATCTAACCAGATAGTATTTAATATAGTAATTAAACTCGTTATAGTTATAGTACTTAATAGTTAAGAGATCTTTAGTCTTTATGAAATATTACTTGTATTTATAAGAGAGTATATACTTAATAAGAATAGTTAATATAGGCTCCTTGGGTTCCTTTTTAGAAATATATTCCTTAGGAATATAAGAGAATATAATATTAGAAGTAAACTTACTAGAATAGTTCCTGTTTTCTTATATTTTTTAGTCTTTTTATATATAGCCTTAATTTACTAATTATTAGTAGTATAATACTAAGTAAAGCAAGTAGTATTAATAGAAGAATTATTATAGTATATATATACTAATTCTTAAAGCTTTAGTAAGAGCTTCTTATTTAGTTTATATATAATATCTTAAAGACTAATATTGCCTTTTATAAATAGTTATAAGAAAAGAGTATAGAACTTCTGAAATACTTAACTAGAATATATTTAAAGCTTACTAAAGTCGTAGTAAGTATTCTATATCTTATTAGGGTTAGAGTATAGCTTCTTTAGATAGAAGTATAACTCTAAGAGCTAATAGTACTAATTCGAACTATCCTCGTCTATATAAGGGTTAGTTAGAGCAAGAGTATTACTAGTAAGTCTACTAGAAGTCACACAGAGTCGGTGAGACCACTTTGCCCTGGCTCTGAGCCTTGAATTTCTTTCCAACTTTCCGTTCTCTAATGAACTACTTAGCCACAATGAAATCGACCATTGGGAGCGAAAAAGAAATTGAATAATAAAATTCCCCAAGTTATAAATGATTCAATTGAAATGTGAAAAGATCCATGATCTGAGATCCCCTCGACTCATCCCATCCTAGACACTTCAAAATCGTCAAATAAGGGCTCGAATTACGATTCAAAAGGTGCAACAATTTTGATTAAAAGAGCCGCGCAATGGAACTCGTATAAATATAAGACATTGAACTGCAGAGAATGGTTGGACTCTTGAAGTGTTCCAGGGGACAGTGAAAAAGTCCAGCTCATGTGAGGCAGGCAAGCCCCTAGAAACCAAAGGGTGGAGGTTGACAAGAGAATAATGGGTGATACAAAAGAAGGAAAGGAATTTCGGTTGAATTGGGGTAGTCTACGTTTGAAGATAATTAATATACATTATTATAAGTCTTGGTGTCTACTTATCCCTCGGTACACTAAAGTTTCGCTCGTCAACAAAAGGTAGCTAAATATTCTTCATTCAATCGTCTCACTGCATCTCCTGATTAAAATCCAGATACATAGCATTGCTCGCTATTGGGTTTTGTTTCGCCGCTTCGAGGGAGGTCGAAAGGTCAATTGGCGCATCTGGTTGATCATATAGTCTGTTGGATCGCGCCAAGTTGCCGTTTGGTTCATTCGATCTGTTAAGTCCTCTTCCATGAATTGTTTTGCCAAAGCCACAGTAGCCTTGTAGTATGCACCTCTATAACTGGTAGGAGTGTAGTTGGCATAAGAAGTGAAAGATAGTCGGCAGCATATTGGAAGCCACCCATCGCGCACAGATACCTACAGATATGAGGGATAATAGAACAGAAGGCGCAAATTTCCAGCCGGAAATTACTTGGTTAGTACTTTCGAAAGAGCTGATAACTGCTGCGAGTGTACCTGATAATTGTTATTGCTAACTCCTTGAGTATTAAGATATACATACGGCGTACAGTCACGAGCAATGCCGTGATGCCGAGAACTGGAAAGCGGATCTAAATCTAGGACGCCATGAGCGATGATCTTGGACTCGCCTGGTTCGATCGATGGAGCCTGGATAGTGTAGTGCATCGATATGCGAGGATGGAAGTTGACCTAAAGGTATAGATGTGTCTTCGCCCACATTGCTGACAATTGTTATGACTGGAACACTGGTCTGGAGGCGGAGATAGAAGCAAGAGACAGCCTTTGCCGTAGGAACAAGTATATAAAGCCTTTTTCTAGATTAGAAGTCGCTATTATCTTTGTGCCTCGAAGGGTGATTTGCATTTAAAGCGCGGTGTTTGGCTTGCTTCAACTGACCAACAAAAACTTCCTGCACTCAAATGGTTCAGGTGTCAAAGAACAATTCAGCCAGACTTTACTCTCGTTCTATCTTCTCTAACTCTTCAACCCTCTAACAAATAGAGCCTCAAAATGGTTGCACAAGGGCATTCGTTCCTTGACCCTGCGAACGGAGTTTCCTTCCCCTTTACCCCGCTCCCCTCCCAAACCAAGGGATCTGCGGGGTACAAGGATGCGATTGGACTCCCTAAATAGCCGTGCCTCAACCCCACCAATGACCACCCCTCGCAGCTGCAGGGACGGAGGCACACATCCAATTACCCGCTCGCCTTCATGAGAGGGATTCATGCGGAAATGGGCTGTTGTTTGGCAAGCGAGGGGGTCGGGCTCTGGCTTGTGAGATGTGAGAAGGTAGTTTCGACGTCTCGTCTCGTCTTCGCGTCTTCTTCATCACTCTTCCATCGTAAACATCAAGACCGTCATCATCTGCAGGTCGGAAGATATCAGTCCTCACTCCACCGGTCGAGTCCACCTCTCTCGACCTCAGTGCTCCCTTCTCGAGACTCGACCCCGCAACGAAGAACCCTGGCCCCGTAATCTCCACTCCAAACACGACGATGTCTCCCATCATTCGAAGCCCAGTGCTCTCCGCACTCGCACGAACCAAGTTCCAACGACCTGCTATCCAGCAATTCAGGACATATGCTGCTGTGCGCTCGGCGAGCGCTGGTGCTGCTGAGGGCCAGGCGGCTTGGGCTGCGCAGTGGAAGAAAGTGGGTGGGAGTGCTATGATGTGAGTCTTCCATTGTACCGGTTTTTGTCGAGAAAGAGGAGGTGAGGGAGGGAAGGAGAGAGGCAGCGTAGAGAAGAGGGGCTAATGTGCATATTTGGCAGGTACTTCCCCGTCGTGGCCGTTGTCATGTTTTGGCCGTATGCCGTGCCGCCGATTATGGAGCTGGTTGAGGACAAATGGTGACGGAGTCTCCCATTGATGTTGCAAAGACAGATTAGATGGACTGGAGAAAGGAAATATGGCAGGATGCGGATCGGTGCGGAGGTCAGAAACGAAAGAACATTCATTATCCAGCAATGAAATGTGACTTGGTTAAAGAGAACACCATCTCGAGGCAAGTGAAATGAGTTATTCATGTGGGTATCTCTCTCTGGCTCATATACTTCCAACTTCACATCCGTCTGGGAATTCCTCCACGGTGCCAAGTGGCTCTAAAATGACATTTGAAGCGAAGTATCTCATTAAACCCAATATAACAATCCATCCTCTTCGGAAATCCAAACACCATCATATATCCATCTATTTCGGCAATGCAGGCAACGGAATATAAGTATCCGGTCTATTGGCCTCTGCCGTCAATCGCACCGCAGTATACCTCGCCTCAATAGCGCGAACCGTCTCCCAAACATCCAACCTCTTCGGCCCCTGCACGCCCTCCACGCGTCCACTAACAGCCATCTCAATCTCCCTCTCCTTCTCCTCAATATACTCCCTCAACTCCCGCCACCCATTCCAATCTTGCCGAATCCTGTTCGGCAATCCTTGGGACTTCAGTACAGCAAGCAGAGAAGCAAGCGCCGTGTTCGCGGCCCCGAAAACGGTAATCAGAACATGAGACGAATTCCCTGCCCCGAAAGCAGTGACGGATGCACCGACGATAATCTGCAGGAACATAGCGGCGGTCACGCTGAAGTCGCAGAATATGTACTTCCAGCGAGCGGTACGCTCACATGACAGCACTTGGCTGTAAACACCCTTGTTCTTTGCCGTGAGCTTGGGCTTGTCGGGTGGTGGGGGAGGATTCGGGTTCTTCTTGGTGGGCTTCACGGGTTTCGGGGGCTTTGGGGGCGGGATCCCGAGCGCGGAGTGGAAGATTTGAAGGGGGGTCTGGGCTGGTGGGTCATCGTGGGATGGCTCGATTGTGACGGCATAGTCATGGGACTTTTCGTCTGGAAAAGTTGAGGTTTGCGTCGGTTGGTGCGTTGGTGGTGGAGGGCTTCGAGGACTTGTTGGCATGGGAGAATGAGCTGGTGCTGAATGAATCTCAGTGATCGTACTCTGGCCTGGAGCTTTGGACGATGTTGGTGAAACCATTTTGAGTTCGTGCTGTCTTTCGATTTCCCAAGGGTAAAATTGGAAGAAAAACGCGCATCGGGGGGGTTCTGCTTGATAATAAGCGTACGAAGGAAAGACAGATGATCTGCAATACTTTTGCCCATCAGATAGTGGCGTACAATAAATTGCAGCCATGCCTCGGAATTGCTTGCGTGTGGATGTCGTGTCAGCCTCGTGAGTCCTCAAGTGGTTTTGACTTGCTTTTTCGGAAGTAAGCGAAATGCATGTCCCGCAAATGGCTTGCACGCATCCAGCTGATTGTCCCGAACTGGCAGAGGCGCTGAACGAACCGAGAAATGATTTGCAATTGACGTGGCGGAATTATTGAGATTGTTGATCAATTGAGACCCGTCAGCAAATCCGCGCTCTCGTATGGTATCTCCGGGACTTGCCTGTGTCACCTGGTTGCCGGGGACGCAATTGTCGTAGCCGGTGACAGGTTGTGCTCCAATCGTAGTGCAGTCGTGTGTTACTTGACATCAACCTAACTCGTAATGGCTGAGCACAAATGTAGTGGCTTAATGTCGTGGGAGACCAGTGGAGATATCCCAGACAATTGGATGTGTTCCGAGTTCTGTACGAGCCCAACCTGAATCTCAGTAGGTGAAGGCTCAAGGTGCGTGGGCCAAATATTCGGTCTGCGTGATCGAGTAAGGCTTGTCTGGTTCTAGAAACTGGTTTGATGCGAGATGAGAGCCAGTATTCTTCATTCGGAAAATTCGACGCTGTCGTCAGCCGCAACATCACCCCCTAGAAGCAGGACCATGCTCTCCATTTCATCAAGCCTTTTCGATAGCTTCTTGTTCGTCTTTTCAGATCCTCGCAGTTTCTGCTCATACAACGCCACTTCGGTATCGATTTCATGTTCGATTTGTATTTCGATTGATTCTTTCAACCTGACCTTCTCAGAGCGGATCAACTTGAGGACCTCAGCACTGAGACTTGACTTTCTTTCATTTCTCAGAATTATTGCGTCTTCGAGTTGCGGAGGAGGCGAATCCCCGCGTGACGGTCGTGATCTAGATCCCGATGCAACACCCAAAACATGCCCGCCGGTATCAGGAGTTGGCAAGGACTCTCCAGCGCTCTTCGATTTATCAGTCTGACCTGGGGTGGCAAACCTTGTGGTTTTGGCGGCCTTCCTTGAAGGGTCAGCATCTTCGAAATCTGATAGTTCAGCCACCTCGACGTTCTGGTCCGATGGTCCGCCAGTTTCGTCCTCGTCTGACACCTCTCGCGATTTTGGCTTTCTCTTCGTAATGGATTTCGTCCATGGATTTCCCAGGTCTTTGGGGGCTTCTTCGGATACCTTTTCAATTACCTTCGGGGTCTCGGGTGCAGGTGGTGGTGGTGAGCCATGTTTTATATGCCACTCTTTTGCTTCTTTCTCGTCCTCCACCCACAAGAAGAAGTTGCATTTGTGAGCTACAGGCTTGGGGCACGTCCAAACTTTGCGATCGATTAGGTCTCTAAAGAATGAAGGCAAGTAGCATTGACATACATTTGTCTCCATAGCTGGTTTTAGTTTTGTCCTTGACCGTCAGGCAATTTGCCTTTCTGTCGCAGTCACAATACCACTTCCCGTCTTGAAGCCGCCCGCCCCAGTTTTTCGTCTGTTCAGGAGTCTCAACCTCGGATTCCCTCTCCTTCCCCTTTCCCTTATCATTTGCGGTCGTCATAACAGTCAAAAAGCTGGGAATCTTCGCTGCAGGTGTCGCTTGCTCTCGATCGCGATGAGTGATTTTCGTGGCAAGGTGGGTGCAAGACTTCGCCCTCGTGCTGGTGAGCCCTTCAATTGCCACTCCGTGTGTCCTTAGTGCTTAGCTCAAATGGGCGAACGTAAGTGAAGTGATGAGCCCAGCTCGCAATTGATGTAGAACGGGGACAGGGTTGCAGGATTGTGGAATGATGGAGAAGCTGATGGAGCATGAAATGCGAGGCTGACGATCATCTTGAGCCCGGCCACCGCCATTTCCATACCCCTGTCCCCGGCTCGAGGTGTGTAGTTTTCTCAACAGTCTCAAAAAATGAATTGAACTCTATCATGAAATTTCCTCTTTAGATGAAAACGGAACGAGAAAAGAAACAGAGGTCTTTAAGAAAGAAAGGGATGAAGGATCGACAGATTGATGGATTGATCTTCGCCTGCTCGGTCAGCTTAAATTTTGCGGGTCGGCCCCTGAGTTTTTAGCGAGTATCCTGGCCCACTATTCTAAACGATCAACTGGTTCAATTGAGTTACGCCTTGAGACTTGTAAAAGTCCAGAGACAGGCAGGTTAAAGATCTGTTTCGAAAAGAGTTCCATGAGCACTATATAGATCACCAATCAAGATCGACCTTCAAGCAATCAAGCGAGAAGCCCTTTGGTTGCGAGGAGCGGTATATTTTCAAACCCTTGAAGGAAAAAAGAGCCAGTGGATATAGGCCTTTTGGAAGCGCTCACGTCACTGAGAGGAAACACTTCACACGTGAACGGGTCACGTGCAGGCGGATCACCTCACCAGCAAAAAAACAAAAAAAAAATTGCTCGAAAATAGAGCTTCTTGATACTTACCGTTGCTCAGTCTATACTTAGCTCTACTGCTCCCAATGGACACCCCGGGAGTCAACTCTTTCAACTCCCCTGGAGTTTCTTCGGAGCGGAGACGCTAAATCTTGCGGGGTGCATAACCTCAAAGCTTGTCTTTCGGTTGGCTTCAGCCCCGACATAAACCCCCCCTTTTCTGTACGATCGTGCCACAGTCGGGTAAAATGTTCCTCCGTGAGGCCCCAAAACTCTCTTATCGTGGAGCACTTGCCAATCGCTTCAGGATTAAGTCGAGAAGCGAAATGCTTATTGAACACTCAAACACCAAAGACACCAATCATTGAAATGTGGCGTCTATGGGCACGCGAAGGATTGGAACCCCTGAGGAGGAATATTTAGGCCGCAATCCTGGCACACCGTTTTGAATCTGCTAACCTCCTAAAACGGAGCCCTATTAGGAAGGCGTAATAATGCAAGACTTCTGTACAAGATTACAGGGCCTAGGCCCAATCGAACCCTGTGAAAGCAAATTACGTAGCATTTGGTACCTTAGGTTTGCCAGAGAGTAGGAAACTCTATTTTCTAGTAGGTGCACGTGTATTACCGAAATTGTCACCTAAGGAGTCAAGCGAGGCTGGCGAAGCGAGATAACTAGCTGTGCCTTACAATTGAGATTTGCACTCTTCCAGGGTCCTCATTGAGGAAATACGCAGTATGGAAAAAACCGTAACCCCTGTCGCTGGCCTACATGTCTCTGGTAATTCGAAACTCGTTCTCGAAAAGAGGTAACCGAATCACCGAAAAAGGAAACGTTTTTGCTGCTCCTCGGACATCGGCACGGATGTTCTTTACGCCGCATCTTACTTATTCAACATTCCTCCGGCCTCCACGCCGATCCTGCCAATTTTAGTATATGCTGCATTTAATCAAATAAGCATAAGTTCAGCCCGTTTGCTTGGTGAACCAATCGTGTAACAATATCGCATGACATTCTGCGTCCTGTGTCCGCTTAGCGCCCCTTTGTGGAGATGAGTGGAGGATGAGAACCGTTGGAGGCTTGATTTTCGAGACCTGTCTTTCACAGATGCGTTTGCGGGGGACCCTGGTTGGCAGGTTACTCCGTGATCAGCTTTCCATTTTTGGATAGCAGGAGAGGAATAAATAGGGAGGGACTCCTTTCCTTTTCCTGTTGTTGAAAAAGACCTTTCCACTTCCCAAAGGGCGCCATAGCCAAGGTTGGTTTCTTCCTCCTTCCCCTTTTTCAAGATTTCTTTTTTCCTTGGGAATATCAATAAAAGTAACCACAGTACAGATACACAGGCCTCCCCTTGTCGAAGCCTCTGCACAAACCCCAACTATCTTCCAAACTCATCATCATGAAGACCACCCTCTTCCTCCTCGTCCCTCTCCTCTCTCTCACTCTCGCCCAAACTACGACGACACCTCCCTGCGTCGCTTCCTGCGAAAAAACATCCGCCGCCTCGTCAACCTGTAACGGCAACGAGACCGGCGCCGCCCTTGACCAGTGCACCTGCGACTCGCTGATTGGTACCAGCCTAATTACCTGCATCCAAGCGTGCCCCTCTTCCGAAATCTCTGTCTTCGCGGCCGGTGTGCCGGCTCTATGTAGAGGGACTTTGTTCCCCGGTGTGACTGTGAGTTCGTCGAGCGATGGGGCTGCTCCAACAACGAGTTCGGGGGGGAGTGGCAGTGGGGCGACGACTACGAGTAGTGGGTGAGTTTTCTGGTCGATAGGGGGTGATGTGGGAAGGAGGGCAGTGCTAACGAACTAAAGGTCCCCTTCATCCACAGCAAGTCCGTCATCATCTTCAACTGCCAAGTCAGGAGGCGGAACAGGTGCCGCTGTGCAGGGCAAGGTGTTGGATATTTCCTTAGTGGCTGCATTCATGGGTGGAGTGTTCACTCTGCTGATGTTGTAAGCCATTTCGAGGGGGAATAAGGGAAGCGTAGGTTGGAAACAAACGAGTGTTGGTGTTAGGGACAGGAAGTGGGTGTTGTGAGAGGCCATTTTGCGAGCATATAAGTAGTAAAATACATTTGTACTTTTGGGGAATAGATGATTGCGTACCTGGAAACTGCCTGGAAACAGTATCAGTGTTGCTCTCGCTCAACCTGGCAGAGGCCCGGCCTCGAGGCCCTCTAAATATTTCACGCCTCAGCGGCATCATCGCCATGGAACAACAGATACTGAGAATGAAACAATGTCCCTACATCTCAACTTACTAGGTCAAGATCTTCGGTGCAATTTTCTTACATTCGTGGAAATGGATAATATATACACCATGCAAAGGCTTCCCTTTCGGGCCTCTCCCTTCTCTGCCCGCTCACTCGGCAGGTATTCCCTTTCGACCCGAGCCTCGACTATATATACAACAACGCGTCAGAACATATCCCAAGCTTGGCCCACGTTTTCCTTGCGCAGTATAGCGTGAAGCTTTCCAGAAAAGCCGCGAGCTGACCAAGATCTCCAAAGCCTGTTCCAACTTCCCAGGTGGCGCTTAAGTCCACCCTGACGCCCTTCATAGCTTTTGTCAGACTCGAAGGAGAGACTCTCTCCATTCTCTTTTTAGATCATTCTCGATCATAATTTCCTCCTCCGTACCGAGATGGTTTTCTTCATGGGCGGGATGATCGAGCCAGCAATGAATGAATTCGGAGGACGGATCGTGAGAGGTTTGACATCATAGTTCATCATGATGTACGCAACCAGTAACTTCATCTCCGTTGCGGCGAAAAAGCGTCCGGGACAGGCGTGGCGGCCGTGGCCGAAGGATCTGTCGAGAATTAACACTTGACTTTCAAGTTATTGTCTCATGACAACAGGTGGCTATAATAGCAACACGAAGGTTGGGGGTGCAAACAGGAAAGTGTCCGAAGTTGTAACGGTCGCTAAATTCTTTGACTCAAGTAACTTAGCGAGACCCTCCTTTTTCATAGAATACTGCATCTTGTCGCCATTTCCTTCTATTCTTGCCTTTCCCGCAGCAGTGGAAATTTCTCTAGGCCGAGAAAACCGAAAGGCGTCATATGTAATAGCATTCTCATAAATGCTATCATCGTGGTGTATCGAGTATGTGGAAGTTCCCAGCCTGGTTCCCTGGGGTAAATGGAGTCCGTTGCTCATGGTAGCTCCGTGCGGATCAACCACAACCCTATCCATCCCTGTACACATGAATGATGATATCCGCAAGCTTTCTCTTACTGCGCTGTCGGTCTTGATCAATTTGGCAATTGTGTTCTTGTCCCATTTACCGCCACTCTCTGACAACGCCTGTTCAACCTCCTCTCGAATTTCCTTGACGTATGTGTCAGCCATTGGGGAAGCGTAGATATCGAAGAGGATATTTGTAGCTGTAAAAGTTGAAGTATGAATTGCCGCGAAGTTGAGGGTCATTATCCGCTTGGCGATCTTCGGAGGTGTGTTTTCAATCCCGTCCAGCTCAACTTCCTTGATATGCCAGGTTGTGTAATCATTCAAGTCGGGTCGGGGGATCCCAGTCTTTTCGGCCTCCTTTAGATCTTTCATTCGTTGTTGGATGAAGGGGATTAGATATTTTGACGCTTTGTATAAGTGGAATCTATTGGGCAGGACGAATATCCAGGCTACCAATGGTTGAAACATTGCAGGGACGAGCTTGAGTAGTGTGCCGCTGAGGGCAACGGCTCCAGCAAAGCCTTCGGCAGAGTCAAGATATTCATCATTCCGGCCTGCATTTGTTAGCCACATGTAGCTCTTTGGGGTATCATAATTCCTCACACAGAGACAGGCCAACGAAGATCCTGTTTGATGACCTGGAGACCACCTTACCCATTGTCTCAAACACCCCAACCTCCTTCCAATTGTCTGTGTCCTTTCCCCAGTAATGTGCCACTCCAACCGCAAGCTCTTCTTCAATTTCTTCAACCAATGAACCAAGGGAACGTGTCAAATTCCGTCGAACTATGACCTCTTGTATTGGATTCCTAGCCATGGTGGGGTCGAGGAGAACATAGTCCGTCAAGAGAGAGTTACGCTGCGCCAGCTGGGCACTCAACACACTGTCTGCTTGGTCTGCAATCCACTTGACCTGCGACCCTGGGAGAATAACCATCGATTTGTCGGATCTCGGGAGGATAAAAGAGATCTCTGAAGCTGAATACTATCATCCAGAGTAAGCCCCGCGATCAACAATTGAGTGGAGTACGAACCTTCCGATACCCCGCCTCCATTGTTGCCAGCACTCCGGTTCCAAGACTGCCAATACGCGTTCGCGGACCTGCGAAGATTCCCGACTTCAAGCCCACCCATGGCAGCGAGTCCACGTCCACATCCGACTTAACAGTGAGCTGGGCCGTGTATCCCACCGCGATCAAAATTGCCAACCCCGCCAGCACAACAGACAGCTGGTCGAACACCATGACGGAAAGTTAATCATAAAGTTAAAAGAAGAGTGATCGAATGAGCATGGTTTCGACATTGGAATTGGCCTGGGCGGGGTGGGCGTGGAACAAATAGAAGGCGTTTCAGGACGGTTCCATGACCTGGGCCGTCCTCCTGGCAGATTTGCACTGGGAGCTTCACGAGCTCCAGCGGCCCCACGCCCGGATCAGCCTGGTGCCGGGCCACTGAGCGCCACCATCCGAGATCTTTGGGGAGTAATTGGTCAAAGGCGCTGGAAACGTGCCGAGGAGGCAACCTCCCGGTGTCAGTGACGGTGCTGTAGTGTAGTGCTTCCAAATCGTCTCGGCCTGGCAAGATCCGGCGCTCGGGCGCGGAGTTGGGCACAAAGGAGAAGAACATAACGGGAGGTCGAATGAAATAGAAACTAGAGAAGGAACAACAATAAGGCTTCTTCATAATGAGAACTGCACACACAGTCGTGTGAAATTGGAACGTTGATGACTCCTAGTGAGGTGTGTCATGGGAAATAGAAATTAAGGCACTGTTGGACGTTCCCATTCACAATCGCACCAGCCTCCAGTAAGCGACTTACCTCGGGCGCCCATCTTGAGAGACGGCGGGCGCTGCGCTCCGGAAAGTGCATCAAAGGAATCGTGCGGCTCCAGTCATGATCGTCGGTTTAGATTAGTGGGAGAGCAGAGGTGGAGGTGGAGCCAGCCTCTTTTCTCTACATAAGCGACCCGGCATTGCTACCAGGCAGGTGACCTTTCCTGCTCCACTTTCTTGACGTTCACTGAGACTTCTTCATTTTCAAAGCTCATTTTACTTCCCTTGCCCTTGAAACTGCCAGCGAGTGTTCATGCAGGAGATCTTCCCTCGCCCTAACTGGCGTCTTAACTTCGCCTGTCTAAGACAAAGTCACAAAGAGTTCAGTTCGTCTTATTTCACAGCCCACAAAAAATCGAACCCCTTGCAAGTACATGATGTTATTCACGAAAACCGGAACTATAAAGTGCATGGCTCAGTGTTCATGACTGGGTTCGGCTGGAAGGACTCATTGCGATCGTGGAGCTACCATTTCGTCTCAAGGCTGGTATGCAAGGAACTTGGCCCCCGGGAGGTGGAGTTCAAGAGAGGAGAGAATTGTGTGATGTGGACCGAGTTCCGGAGGAGCCGAGGAGGAAGTCCAAAGGGGTGACTGTGAAAACACATTTCCTTGGGGAGGCTGGGGCGACGGATGAGGAAGGATATCAAGGATTTAGGCCAGGCCAAGTGTTGAGATTCAGACGAGAAAACACGATAGAAGCTCAGCAAGTTCTCTGAACCACATCTGCAAACAGAACTCATCATCTAGCAACACCGATAAACTGAAAATCTCGGCAGTAGCCTAGATTCTTCTAGAAACAAAAGAAGCAACGTTCAGCACATCTGCCAGTAGTAAATTACCTCACTTAATATAATTACCTCCCCAACCAGCCGCGTGTGAGGCCTCTCTCTCTTCCTCTCTGCCAACCTATAAACTGCCATCAAAATCCCACACCTTCTGCCTCACCTCATGCCAAGGTTCTCACCACCACATCAATTCCTCACCATGAAATCAAGACTTCTCGCCCTGCTCTTCGCTGCCGTTGTGGGAATCGCAGCTGGGCCACTGCCAAATGTCTTCGCACAGGGTTATTCTCAGCATATACAGCTCCTCAATGCATATCCTATGGACTACCCGATTTGGTACGCGCGGATGATGGAGAAAAAGAGGGAGTCAAGGGTACATATTTACCACGCGTCAAACGCAGAAATTGAGAGAAGATCAACTGCGAAAGTAACAGCACTTAGCAATTGCAGCTAAGATTAAGAAAGGCACCTGCTACAACGAGATTGATTTTTCGGTCATCTTGATGGCGGATTTTCGATGCGTATGATGTGAGAGCGCAGCTCAATAATCCCGTGCCGCCGAAGAATTATGTGGCGTATTTGCAAGATAAGACGGTGATGAAGGAGATTGGCGCACAGGGGGAATATCAGGGGTGTAATGCGGGAATATATGCCCTATTTCAAGCCATAGGGGGCATTTATGTTCCTTTGCCATCAATTGTTCACTTGGGTGTTGATGTGAGGTAGATTTTAACTCGTTCCTGCCGACATTGTCCAAGGTGGTGCACTCTGGGATCCAAACGCTGATCTAGGCTAGTGATGAGGATTAGAAATGCAACTGGTTCGGCGGTCTAGAGTCCGCTGAGTCCTGGATGTATTCGCATTCGGCGGCTTTCAAGAAGAAGACGGTGGGTAATTATACTGTAAATGGCGTTGCGGCAGGGAAGTTCAAGACGGAGGGGGATTTGAGCTGGGTGGGGGTCTTTGGTGCTGGCCACAGGGTATGTGCAATCTGAGGATGGTCTCTTGGTGTCGAGGGCAGGCTATCCCTGCGAGATATTATCTTAAATCCTATTGTTCTTCATTAGGCAAAGTTGCATTTTGTTTTCTGGAGGTTCCATACTATCAGCCTGCGATGGCTTTGCAGGCGTTCGGGCAGACGATGCAGTAAAAACCGATTTCGCGCACGTAGACCATGAACCGGGGGAAGGATGGAATTTTTGAATGAGATTCTGGTAACAGGAATCTATTTGCATATGATGAGAAGCTTTCAAGTCCAGAGCAGCCTAGAATACGTAACACATCATGAAATGTCCATATGCAAAGAATTTGAGAACCCTGGTCAAGACCTAGGTATTCATTATTAGCATTGGATCGAGCCAGAAACCAGGAGAGGGTTACTGACTCTCAACGATTTAGTCTGCTTTTGGAGTATGCCAACTGATATGAGCTGTATTCACCCTCTGATCCGAGACAACTCCTCTCTTGACGACCACACTTATCCACCACTTCCCGACTGGGTGTTGCCAGTAAAGTCGCTCAACAAAACTACCGAACCAGACCTTTTCAACGTTGCTGCTGGTGTGAGCTAATGATGAGAGCAAGAGAGACAACTTTTCCTTTTCAGATAGGTTGCTCCATCTTGGACTGATCTCCGTGCAATCTGGAACAGTGTGTCAAAGAACTACTCATGCTACTCATACTACTCATGAATATTCATGAGTAGCGTGAGTAGAATATGAGTAGCGTAATGTCCTAAAAATTTGAGTAGAGTAGAGTATATACTCATGAGTAGTATGAGTAGTAATGAGTAGCCGTCACGTGACAATAATAAACTAAGGTTAATTAAATAATAATTAAATAATAAAGATATTTATTAAATAGCCCCAGTAAAGGTAAGCTAGGGCTTATATAAGACCAGCTAAATATTAATTTTCTATAATAATAAACTAGTTATTCTTCTTAGAATCTTGATTTCCCCTGACCTTTGGCTCGCTTACTAAGCAATGCCATTGCCTAATTGGGTAGAAACTTGGCGCTAGAGCGGCGCTAGATGAGAGGCTTACCTAATTGGGCTAGCCTGTCACGTGCAATCATCACGTGGGTACCTACTCACACTACTCATACTACTCATGAGTAGCTTGAGTAGAGTATGAGTAGAGTATGAGTAGCGCTATAATTGGTTGAGTAGAGTATGAGTAGGACCCACTACTCTACTCTACTCTACTCATTTGACACACTGATCTGGAATATGTTCGACAACACTCACTCTCAGTGATTCTTGCGTCCATAGGCCCGACCAAATTCTCCGTCTCTTCTGCCGCAGTATTAGGAAAAACCATTGAAGGGAGTTGGTTTCCCAGAAATGGAAAGTACTATATTTGAACATGTTGCTAGGATCACCTGACGTGGAGATGAAAGCGTCCCCAAAACGGTCCCAACCGTCAGGGACCGAATATTGGAGCTCAATTTCGCTTCCACTTTCTTTCAACCCGTGTACCGAGAGACAGCAACTTTGATAGGAAAGGGCATCTAACATGACTCGCTCCTGCTTGACAAATATATTCTCCTGCTTTAGCCAGTGGACCTCTGCCTAATACCAGAATCTCGTATCAGCGTTGACCTGAAGAGTAGGATTGGGTATGGGAACAAGGTCTAGTGAGTGAAGACATACTCAGGACAGAACATCGAGGGAGCAAAGAATTTGCAACAGCCGTAAGCTCCACATTAAACAACAAGAAATTGAAGACTTACTCTGCCCATACTCCCTAGCTTGTCACCCCGAATTCTTCTAAAGACGTCACTCTTCTCGGACTGTCTTTCAAGATAAATCCCCAAGAGCTTCATATCATCAACCATGGCATCATAGCAGTCAAGAACCGCGAGGCATAGTATAGATTTATCAAAGGTCTTCAGGCGGAGATGGAGATTTATTCCTTTGTTGGCGGAGGTGAAAGGACTGGCTGTTGTATTTTTGCATTGGACGATATTCCCCGAGTTCGTAAAACAAGCCGGTGTAGGCGCAAGGAGTCCGTGACCGAAATAGGACGTTTCAGTCCAGGCAAAAATAGAGTGGTCCAACGTGCTCTTCATAATTTCCTCTTGGAGTCTGCCGAATGCTTGGTCACCTTCCCCATAGAGCGTTGGCATATTAACGCCGAATATTCCCAGGAGACAGTAAGCGATGTCCTCTACCCTGGTCGTCACTCGTTCCGACGCCCAAGACATTTTCTGGGCGACGCTAAATTCTCCCATGTTGTTTGCATCTCGAAGGACTTCCCCATTAATCTTTGTAATATCGGTTATCACTGTTTCCAGGCTCTTCTTGGTTCCGAGATCGCCCCATTTGCTATCGAAGAATATGACGCCAGATGGTGCAATCAATTCCTGTAGCGTCCACCCGCGCGTAAACCATCTACTCTTTCTGATAGCGTCTTCGGTAGCTTTTGTTCCCAAATTAGTAGCAACATCTGGCAAGTAGACGTAACAGACGTCAGAAAGTCGATACCAGTTGTACATGGAATTGATGGCTTCTGAAAGCTCAGCACTGCTTGTCGATACAGCAGGTATCCACCCAAGCATATTGAAAGCCATCTGAAACTGCCATTTCACAGCACCCGCGTATTTTGTCATATCCTGCCTTGTTTTTGCCGCCACTAGAACGCAGCTCCTGGAAAGAAACTTCACCTTCGTCCCAAGTGTGCGATAGAATGGCTTAAGGAGGAATTTTGTTACCGAAGAACTCGTGTAGCTCGAGAGTCTTGGTGTGTAAGAGACGCATGATGGAAGTCGTTCCCCGAGCTAAAGGCCTCCGAAGTGAATCAGGTGATGGGGATCCAATGTAGGGGAAGAAGTTCAACGAGACCACAAGGCTGTGAGGACCAGGCTGCCCAGACGGACCAAAGTCTGCAAGGTGTTGACGTTCGAGGAGGGGGCGACTGGCCGCGGCGATCTAACGTGCCGAACGAAGACGGAGGGTAGATGGAAACCAAAATCACAAAGAGACGTATCGGGTAGAATGAAATGTTGAAGGTGGGAGTAAGATTACAAAGTAAGTAAGGCTGGGCTGTACCGAAATGTAGGCTATCGCTTGAACATCGAATCAAAAGCATCGGAGGCGCAACACATGATATTTAGATTGATTGATGAGGTTGCGCGAAACCAGGACCACATCCTCAAGTGAGGCCTGTCGAGGAAGGTGCCGAGTGGAAATTGTCATATCGATAGTGCTGGCAGCATCTTTCCCCAAGTCTCAAAGATTCCCAACAAGCCCTGTATCACGTGATCCGGCATTTCGGCCCAGCTGTATTGGAGCAGCCTCGGCAGCTGGGACAGTGTATCCGCATAATGCGAGCCTCCAAATGAACCGTTGCACACCCGGTACCTCGCAGTCGGGTCACAAGGCACGCCGTTTCTCATAGCCGCTCTTTTGGCCTCTTCGGCCCAAAAGATGTTATGGCAATCCACAACGACTCCGCTGTGGCCAAAACATGTCCATATTCGTCCCTGATCTCCGAATCCAAATAGAATTTCCTGCCCTTCAACTCGCGACTCTTCGCTATAACAAGAACCGTCTGCGGCGTCGTGATCGGACTCCGATATTGAATATTCATGTAAGCTGTTACGGCCGCTGAGCTTAACGGTGCTCCAGACTCATGATCCTCATTGACCGTCATTAACGTGCCCACACAGTCATCCATCAATGTGGCCACGATGCCGCCATGGAGCATGTAAGGTGCGCCGTTCATGCCAGTTCCGAGCGTCATTAAGCTGCGGACCTCGTCGATCCAAGCTTCGCCTTGCGGGGGCCGTTTGTAAACTGTGAGACAGGCCTGAATTGTTTCGTTCGTTTTGAGCGTCGTAGAGGTCAGAGAGTCCTCTGTGGCTTCTTTGGGTTGCCGAGAGAAGGTAGGTGTGGTGATGTAGTCCGGGTGTTTGATGATCTCGAGACACCACGGCATAGACTGAAAATGGGCTTGATCTGGTTCGGTCATCGTGCTAGGGGCCCTACAAATGTTGGCATGGGAATTGGGTGATTTGGAGATGTTTTGCAACAAGAGAAGACGACGGTTGTTGATGAGGGAAATGAGATTGAGCTTGTAGTGAGGTTTTATGTTCATAGGCGACCTCGGCTCGGGAAGCCCGCCAAAACCGGAAGGCTGAGTAAGTGGGGTTGGGTCCACTACAAGCAAGAAGCATATAAAAGAGGGGTTTAGGAGTTGCTTCCTTTTTGTTCACGACTTCAAATCTCCCCAAAGAATTGCAATAGGGATGAATAGCCGCTGGGGCAAAAGCCGCAGACTTAGAGATGCTTCCAACTACAGCGCTGGTTGATCGTTAGCAGCAGCTTGCGAATACCGGCACTCGATTTTACCTGCCTTAGGTTTTTGGGAGTTGGGGGTGCTGGAGCAAATGGAGCAGACTAGCGTCAATGGATGTTTAAGTTATTATAGAACGACTCAATATAACGCCGGTCGGTTCCATTCATCCTCGATGCTCATTCCATCTTTATCTGACTACTCGCAGGTAGGGCTCCTATCGAATCGAATCGAATTTAGATATAAGTTCGATTCGATCTAATCGAACTCCCGTGACTAAAAATCACGTGTTAATGTACAAAATAAGGGGCTTATACCTAGAATAGTAATATAAGCGAATTTACTAAAAGAATAATTACATACTAAACAAAACTCTCAATTTCGTAAATCTCTCTGCTGCCAAGACTACTAATTCCAGCCCTAATTACGGGCCCAACCAGTGCATGCAGGTACCTGATTGGCTCCTGAGATAAAGATATACTAATTAATAATAAAATGGCACCAAACCCCCTGAAATCCTCGTAGTCACGGGATATTACACCTGGGCAAGTTTGAATGGCCATAGAAATCACGTGTTTTGTACTCTAGACTATATCTGAATAGCCTCAATATCAATGGAAATATTATTAAGAAAAGACCTTAGCTTATATGCAGATAGCTTTAGGAATTGCTTAAAAATCACGTGGAGAATTCGATCGATCCATTGAATATTCGATCGAGTCTGCTAATTTGATTCGATATTAATCGAATCGAACTGATCGATGATTCGATAGGAGTCTTAGCCGCAGGGTCATTCTCCTCCCTCATATCCCACAATCGTCCTTCCATCCCTGCTGCAAGATCTCATGAAGGCACTGTATCGTCTTTGAACCGAATTACGAACTTTCCTATTGCCTAGAAAGCTCATTAGCCTTACTTTAGGTTCAAGGGCTTGAGGACATACCTTTCCCTGGATGATTTGCTCGCCGACTTCTGACAACTGATCCAGAGTTGTCATCTGCACCGTTGGCTTCACCAAACCCCGCTCAACAAACGAAATTGCCTCTTGTATGTCGAGTCTGGTACCGACAGCTGATCCGATGATCCTGATTCCCAAGTCTATGAACAGGAGGGGGTGGAAGTTCACCAGCTGCGAAGGAGGCGGAATGCCGATACAAACAAGCGTTCCGAACGGCCCAAGCATTCCAAGTGCATCTTGATATGCCTTTCCAGACCCAGCAGTCACAAGTACAGCTGCAGCACCTCGTCCGCTGGTCTTTTCGCGGACGACCGAAGCCACTTCAGCTGTTTGAGTTAAGTCGATGTACACCTCAGCTCCAAGACTTCGACAGTACTCTTCCTTCTCCTGCCCGGCATCAATTGCAATAGTTCGATATCCCATTGCTTTCGAGTACTGAATTCCCAATGCTCCAACTCCACCACCCGCTCCAGAAATGGCAATCCACTGATCAGGAGTTGCCCCACAGAGTTTTAGTCCCTTGTAGACCGTCACTCCACCACAGAGAATAGGAGCCAACATTTGGTCTCCAGGACCCTCGGCCAACGTCGTCAAGTATCTGTATGGAATAACTGTATACTCAGCAAAAGTCCCGTCAATTTTTCGCCCCGAATTCAGCTGCTCCAAACACCTCGTCTCCCCACCCTCGATCAGGCACATTGCGCAGGTACCACATATATCTCTTTGCCATGCAACGCCCACCCGTTGCCCGAGCTTCACTTGGGATTCCGAAAGTCCAGATCCAAGCTTGACAACTCGTCCAACTCCTTCATGGCCAAGAATTCGCCGAGTTGGTCCGAGTTCTCCTGAAGCAAGTGCAATGTCAGTCCCACAGACCCCGGTCACCGAAAGTTGGACCAGAACATCTTGTGGACCTGGCTCGGGAATTGAGACGGATTCTATCTCAAATTGAGCCTTGCTTCCGTTCTCTCTCTGTCGAACGCTCGTCAGAACTCGAACAGCACTGGTACTTTGTGCGGAAAGTTACATACCACCACAGCAGCTGTCTTGTGAGTACTGGGTAGCTCCATTGTGTGTCAAATGTTTATCTGAACTAGAAATTGTTCTTCGATTCTTCGTGTAAGTGTGAGTATGGAGCTTTGAACCGACTTCAATCTGTCCCATTCGATTTGAACTCGGACGAAAACTTCGGAAAAGTTTATCGGCGGAGTTGTCCCCGCCAACATACCCCAGACCTCGGCTGGCGCACTCCCCGTGGGGTCAAACGTCTCAGCTAAACGTCTCAGGAAAACCTTCACTCCAGCCACGTCGTATTCGCTCCCGAACAAGATACTTCCCGCTGGGCGTAATGGGCCCACAACATTTTCTGGAAGATTCTGCGCTAACAGGGAAAACCAGCCAATAGAACTCTTAGATTTTGCTGGAATAGTATCTCTTAAGGCTGGTAAGGTAAAGCAGATCTTTCATGTCTTGGAACTATTATGCCTGCTACGAAGTATAACGAGGTACATACTAGATCTGGAACTGGTGCTTACAGAGTACTGAGAGTAGAGATCTCAGCTTCAGCATCAAGCCTCTGGAGAAATTGTCGCCGAACAGGTGCCGGACAGAGTTCCGAAGTATGAAGTATGTCTCGGCAGGTACACCGGCTGTTTCAAACCGATCCTGCGAATGTTGAAACCAATCAAGTGCGATCGGGATCTTACAAAGTACTCAAAGTAAATATTCCAATGTGGGGTGGGTTTCCCCCTCGGTTGCTGGCGGGAAATCCCCCGCCCCTCCACATGCGAGTCAAGCCGAAATTGACAGGTGCGTAGCCTCCTCAGGACCGCATCGCACTTCTACAAACTTAGCCCCTCTGCCGTCATTGCTCTGACCTCCAAAACATACCAAGCAAAGTACAAAATATCTTACCCTCTCCACTTCCACGAGTTCAAACATTTCACAGTCGAAGCTTGAAGGCAGCAAGGACAAGATGAGTGACAAGGCGGCCACACTGGACTTTGAGAAGTTCCACAACACCATTGCGGGGAAGCCCCGCGACAGCCCCAAGGTCCACAACGGCGTGAACCCTTCCGATAAAACCAAGCTCTGGGACGTGCCCATTGCAACCGAGCACGACCTCGATGATGCCGTCAAGTCAGCTCAAGAGGCGTTCAAGAGATGGTCAAAAACAGCATGGAAAGAGCGACAGAGCCTCTTGCTCCAGCTTCGCGAGGAACTCCTGAGCCACCGTGTTGAGATGACGCAGATGATCCTGAAAGAATGTGGGAAACCCGTATGTCGAATCTACCACTTAGTCAATAAAACATTCATGCTTAACTTGAACAAGATCCAATTCGCACAAGGCGAGATCGACGCCGCTGCAGGAATCCTGCAATATCATGGTGTGTTCCTTGTCTAACATGAAAGGAATTTCACGTTAATACATTTAGCAACGGCTCCTCCCCCAGGCGAGCAGACAATCCAAGACGACGCCGACCTCAAACTCTCTCTCCGCTATGTCCCCCTCGGTGTCGTGGGTGCCATCTGTCCCTGGAACTTCCCCCTCATCCTGTCGATGCAGAAGATCGTTCCTGGACTCCTGACCGGCAACACCGTGATCGTAAAGCCCTCGCCCTTCACACCCTACTCCGCTCTCAAGTTCGTCGAAATGGCCCAGAAGTACCTTCCTCCCGGCGTCCTCCAGGCTCTTAACGGAGATGATCGTCTAGGCCCGATGATGACCGAGCACCCCGGCATCGAGAAGATCAGCTTCACCGGCTCCATCTCCACAGGAAAGCGCGTCATGATGTCCGCTGCCAAAACACTGAAGCGCGTGACTCTCGAGCTCGGCGGCAACAGTGCATGCATCGTCTGTCCGGACGTCGACGTCAACAAGGTTGCTCCCCTCGTCGCCCTCGGCGCATTCTTCAACTCCGGACAACTGTGTGTAGCCTCCAAACGTCTCTACGTGCACACAGACATCTATAAGGAGTTCCAAGAAGCCATTTTGAACGTCGTGAAGAGCTGGAAGGTTGGTCCCGCTGGTGAGCCGGGCATGATGCTGGGCCCTGTGCAGAACGAGATGCAGTACAACATAGTCAAGGGCTTCTTTGAGGATTGTGCTGTTAATGGATATCAGTTTCTGCTTGGTGGGGAGGTTGGAGATGCGGGTGGGTTTTCGGTGCAGCCGGCGATTATTGATAATCCGCCGCACTCTTCGAGGATTGTTGCCGAGGAGCCTTTCGGTGAGCCTTTCCTTTCCTCCATTTTGCATTTGTTGGTGGAGTTGAGCTGACTTTGATAGGACCTATTGTCCCCATGATGCCATGGACCACGGAAGAGGAACTGCTTACTAGAGTCAATGATACTCGGACTGGTCTTGGTGGCGCCGTCTACTGCGCTGATCACGAGAGGGCTGTCAATATTGCTAAGCAGATTGAGGCTGGCACTATCTGGATCAACAGCTTTGAGAGGCCGCTCCCGAATACTTTCTTTAGTGGCCACAAGGAGAGTGGCATTGGTGGGGAATCCGGCGAGCAGGGATTGCTAGCCTACATGAATGCTCAGGCTATCCATTTGTATAAAAGCGATGTTGGGAAGGCCCCGAAATTGTAGATGAATTCTGCTCTTTGTTCCATACCCGAATATAGGTCTTGCTACTTGTTTCCGTGCTAATGTGCTATTCTTTCGTTCGAATTTAATACCAGGTATGGTCACTCGCCCAGCGATATCTCTGGAGCAAATGGTCACGGCACCAAAATCTCCTTCCCATCAGGATTGCCATTGCCATATTTGGGAGGAAGAGAAATGGAAAAGAGGAAGGAATTCCTGAACGGCGTTTCTAAAAGACCCATGCACTGGACTAAGACAAATCTAGGCCTTCAACATTTCAATTTCATCCCCAAATCATCAGTCGACTCAGCTCAAGACATCCACCAACAAGGTATTCCACCACTGCATGCTCTGGGAGAGCGGTTCCCAACCAGACCGAATGGGTTGCTTCCTATCTGTTGCCAAACATTATTACGCCCAACCAGCATATCTTTTGGATATCTCTCGTCACCCTCAATGACTTGCTTTGGCTGTTTAGACCACAGATCAAGAATGAAATGGCACAAGAAACTCCCCGGGCCAGACTTCTCACAAACACGGTAGAATTGAGCCTCGGCAAGTATCTCCTCGACTATTATCACCGCGTCATCAACTGTAGCATTATCTCGTTCTGAAACTTACGGATTCCCAGCTTGTCGGCAAGCAGCTAGAGCTTCATGAACTTTGAGGGAGTTCTTTTGTGACTAGTGGTGGCAGACCAAGCATCTAGCTTCTGGTTGTAAAGCTAATCTGGCAATAACCGAACACTGTTGGCAATGTGTCGTGTATATTCCCTTCCAATCTCCCGTACTGGCATCCCTATTCGTCGTCTTGCTCTGCAAAAGCTGCTCGAAAGAAGGTCGAGTTCTAAATTCAGAAGTTCTTTCCGATGCTGAAATCACTTTCCTTGCCCTTTGCAGACTTGAAGTGGAGGTAAAACACATGCTGCGGAGCGCTTCACAACGGTCAGTACTGTCCGGATATTCTTTCAGAGCTTATGTGGAGGACTCACTCGTATGTTGGGGGTAATTCTTGCTCTCTCCATCTCGTCGAGCAGAAGCCGGTTGCACATTGTCGCCCGCCTTTGGCAGAATGGTAGCATAAGCCGATCCTTTATGAGACCCGGCATCTCAGTCACGACTTTTGAGCAATCAAGTTGACACAAAGTTTATGAAATGTCCCATTCTAGATCTGCAAATGCCTAGAGCCGTAAGAAGCAGTCCCTATTGTTTCGACTGATCTGGACATTACAAGTACTACAATACCTCTATGAATGTACTCATGTGATGTTATACATTAGAAGCCCAGCCCCTATAAACAACTCGGAAATTACAGAAAACAGATTTCAGCTCCTCAACGCTCCTATCAAATATCCCCATTTGTCTTGGGATATTCAAGATGAGTGCCGCCTTTTCTGTCCACCTCGAGACAGGGGAAGAAAGGGGCTCGCTTAATAGTCTGGGTGCATTCAAGAATCACAATCAACCTCGCGTTTGTTGAAGATCATGCATGCATTTGTTTCTTCATTTTGCTATTCTATCTGTTCTCCCATTATCAGCTTGTCCTTGGTTGAATTTTCGGTATTCCAAGTGCCATTTGATCCCTGCACGTGACTCAGACTCTGGCTAGCAATCACGGACGTCCGTAAAGGGGTTTACATATACTTGGATATAGCTGTTCCATTTAATGGCCTGTTGTAGCTTGCCGTATGGCATAAAATGTCATCTAAGAAATTGATGGTGATTGAAACAAGAACGCAGACGGTGCTCTCGCGGAGCCGGTAGCTGGCCCTACTATCGCTTAAGCTGTTCCCTACTATTAATTAGCGAAAATACCCTTGTATTTTCTATACTAGGGATTAGTTTCTTGCATATGCTCGACCTTAAGATATAATAAATACTTATTTTACTAAAGGAACACTACCCCTCTCTTCTTTTACCCCCCTTTATCTCCGAGCTCCTCCCAATAGCCTGCCAGGCATACTCCTGGTATGTACTTAACCTTTATTACTAAGAAGCGTGTAAGGAAGTTAGAATATACTCTTCTTTACTATTGCTATTGCTTCTAGTATATACTCGACCTTTCTAATTAGTAAGTATATAAGTAAGTTAGAATATACCTTGCTTTACTATCGCTATTACTCTAGGATATACTTGGTATATAGGAATTATATACTTAGTATATGCTTACTAACTCTAACTCATAGGGCCTTTATACTCTAATATATTACCATGCAGGGGGCTCTCACCAACCCCCAGCCCCCCGGGACTAACCCAGACCCTAACCCCTAACCTTAAGCCCCCTCGCAAGCTCGGGACTAACCCGAACCTTCCTAGCCCGTATAACCCGTACATATGCAGAGCATAAGGAGAGCATATGCTTAAAATATGATTGCTACAAAACCTATTCATTTGCTCGGCTAGCTATCTCGCTTCTTTAAGCGATAAGGTTAATAGTAATCAGCTAAATAAACGAGCATATGCAGAGTTTGACAATAGTGATCAGCTTAAGCGATACTATGGATCAACTAAAACCTCGTTTTCGAGCCACTTGACGCCTGACAGTTAAGCGAGCCTGAAGCGAAAAGGAGGTTGGAGTCGACGCTCAACTCCCACCCCCTCATCTCAACAATAAGTTGTCCATCTCCGACTCAGCATGGTAAAAAGCACTCCAATGCACCTTCCCGACGCCAATCCTCTCCCAACCTTCCTGCCCCGCCCCCTTGCTAACCGCTCTCTTCCCCGACAGCAACACAATGTACAACCAGCCAAAAAAAGCCCTCGATATCAAACCTATAGCCGCCCTACACCGCTTCGCCATTCTCTGCCTTTGGATGAGCCACAGGGCCAGCTCCTTCGTTTGGGGGTGGGATACTTTCTGCGAGATCATTTAGGAGCCATTGCGGTTTGTGTCCGAACTTCCACGTAAGTGCAAAAGGACCTAAGGCGCAGTAGATGCTCCATCCCTCCATGCGGGGAATCTCATCCTGGAGACTGCGACCGGAGATAAGTCGTCCTGCTTCTCCAGATCGAGGTCTTTGAACGGGACGTTGAGAGCCAGAAAGCCGGCACGGTAGCCTTGATGGTAGATAATCCACTGCCACAGCGGTTTGGAAGTCGCTGATCTGTCCTCATTGTTGAGACTTAGCTGGAGGCAGTTGTCAACATTAGATTCTTTGGTATGTGGCGTCGTGTTCATGTCACAAAAGCGCACTGTGTTCGAATAGGCTTGGAACAGGAGAGCGACTTCGCCGTCTGGGATTGAGCTGATTCCTGGTTCGGGAGGGGAATTGGGCAGTTGAAGACGATCCCTGGGTACTCCTTGTGCGTGTAACCACGTGGGTTTCTCTCTTTATCTTAGAGGATTCCCAACCGCGCTCCTCGAACTCGAAGCGGTACAGCTCCCGCGTGTTGACTTTGTTCGAGGAGTTTCCATTTGCCGCTGAAGATATCCTCTCTCAGCTGCTCGGTGGTCATTCCTTGCGGCGCGCCTGAAAGCGCGTTGTCTCCAAGTTTTGCAGGGAATTTTGCGGGATCCATTTGTTGGACCCAATGCACGACTGAGACGGGGTATCGACACAGGCCGTTGTACCAGCCGCGGCCTAGGTAATCACAGGCCCCTTTCCAACCCGCCCAGCTCCAGCTGGAAAAGAGCTCACTTCCATCAAGATCTCTCCTTCTTTGAACTTGTTCCTTTGGATGCCAGAGCAGTGCTTGATCGAAAGCAAAAGCCGGAATTCCGTACCAACACTTTGTATTCGTCACTTGGCGAATGAGCTCTGTCATTCCTGCAAACGCATTGACTGATCAACATTGACGTCCTGTCCAGCATGGGCGCCGGATTGAAGTGCGGATCGGTGATTGGCCATTCGTCTTCGAAGACTGTTGCATAAGAACAGAGGAAGCACACCTGTGAGTCCTTGAAGAACAGCCTCCGTTGAGATAATTGCAATTTCTTGATATGTCCATGCCCTGGAGTTTCAAACCGAGTTTTCCCCGTCAGCAAAGGGCCTCCTATTATCGTGGAAGACAACGGCGAGTTGAAGGCCTTTCATACTTTTACGAATCTGTGTCTGGGTTTGTGGTGCTGACAAAACTCTAAGCAAACCTGCTGGTGGATCGGAGTTGGTAGATACAACAATTGTCAAGATGGAATCGCTGTAGATAGCTCCCATGTCGGCAATTATGGCTGCTTTGTCAGCCTCATTTGTCTTGTTCAATGCATATCGCATCTATCCAGATGTAATTAATGCCAAGTTACTTCATCACTTCAACTGCGTCTCTGATGTTCTCGGAAGAAGAATCAAATCGGAGTTCAATCCATGTGGAGCTTGGAACGCTGCTTTGGTATCAGAGGTATCTTAAGGCTGGCTTATCTTTCCCCAGACATAAGAAAGACAGACGTAACGATAGGCGCCTTCGACTCTGACTATTCAGTGTTCATTGACGTTAATGAACCCTAGTCCTGGTTGCATCTGAGTACTGCAGCGGTCGATAGTTTCTGGATGGTCATCTTCGCAGAGAGATCGCGATTTCTGAAGAGCTGCTGTTGATATTTTGTCTGGATTCACCCGAATCCAACGAAGAGGTGCAGTGTCTTCATCGGAAATTAGCTGGACAATTATCTTAAGGGGCCGTGGAAGACGTGTAATATCTTCGAGCCCGGCCTCGAACCGGAGAGCAAGCTCGGACTTTCCTCGAGCACCTTCAGATTCAAGCTTACGGCACTCATTACGTGCTCATTTTCGAAATCCAACACCCCTTCCGCTCCTCTGACTCCTAACAGTGTCGCCGCTCTTCTTTGATACTTTCGTCATCGTCTGTCTTGATCCATATCGAGTAGCCTTCGTATTCTTCAACTGCCATGGGAGGCTTGTTGTGCTTTCTGCTATCTTTATCGAGTCTCCATTCAACAAGTTTGTGGGCCTGGAGCTCTTCTTCTTCCTCCATGGGCGAACCGGCCGAGTTTGATTCCAGCAAATCGTCGACCATTTCTCGGATTACGGAGTCTCGGATTTTTGTGACCTGGTCACCGCTGTCCTCTATTACTTGGAGGATAACTGATCCGGTCTCTTGTGCGTAGATGGATTTATTGATGAGTTGTTTAAGAACGGGTGCCATAATTTAGTCGAGTGCTGAGCCCAGAATATGAGTTGAGACGGAGCTGTTGCCTGGGTGGGAAGGATAGAGCGAGCCAAGTATGTCTTGACGTATGTGTGAGTCAGCCGAAACGGTGTTAGGGCTTTTTAAAATGAGATCGGGTAGTTCCATCTATTTCTTAATGCTGCGAAGGAAAGAAGAGCATGATCATTTGAGTGTTGATAATGCACGAAGGAAGCTTGAGCATAGTTCAATTGCGGGGATTAGAGCAGCCATCAGCCACAGCATGTAAGCTTCACAATAGGCCTGTTCGGCTGATGAACTCCTCTGAGGAGCCAAGTTCTGCGATGCCTAGCGGTCTATGCTCTATCTTTTGCTTGAGATGGACTTCTTAGCAACCGAATGGCTTTCAGCTGTCTCTCGGTGTGAAAAGGAGGTGTGACGCACGTTTTATTTTATTTTAGGAAGAACGCAGATTCCATAACCAGCAGACTCCAATAATAAAGATGAACTTTTTACATTAACAAAGACAAGACCCGCCGAAGCGGTTTAAGTTCATACGTTCTCCATTCATCGCATCTCCTTGCCTTCGGATTTATACGCAGTCTAAAGCGCCTCGATGACTCTCTTTCCGATGCAAATCAACGCACTCTATAATCCCACCAGGCGGCAGCCTATCCCAGCACAATTACTTCAAATCAAATGCCATAGATTCATCCAATCAAACCCATTCTTGCAGGAGACGAGAAATGAGAGACACTAGATCAGATAGGTCAAGGTGCGGCGAGATTCCCTCTCACGCCTCCTTTGCCACCAACCTCCCTACATGTAACGGTCACTGCGAGATCGCCCGCCACATTAATCATAACCTCGATCTTGCCACCCTTCTTTACACCTTTGATTGCGGCTTCAGCAAGCACGTTCCCAACTTTCCATACCTTCTCACGCACATCCTCAGGTCCGTCGTCGCTGTCGTCCTCATCGCTATCATCACTGCCATCCTCGCCCTTGGATTTCTCCCCATTGGTCTTGGTTTTCGGCTCCGGCTTGGAGACTTTGATGTGTGAGCCTCCTTCGACGATCTTAATCAGAACGTCGCCGCCCTCTTTTGGGGTTGCGATGTGGATTGTTCGACGAGCCGGGACTGCGGTCTCAGCTGCGATGATGGGAGTGAAGAGACCTTTATCAGAGTCACCTGTAATGGTCATAACCCCGATGGCGTTCGTGAGATGCTTGACAGTAGTCACAGCAGGGTGAGTCGATTGCTCGATATCTTCCTTCTCATATTCTTGGATCAGACTTGCTTGCAGTGCCGCTCCTCGTGCCTGCAATTCAGCGGGGTTGATAGCTGTGGGTGTTGTGGAGGGTGCGAGGATTGTGGTAGTAGGAGGGAAGATGGCGCTCATGTTCGAGGCGATTTTGGGAGTGTGAGAGGTTCCGCCAGAGAGGATCACTTCGTCGATTTCAAGGACATCGAGGCCAGCTTTCTTGACGACACCCTCAATAAGTCGGTTGAAGCCGTCGAAAACCTTTCGTGCAATGGTCTCATAGCGTAATCTGTTGATAGTAGATGCGAAATCAATACCTTCTGCTAAACTCTCGACGCTGAAGTTGGCATTGGTGCCGATACTGAGTGCCTTCTTCGTAGCTTCTGCTTCAAGCTTCAGTTTTGCCAGACTGCGGGCGTTCTCCCGGGGGTCGGTAGTGTTCCATTTGATGAATTCCTTAGCAAAGTGGTCTTGCAGAACTTTGTCAAGTTGTACACCGGCATATTCGTAGTCATGCGCTGTGGCTAGAATTGTATACATGCCTCCTCTTGATGCAATGACTGCCACATCCGATCGAGTACCCCCCAAGTCTGCGACCACAACAATTTTGTCTGCCACCTTAGCCTCCAACCGCGCATCGTACGCGAGAAGAGAAGCAATGGGTTCGCTGATGAGCTGCAGAACTTCGAGGCCAGCATCGTTGGCGGCTTTCGTGAGGGCAGCCTTTTGCTTTTCGCTGAAGTTGGTTGGGACGGTGATGACCGCTGAGTTGACTTGCTTTCCAGTGAAATCGGAAGCAGACTGTGCCAGACGCTTCAATTGACGAGTGGCTACCTCTGAGATTGTGACAACTGATGGTCCACCTTCCTCCTTGTCTTGTATTATGAATGCGATCGTGCCATCGTGCTCTTTGGGATGGGCTGAAGCGTGGCAGTGAGTCGGGTCTATTGACTTGAAGCTGTTTCAAAAATTAGCCAAAATGTATAGAATGATTGTGGCTGTATCCTACTTTTGTCCCAAGAAGTCCCTGAAGTATGCGACAGTGTTCTTGCTGTTCCGGATAAGCTGTTGCTTGGCTTGTTGGCCATTGTATTCTTCCCCGTCCACATATGACAGAATCGAAGGGATTTGACGATCTACGAAATAGATCAGCAACAATATGGCTTTATCCAATCCCAAATATATAACATACCTCCATCCTCGTTGGCGATTACCTCAGCCTTGTCCTCGTTCGTGGTGTATGCAATTGAGCTGTTCGAGTTCCCAAAGGAGATACCGATAGCGTGTCTCTCTCCAGGCGTAGTGCCATTCGCAGATGCCCCTTCCGCAGCCATCTTGTCGGTATTGTGAACGGTAAAGAATTCGAGAAGATGGTGTTGTAAGGAAGAGATGTTTCGTGGACACAAGTTCCTTAAACTCGAACTTTTTTTCTGCCCACAAAAATCGAGAAATTCGTTTCGGGTTAGCGCGGACCCACTTCGCAAGGCTGAGAGAAGCAGTCAACCTCATGCAAAACAGACAGGATCCAAGAATCCCAATCTTAAACTCAACACAATGGCAACAGAAACATTTGTGCTGCCAGGGGAAATTCTGGATCCAGCATCCCTCCCTTCACACCCAAAATTACCTCTCAAACTCGGTCCAGGCTTACGCCACATCCCACCAAACACCATCACCTCCACGGTCGCCGGTCAACTCTGTACCGACAAGCGGAAGAATGCCGTCTGGGTCGAATTCAACGGTAGTCGCGTATGTTACCTCCCTCAATACTATGCTATAACTAATAATTTAGTACATCCCCACTGTTGGCGACCTTGTCATAGCCACGATCCAAAAATCTGCCGTCGACCTTTACTACGCCAGTCTTAGCGACTACACGCCCAATGCCTCCCTCCCACAACTCTCCTTCGAAGGCGCGACCAAAAAGACGCGGCCTCAACTCGCGTCAGGAAATTTAGTGTACGCGCGCGTTACTTTGGCTAATAAACACATGGATCCGGAACTGGAATGCGTTTCTTCCTCGACAGGGAAGTCTGAAGGGCTCGGTCCACTGACAGGTGGCACGCTGTTTACTATTTCATTGGGTATGGCGAGGAGATTGATGTTGCTGAAACCGGTGGAGCAGGGGAATTTGGTGGTGCTTGAGGAACTTGGGGCTCAAGGTGTGGCGTTTGAGATTGCGGTGGGGAGAAACGGGAGGGTTTGGGTGGATAGCAAAAACGTTAAGACGACACTGGCGGTTGGAAAAGCGATTGTGGAGACGGATGAGAAGGGATTTGATGTTGAGGACCAGAAGAAGTTGGCTAGGAAGTTGGCAAGGGATCTCTGAGACGTTGTGCGAAGGATACGGGAGCATTGCTTGACATTGGGGTTTACGGATGATATCAACGGATTAAAGAAAAGCAGATGTGGACTTTCGTACATCATATTTCAAGCATGGTATCACAAATTCTGGGTTGATGGGATGGCTGTTAACCGACAAGATAGGAAACTTCTTGAGTGGACGAAGCATCCGTCCTGACCGATGAAAGCCTACGAGACAGGCCTTCCCAGTGAAGAGAGGCTGAAATACAAATTCTTGCTCAGTCAGGTGTAAGAATATGGCCATTAATTTGATCTCTCGACCGCGACAGAAGAGCAAATGATGAACCGAAACATGACCACACCTCGCTGCTCGTTGGAGTGGCAATCTCAGCTTTCGATATAGAACTCTCGCTTCCTGAGTGCCTCATTTCTTGTAGAAATAGCCCACCCACTCTGCTATTGAACGTAAGCTCTGCTGCTGATCGAATATCTAACAGGGAGGAGATTAAGTAGGGTGCTCTTTTACTTTGTATAATTTCGTTCTCCGTAAATCCAAATATATATAGGATATTATGAGCGCAGACCATAGAAGAGCTATCTGTCTTACCACTCTTACTACGGGCTGCTTGTCCAGACAATTATCAATATGGATGATACTGATGTGTATGAATTCTCAGCCCCTGAACCCACTATTCCCTAGCGTGAGTGTAAACAAACGTATTTCGCCCTGGTCTTGAATGCGAAAATGGACCTTATTGATACAGAACAACAGTTTCTCATACTCTTTGAACAGCGTTGCTAATATGGCATCTCTGCTTTGCTTGCCTGGTACATAATTGCTGTCACGCTAGAGAAGCTCGAGTTGTCAATGTAGCGAGCTTGCCGTTGTTGCAAAAGAACTTGCTGTGCCCAGTAGCTAAAAGAATCTCCTGCTTTTTGCGAATTCCGCCTGTCAGCGTCGTTCCTCTGGGTGTGCCATCACAGCAAAATTCTCGCCGTCAAGGCCGGTGGCGACATCGACAAAGTGGTAGTGAAAATTTGCCCATTCCTCTTTGGTAATCCACGTTGTGCTAAAGCCTTCAACGCCGAGGAAGACGATATCCGAATCGTCATCGACATAGTGGATATAGCCAATACGCCTATCCGGGCCCATTCCACCGTGATGAGGGTCGCCATGAATATGCGCGCGTGGCTTGTACGCCATCCCACAGCAAGCACGGTCGGGATATTGGTAGCCATCCGGTGCCACGTCGAAGGGTAGGAATATAGCCAGATTGATATTATGAGCTATAGCAAGAGAGCACCACATAGCACCTAGGTAATCATCGAGGGCTCTAACATTGGTTGGTCTGTAGTCACTGCCCTTGGTGCCAATCGGTAGCAGGTCAGCCTCCAGATCGAACGTCAAGTCATACCTCACAGCTTCTCTACGGCTATACTTGGATATGACAATCCGGATGCTGAAAACTTTAAAATCCGCAACTGGGCTTTTGATTACTCTATAACTCAAGCATTTATATATTTCTTCGACTCGTGAACTTGTTTTCCGGGCCTTTCTCAGCGCGAACCTCGCGTCCCGTTGACACACGGAAAAAATTTCCTTCGCACCAATATCTCCCTTCAACACAACCTTCAACAAATTTCCGTTCAACCCCCACCAACCCGCTGTACAAGTCACGGCTTCTGACATCTGGCTTTCGGCATCGCAGACTATCTGTCAACAACTGCTAGCGCCTTTGTTTACTCCGTTTTCAACGAAGCTCTCGACCCAATTCTCCCGCGGACGCGCTTTCGGCGTTTCGATGCGTCTTCCTCTTCACCATGGTACGTCGTGCAGTTTCTAGCTTCCTTTCCGAGCTTAGTGGAACAAACCTCTTCAAACCCCTGACGCTAATACCGCGTGTCTCTTGTGCTTCCGACGTCCTTTGCTAACCCAAATTCTAAAGTAGATGTTTCTCCTTTCACTATTATGCTTCAATGCCACAGATTCAGCGTCAGCACTACCACCACCGTGATAAACACTCACATCTGGAAACCGAGGTTAGTTCCGCTTTCCTCGATTTTCTCTCGCACGGCTGCCGTTCATGAGGATACATTAGAATAACCTAATCTCATACTGCTATGCTTCCGCAAGTGCGCAGGCACATGGTTTGGATTCCCCTCCGAGGATAAATTCTCTCACAACTTCCCCACAAGCCAACTTTGAGCGCCAATTTGTTCTGACATCGCCTTTCAGTTGCAGAATGCTCCTCGAGGTAACCAGTACCAGGAAGTTTCCAAGCACGTAGAGCAAGAGCATTCACACGAAATGGTTCGACGAAACACGATCTTGTGAGACTTCGCTGGAATTGGAAACCCCCTTCCAAGTTGAGTATCCCTTTATTCTCTCCCTTCCCTTCCCTTTCTTTCCCTCCGAAGCACATGATGTATACAAAAAACGGTGCGTTGGATGCTGCCCGCGACTTCAGCAATGATAAGAACAAATCAGAGGGAATTGATTCTTCCTCCCTGGCTGATGCTTTGGTCCCCATTGTTTCCATGGTCTCTCAAGACAATCTGAAACCAGTGCTGACGTTTCTGATGCTCGCAGACTACACCGACTCGGACTGATTCGTCTTGCAAGATAACTCGAGACATATGATGTCAGCTGGATCCTATATTTTGCAGTATTGGAAACGTTTTTCCTACGTCCCGCTGACCACAAACAACATCCAACCAAGTACAAGTACTTCAGGCGAGTCCCCGCAGTGTTCTTCCGTTCTGCCATTTTCATTCACCTTGGGGTACATGATGTTCAAACCAGCAAAAAACGGGACATACGATGCTGGAGGTTACGCCAGCAATGATAAAACCACCAGCAGAGAATTGATTCTTTCTCCTCTGATACTTATCCCATTTTCTTTTCTTATTATGGGTCGAGGTTACTCAAAGCACATGCTAATGTTACTGTTGCTTGCAGGTTCGGCTATATCCTCGATATTTCCACTGGGCCGTCGTCCACCACTAATTTCAAGCTGAGTCCCCCATACCCCATCCCTCCTCAGCCGTCCCTGTTCTTCCCTGAAGTATATGATAAGCATATGGAACAGACTGTGGACGTGTGATGCTGATAGCGACATCAATAATGACTAGAAACCGTGCGGGACTTGGTTATTCCCTCTTCTGACTCTTCATCTGGATTTCCGTTCTCTTCCCCCATTAATATTCCTTGGAGCAAATGCCGACATCTCGATCACAGGTTCTGCTATATACCACACACTTTGCAAGATTCCAGTGCGAAATATTCCTCGAGGAACTTCAGGTGGCCGTCTCTCTCGAAATTGCACTGGAGTTCAAAGTACATCGACTTCATATCTTCCTCGAGATGATCCCAATGCCAACCACCACCTTACTCAACCTCAGCAGAATCTGCTTGCTCACACCACCCACAGTCAGTAGACTTCTTCCGCGAACAATATGGTACTCGAGAGTTTCTCTCCCCAGGAATTTAACTCATTTCAAAGCGGAAACTGCGCCCTTGTGAGTCACTTTCCATCAGTTTCCCATTTTCTCTTTTTACCACATCTGATGATCATCCTGTATGTTGAACAGGCGTGCTGCAAACAAATGAGATCAAGACCTGGGCGCTGACTTTTGGACTTCCTTGATAATGTTCCTTCGTAACAACTAGTCATTGCTAACCTTCGAAGTCAGTTTTACGCTGGCATTGAGGATCTTCTGGTAGGTTCAACGGCTGTGAGCAGTTGGTTCTGCCTACAGTTATTCTTTGACCGGCCCATTCAGAACTCTTTTTCCGTCTTAAAGCGTAATCTTGTTCGGCATCACAATAATCTTTTCGAGTTGTTTTCGTCGGGAGAACTTGCGCCATCTGACACCCTCCTTCCCTCTCGAAAGCCTGCGAGCTGCTTTTGAGGCTCACCCCAAAGCATCCAAAGAGCCCATACAACCAAGATATATGGATGCTAAATCCGCGCCACTCTCTTTCCTGAGTACAGTGTTAGTTCAATTCCATGATGACGGCAAAGAGGAAAAAGTGGTTTCAAGGTCCCCACTCACTGGGTTATCCTCGGTGTTGGGGTTGGTGTTGGTGGGAAGTCTGGAGCCCCCGACACTCTTTGATGAAGCCGCTGCTTCCTTTCTTCTGATGCTCCTTTTTGAGAATTTATGCTAACTTTCTTGGCTGTAGGCACAAAATTTAGAATTATTTCTCCCGACCTGAAGATGAATTTCCATGCGTCTCAAGCTCTTCTCTCCTGCCCGTTTCTAGGGAGTAATGAGGGGAAGAAGGACTCGTGCGAGGTTGAATGGAGCTTTTCCATTCTCGACGTTACTTCACAAGTATCTCGACCATCAGATTGCTACTTGTGGCGCATTCCCCAGACCAACTTTTGCATGCGATCCGAGCATCGGCCATTCCATCCAAAAGCCCAGCCCAATGCCCCTAATTCGGACTCAGACTCCCTCCCAGTACGAAGCCCCAAGTCAATTATTGGTCTTCTTGATCTTGAGACTGGAAGGTACGAATGTCTTCATGAAAATCTCGTCCGCGTTCAGATATCACTTATCAATAACGCGCTGCAGTACAGGAGAAACACAAGGAACAGATTTTTTCTACTTCATTCTTCTACTGAAGTTGAAGCTATCCGTTTTAGCCTTCGAAGATCGAGTATTATTCTGATGGTTCAGCCACACAGGATGCTGCAAATTCTTTTCAGTCCACGGGAAATGTTGACATGATGAGAGAAATATGTCTGCTCTGAGTGTCACATTTGCCCCTTGTCCGCATAACGTTAATCTCATCCCTAAGCTTCTGAGAAGCAACACTTTCCTATCAATTTCTTCCGTCAGACACTTAGAAACAACGCTGCTGACCTCCTTGATCCTAGTTTGAGTGCTTTGGCCGCACTCATTTTCCAAGAGTTATGCTTTCAAGTACGTTTTTTTTGGGGGGGAATTTTTAACTTGAAGATTACTATGATGAAAGAGTGTCTGGGGTTTGAACATACCCTGCAAGACACTATTGAAATAAAAATGGGTATCGTGAGACTCTGAGATGCAACACCTATTCTTTCCTGTTCTATTCTGTTCTCAACTTATGAAAGGATGTTGCTGACATGCTTGAATCTAGGTTAGGTTCCTCGTCCGATGTAACTTTCAAGCGTTATCTTTTTGAGTAAGTTCTTAGACCCTAACTTGAAACCATTCAAAATGTTGCTATGATGAAACCCGCATGCGAACGCTCATGCAAAGACCCTGTTTCTGATTCCACTAAGATTGTTTCTGAGATCCAAACATTTTGATGGCCTTCCTCTCCAATTTAACGTTTGAATACTGACAACGTTGTCTTAGGTTCAGTCATTGAGCCAAACTGGTTTCCCAGGTGTTCCTTTACCAACTAAGTAAACGTTTTCCTGTCAACTTGAATTCACAGCCCAATTGCACTGTTGCTGAAGGGATGCTATGTCCCTGAATAAGATCTGTAGACCGTTTCAACCTCCACTTCCTCTTTCACGGGGATCCTGTAGACAAATTTCAAGACTAATATAAGCAGCTACTTCAGCCCTCTTCGTGGCACTGCTTACATTTATGAGGTGAGTCCTCCTGTATGATGCTTTCCAAATCGTTGGCGTGCCATGGTGAGATCAAAACAGGCGTTGTGCCCCCCGTCTGATGTTTCTGGACGATTGCTAGAGGCTTTTGAGCGATTAGGATTAGTTCTGTCAAGGGGCCAAACATCTATCACAACACTATTTGAACATCCGAAACCTTTCTTACTTTTGTCCTTCTATGCATTTGACTGTGGTCTTACTAAGTCTTTGGCTTCAATCTAGGAGAGCATCGCAAGCCCGACTGTTGCGCGCTACTTTATGACTTGCCGACCTCGCTGGCATCTCACATGGGAGACTAACCCACGCACTTTATTCCCAGATATCCCCTTCAATGTACGCCTCCTGTCCATCTCCCCGAGTCAGTATTCAGGATGTCGTGATGGTATTGGGCGCCCTTTGTTCCGCTAGGGAGCCGCTATCGCCCAAGAAACTGTCACTGCCGTTTTCCCGGCATCTGATCAGTTAGTCTCCTATGCTTTGCTTCTCTCCTACTTATGATAAACATCGTTCTAGCATTTCTGAGGATAGTTGCAGGGAGGTGCTTTCGGCATTGCCAGTCAAGCACACAGAGCGGCAGCTGTGTTCGCTTGTCTCCCGAGATCCATATCTCCAAGCCGTGTGGCAAGTTCGCCGTGCTTCCTTTTCTGTGGTATTCGCTCTCCAAATGATGCTGTTTGTTAACATTGGTGTTGCGGATATTTCCCAAAAACTTCAAACTTGCCATTCTACTGATCAGAGAGGAATTTCATTGGTGTGCTATGTTCAGCCGGCTGGCAAAACTTTCTTGAATTTCTCTTAAGCAGGAGACACCGCCAGACTAAGCGACGAGTCTGGTGGGTACTATAACACTCCCAAAAAACTCGATCATTCAGTTTTGGTGATTAGAGCTCTTCAAATGTGAGAGTTTGGCTCTACTTACTTTTGTTATTAGACCATTGCAATGTGGTGATGTTATATTCAACACTATGTTTGAACTGATGAGAACGAAGGGAACCATCTGAGTGCAACTCGCTTTCATTTCTCCATATAAGATTCTGTAGAAGATCTCAGCTAACAAATTGATGGTACAGGAAGGCTACGATGCAGTGAACAAAAATTAGCTCAGTTAATACGCCCCAATATTGAGAAGTTGAGCGGGCGTGTCATTTTGGCTGGGCAACCTGATCTCGAGTCTTAACCATTCCGCTGAAAAGACGAAAGCTCTTTGTTCTATATACCAAGTAGTGAGTAAATCTCGGCCTTCTGATAGGAGTCAAGACTTTCCATGACGAGGAATCCACGGCAATTGACGTTGTGAGTTCATCAATGAAAGTTATATCAGGGAGTCTAACCCGCCCTCAAATTTCATCCCCTCAGTTTTGAATTCATTGCTGATCACTTCAAGTAATCTGGGCAAACCATCAAATTTCAGGACCGGAAAGAACTCTTCAGCATCATGCGCATACCTGAATGCAAATTCTTTTTTGAAATTGTGATCGAGGATTTGGCAGAATACAGCTGACATTTTGATATAGAGTGGCGGACCTCCATACAGCTGTGCTTCACTGACGGAACTGCTGTTCCGGAGTTCATGAGAACTAGTTTTCTAGTAGATTTGTAAGGCCTTAAAAGCTGTAAGGTTTCCAAGTTCCCAACTTGAACCTGAGGTACGCCACGAGGAATTCTTTCTGATCCCTTCTCGCTCCTGACGGCAATTTGACATGCCCTCGGGAGAACTTCATTGTATGCATCTTTGTACTACCAAATCCGAGGTGTGCACATTGCATTCAGAAAGGAAGTCCCACGCTTCGGATCTATACCGCCTCATAAGTGTGGGTTCATTCATTGGCCCTCTACGTATTCGACCTTTTAGACGGCGATGATTCCATAACACAGGAACATGGTTGAGCTGGGTTTGACCGTGTGATACTTCTGACGCTCAATTCTGAGCCTCTGATTGAATCTCTCTTTGCTCTTCTTCATTCTTCCAATCTTGAACCGCCTTGTCTAACAATCCCTTTACTGGTAATCTTAGTAATGAATTCTCGATGCAAGGGGGTTTTATATACTGATGAGCAAGACGACTATCCGCTTGATTGGGCCGTGGGAGGAAGATACTCTGAGCATGTCAGCAAATCGCCCGGCCACAAGAGTGTTTTCATGTTACTCAACTGGAGAGTCTTTCATTCTCTTTCCTCAAGCCTGCTGCAATGTGATGACTTTTTTGCAAGCTTATCTTGATGTTGCATTGCCAACTATGAGAAGATGTTTCACTGGTCTGAATTTGGTCCTCTCGATGAACTGTTATTTGGCTCTTGCTCAAATAATGGCTAACTTTCACTTTACAGAATACTGCGTCAGATACTGTCGATGTCCATTCAAGATAGAAATCCAACCCCCTCCCCCCCCGAGGATCGAGTCGAGCCGTTTATAAAAATTGAATAAACTTGCCTCTTGTGATGGAGGAAGCGACCACAGGCTCGTATAGGATAAACTTGATATTGTTGCCAAAAATGGCGATGATCAAAGCGCTTGACGATGGAGATTACTGGCAGCACAAGAAGTCGATACCCAGTAGTTAGGGTTGAGACCTTTGTCACTGCTGCACTGCAGATCTGACAATCACAGTTGAGAGAAGGGGGATGTTCTCAGTTGGAGGTTTAGTCCAGTGAAGTGGTTCTAGTCACAGGTCCATTGCATTGGTGAAGCAGCACCGCTTATCAGGGACACGAAATGTTGAAGGCATTGGAAGCTATTGAACAACGCTCAAACAGCCCTGAATAGGCTTTATCGAAGTCAAACACCCCCATGAGAGTGAATGGGTAATACAAGCAACCACTGCGCCCGAGGAAACATTATTTTTCTTTCCAAATTCTGGTATATTTCATAGAGTCTTCTTTATCTACGCAACATGCCATCCTTCGCTCTTGAACATCTCACCCTTTCATAACCTAAAAGACACACCCCAATACCTAGCAAGAAACATCAGAATGCACGCAATGAGATTCAAAGAAGGAATATCCAACTCACAGAATGCCAAAACGATAGAAGTATAGTAAACAACAGCACAGAACGCCAGAAGAGCAGATATATAGCAGACAGCCGCTTCCCAATCCGGGTCGTCCCTTACGTTGTCCAGCCAAGGCTTTGGGTATCTAGGTAACCAACAGCTCAGTATGGGAAGGCAAAAGTGGGAGGCGACATTTATTTACTCTCCGGTCAGTCTTGAGCTCTTGAAACGTCGCCGAGGTCGCGCTGTCACTTGTCAGGAAACTGGATTGATTGATTGTCCTTGCGCAAACTTGCATGCCGCAGATTGGGTTGAGGGTTGGCGCTCGGAGGGAATGGGGAATGTTGGTGTTGAGCATAGGTTTCGAGCTGAAGGTATCGAGTTTGTGGATGTCATGCTCGCTCGCGATCCGCAAACTTTGGATGTGGAGATGGGGACATCAGGGTTGACAATTGCTTTCACTGTTGATTGTTGACTGTTCATGATGTGCGACTGTTGGTGACTATTCACAAGATCTTCGAAAGAAATATGATTAGAACAGATGAGAGGTTTGCGTTCAAAGGTGGTGACTAGCTCGAGGAGGATGTTTGGATGGAAGAAAATGGTACTGTAGAGACAGCCTAAACGCTACAGGACTCATGCGCTGTGGAAAAGACGGCACCACTGGAAGCTCTCTGACAACAGCTACATCATACAGCGCTGTCTAGATACAGAACTTGATAGTAAAGAGAGACATTGAAAAGCCATCTCAAATATGATCTATTGAAGGCGTTCGGCGTAAGCGTTGCTCGACACCAAAACGCGTGAACCATTGAGCTTTGAGAACTACTCGAAATTGGCTCATGCTATGGGAAGACGCTGACTTGGGCGTGGCGGAGATGGATGTAATCCTACGGCTATTCCCGCGAAACGGAGGACTCCTTCTCGGGTGAAAATTTATGCCCAGACAGGAGCAGGTCAAGCAAACATGCAGGGAGGGAAAAAGGAAACCAACTCGGCTTAGCTGGTAGTGAGAGGGCGTTGTGCTGCATCAGATTGCGAGGTCTAGATCTAATAGATCTAATCGAATCTAATCTCGATTAGGGAGCAGCAGGCGAAAAACAAAGTGGAAAAAGCCATCTGCAGGAACGGGATGGACAGCTGAAAATGTTTTGCTTCGTACGCTCACCAATCGGGCTGGTACAGAGCCCCCGGAAAGGGGTGGCAGACGGCGCAGCCCTGTCTTATCGACTCGATCTACTGCGGGGGTCCTGGCCAAATCACTCCGGAACTCGCAGCCCGACCTATCAACAGGTTCCTGACCCTGGAGCCCTGCTTTGCTCTGATATTCCTACAGGTCGCCACATGTGTCACACAACAAAGCGTTTATGGAGGCTTTGAGCCACGAGGAAAGGGGACGGGGGGTCGGTCTCCTGCGCCACATCCCCCAAGTAGGCTAGCGCGGAAACGGCCCGGCATTTCCTCCCTTTTGGGGACGGCACGGGGATTGAATCCCCGCCTGCCGAACGGGACTGGCGAGGTTCCACCTGTGCTTGTTTGAACGTCGCTTCTCTCCGTAGACTCTAAACTCAATAAAGGTTAAAACGCTTGACATTTCAATTTCGGTTTTAGAAGGCCTCGCCTTCCGAGGTCTCACCTTGGGCCACGTCGCCTCTGACGTCCTTAACCCGCCACTGTGACCTCGGATGCAGGAACGATGCAAGAACGATTTGCGTGAGCTGGAGAGTCCCAGGGTGTGGTCTAGAGTCGTGCAGGGCTCGAAAAGAGACTTTCAACAGCCCCCCTACCCCGGCACCGCACGTCGCCGCTTGCGCCCCTCACCATTCACTCTCTTGCTTTATTGAATGTTCTGTAATGTATTCTTAGTCCGTATTTGTTGGAGTCTCAATCGATTGAGTCAAGATGTCGATGTGCCGGATGCCCGGCGCGTGGCTTCGGAGGAGTCACCGCCGCCGCGCCACGTCTCTGAGCCACGGCGCGGTTGGACTTTGTTTACCGAAGACCCCCACCCTCCCCCACTCTTACCTTTTCTCACGTGCCCGATCTCAACTTGGATCTTGGTCAGTTCATACAGGAGTCTCTGGTTGATTTTATACATTAAAGATAGATGAAAAATCTATACTAAACATGTGCCCCAACCCCATCCATTGCCATGTATCTAATTACGCCCCCAATTTACAGTCTATGTTGCCCAACCCAAGTCTATCTAACCTACTCCTTCTCCAACCATATGACAAATAAAAATTCAGTAATTAAAGACCATCAAACTCGGATTCAATACAAACGGCACCAACGCATGGCTAACGACAGTAACGGCCATGGGGACAACAGCCGTAATCCCCTTGATATCCCAGCCCCTGGGCGCCGCAGTCCCCAGGTAAATCATGATGCCGGTAATGATGGCCAGAAACAAATACATCCACTTGAAGTTCTTGAAGATCTTCGGGATCTCCTGGAAGAAGTTCGAATTCTCCTTCTCCTTCGCGGTCGCGCCCCACTGCATGTCAATGTGCAGGAGATGGGCGAGGATGGCGCAGTTCAGGTGGAAAGACAGCCCGCCGAAGAAGATGGTGAACATGGGCATCCATTTGAAGTTCTCGCCTAGAGAGCCGAGGAGACTTCGCTCGCCGAGTCGGTACCGAAGGATCGCGAGACTTATGTTGCCGCCCAGGTTGAAGACGACTACTAGTGACACAAAGACTGAACGGAAAAGGAGAAGTCAGCTTGCAATGATACAACGAAACCAGCGGAAGGGAGCAGTACCATTCCATGATTGCATGTAGAATTTATCGAGATCTCCGTTGAACCATCCAACAAGGAAATAATTCATAAACGTGAGAGTGGCACCTGAGGCGAGGGCAAAGTCTAATGAAAGTTTTAGTACGAGGTTGCAATGAAGGCGCTGGACTTGTCCTTACAGGAAGCAATGTACGCCAAGATTGTACATTTTGAAGACAGTAAAATGTTTGATCGAAGGAAGGTAATGAATAGCGGCGTGAATGGGCCTTTGAATGGCCATTGATAAATAGGATGGAAGACGAGCTCGCTGCAGCCATATGCATATCTATTGCAAAACCGATCAGCTTAGTGATAATACAATAAAATTGAAAGGGGTTTGATTGCTTACTTTTCCCATCGTGCTAGCTCATCGTACACTGTCAAGGACACACCCTCTTTGAATTCATCATTGTGGTAGCTTGCGACTCGTACAATGTTGCCAGCAATCTGAAGCCGCAATGCAATATCGAAATCTTCGGAGACATGACTTTCTGACCAGTATGCAATATATTTATCATCCTCCTTAACGCCGACCGATTGAACAGCTTCGCAATGTCAGCGTCGTGCTTTTATACCCAAGTAGTCAAGATGGGAAAAGAGCTAACCTTGCCACCGCAGGAAGGCGTTGTGTCCAACGAAAGGGGCAACCTCTCCGCAGCCAATTGAATATCTGATTGAGGTATATACCAGATTTGTGAAGAACGTGATACCGTTTTCGAAATAATCATTGACGACTTGCATCACTCCAGTAGAATGTTGAACAATGGCAACCTCAGGAGAAAGAAACATCTCTGCTGCGCCATACAAGAGGCAATCAACGGGCTGGATTCAGGTCAGTATGAGGGCTAAAATGACAAGGCTTGATACTCACAACTCGAGTATCGGAATCAATAATCAGGATGATCTCTCCCATTCGGATGTTACCATCAGCTTGAGCCCTGGGATCTTCCTTGAGCACTCTTTCAAGACAGATCTGGTACATCTCGTCTTCCTCACGCTGACTGATATGATCCGTCCCGTATGCTGCTATCCTGGTCTCCACCATCTCTTGTAGATAAGCCTCGACTCTCTGAGAGATGTTAAGTGCAAAGTTCATGTTGGATGCCTTCTTGAATTTCCCTTTACGCACGAAGCCGTCTTTGCCATGCTTTGGGCGGGACACCCATCCAATATTGTTGTCGTGGTAGTATTCTCTCCGGGCTTGAGCTTCTTCTTCTGGAATTATTTGGATACCATCATCGTTAATAAATATGGATGCGGTGCCTAATTCTGGTCAGTTTCATTCTCGTGAATTCAATGTCCAACCCCGCGATGACTACACACCTCCGTGAGACTCGTAGTGAGAAATAGCTTCCTTCAGACTGTTGATTGTGGGCTTAATGACACCTTCTAGACCTTCTTTGTAGACGGGCATTTGAATGGTGATAGGCGGGGGCGTGAACCCCTCTGAGTATGCGCGAGCAAGACTTGGTCGGATTGCGGAGAAGAATCGTGAGTTGCACTTGATACCGCCAATGGGGCCAAAGGCTTGGAACGAATCCGTGATGATAACGATGATGAAGAAGAGCCCTACCAACAAGAGCAAAGGAGTGACAGCAATGAAACCTAAGCGGGCCCACTTCCCATCTGTTAAGGCTTCGACGATTAATTTGGAGGTTGCAAATCCGAGAAGAAGAACGATAATGAGGCACATTCCCATGCCCACGAAGAAAGCGCTGGTGAGATAAACTGGCCGTTCAAGGGACTCTGGATTGTCCATCGATTTATCGTGTAATTGTAATGTGTCCTCCTGAACCAGATCGGATAGACCGAGGGGCGCTTTCACGATGCTCAGGTTCGACACAGATGGGTTCGGAGAACCGTATATACTAGGTGCTATGCTCGTCCCTGAAGGTGAAAGTAGACTGAACGGCAAAGCATCTGTACCCCAAACCTGCCATGAACACGTCAATACTGCTTCAACGTTGATGGAAAATCCTAACTTACCAATGACAGAAGTTTCTCTTCCAGCCGCGTCGCATGCGGTATTATTTGTTGCAGATCATCGTGCCATACAAGGGCCATACGCTCATCACGCACCAAGCAAGCATATTGGAATTTCTTGATATTCGTCGAAGCCACGGTGCTGAGCGAGTTCACGAATTGGAGCTGAGACCCATCCTTCAGACGCAGGTCTTTCCGATCATCATCCCACGATTGAAACAACCCTTCTATCATCTCGGTGCGCATTGTGAATGCCACCTCCACATTGAGCTTTTGAACGGCGGCGAGAAGGACGGGGGACATTATCTCAGGGTAACAGACATAATTGCCCCGCGATTTCTTGAGGAGGACTCCAAGGGCCACTCCTGGATGGCCGGAACCGAGTTGTGGTATCCATTTGTTATTTGAAATGCGTGCATATAGATAATTGACCATCTGTTGTAGAGTTAGACCTAAGTGCGATGCAAGGAAAGTAGATCTTTGGAACGTGCAGTTTTGTACCGGAAATCCTCCCCGTAAGTCACTCCCCCATCTGCTGCATAAGATCTCCAGGTATTGGTGTTTATCGATGATGAAGGCGTATGGAACGCAGACCCGATCATTGCGTTTGGTGCACTTCTCTCTTGTCCGAGGCTTCGGCCATCAGCAAATTCGGCGGGAGGCATGTTCAGCACAATACTACAGCGGCCGGTTGCAATGCTTTGTCACATAAAATCGTGAGAAAAGATACTGGTATGAAAAATCAGTATCTAATACTAAGGGTGATAAAGTATACATATTGAAGGGGACTTACAAAACAGGAATCTGTGGAACATTGATTGAATGACAAGTGTGTTACAGAAACACCAAAGAGGTTCCTGCTGTCTCAAGGCCTTGGTGAAGAAATGGCGGTGGCGTGCTGAGTTCTGAGGGGTAGAAGATATCCCTCTGAGATCGCAGCAATAGCGGCAGTCCCGTCACTTCCATGTACAAGAGACATCCTCAATATTCTGCCAATTTGTGGCGTCCTGGTGGCTCTCGCCTGACACCGGCTGCGTAGCCGCTGTAAGATGCAATATTTGAAAGCTCGATACATGGTTGAGGGCATATTGGACTGTGCTCGAGCCTTGGTTTGCGAGAGCGGGTGGGGGTTCGCAAGCCCCGTCAATGGTCCCCAATCTATTTCAGGGTTGGTACTGCTACTTTGGGATCCAATGCGGAGAGAGGTGAAAGGTGTGATCAATTAAGAAAGGGGAGTGCATAGGGGTTCAGAAAGCCGCATGCGGTAGGAGCTTCCGGGATGGGGCAACGTATCGGCGGCCGCACACTCCTTAGGGGAGCTCAGCCCGGTTCCACGGTCCTGGTTTGGTAAAACCGAAGGATGAAATAGTGTTGGTATGAATCCGCCTAGCAGGGGCTCTTTCTTTGAGCGGCTAGTGAGATTCCCCTTTCGACAGGCATGAGGTATTTCTCGTCCCGCTTAATGCGTAGAGCGGGACCACAAGTCTGAATGCTGGTTAGTACAGGCAGGGACCTGGGGGACTTGGGGAAAGTACACTGGGACTTAACTTAATCGGGAATAGGGCCTCTGGAGTGAGCGCTCACATAGAACTTATTCCAGTGGAGGAAGATATGAAAGGTCGGTAGAAGATGCGCTCGCGTTGGGCGCCGTTTGGTTGGTCGGAGGGCTTTACTTCAGGAGCCAATGGGGTTTGGGAAAGTTTTGAAGAGCTAGTAAGGGTGGTGATGCGTGCTAAGCAAAGCTTCACCAGCCACAGCAACGGTTTGAGCAGACCAGGGCTGTAGCGACCTTGAAAAATCGAGACTAAGAACCCTGGCCCAATTGCTCGCTACAACCTGCCGTAAGGACCGCAGGACTGTGCCGTTGTAGCCACGGATGATTAGCGCCAGGGGCTGTCATGATGGGCGGCACGTGTGGAAATCTCCGATAAGGCTACCCAGCCGCCCGTCCCAAGCCAGGGGGCTGTTCGGCTGGGCGTGGGGTTCTGCAGCCGCTTAGATTTGATCCTTCGCATGTCACGAAGAGGGGCTCGGGTAGAAAATGACCCAGCAGATGCCGCGTAGATCATCGACCCCGCGCTGTTCAGCTGGAAGTTCTGAAGTCAGTCCAGACCCGCAGAGATTTCAGGGGTGGATAGTTTTTCGAGGTTAGCTTTCTTGCCGTTGAAATTCTAGAAGGAGAAGCCTGAGATGCGAGAGTAATGTATGTGCAAGAGCGGGCGACGAGGTTTGAGATTGGGAACAATGCAATGCATAACTCAGATCTAATCTATCAAACACAAAAAGCAAAACCCTTAACACCCGACCCCCCGACACCCATTATCTAATATTACAATCCTTGCATTTCACTTGCATGCGCCTTCCTGCCACATCTTTACACTCTTCACAGTCATTCCCCTCGAGTCCCCTTTGCCCCACGTTGGTAACCAAGCCGCAGCATCGCTATAGAAGTCCCATTGTGCATTTGTGCCCGCATCTATCCAAGGTTTTCCATCCTTGGCATCTCTGTAGTCGTGGATTAGCAAACATAGACTTGCCAATGGGAGAACAATTGTGACGTGGAAAAACCTACGGAAACCAGCCATTTCTAGCCCCCACAGCCACGTTGAGGATGAGGAAAAATTCCTGATCGAACGGCGCTGCTTTTGAGTCGGTTTGAGACCAGGGGTTTGGAAGGAATTCGGGATTATCCGCCATCGTATCAAATTCGCCGCGCTGCCAGAAATTTTGCTTGGTCTGAAAAGAGATAAATAGAACTTCGTTAAGGCGGCTGTCGATATAGAAGAATAGATATTTCTCTGTCCATTCAAGGCCATAGGTATGGAAGGTTTCTGAATAATCTTTCCTGCGGAGCGCTTTCCCAGCTGTTGTTCTCCAGAATGCATCGGTGTCTGGAGAAGGACCTGAAAGAATGTTAATAAAATGGCCTTTATGTGTCTGAATCGGCTCACCCCAATGCAATGTACTTGTGAACACGTCTCTGCCCCCAGGATAACTATAGTTGTTGCCTCGTGCTTCCATAATATCAATTTCGCCGCTCGCGGGCCAAATTCCATACGTTGAGTCTTCTGGCATCATCCCTAGGAAATTGAGAAAGCCATTAGGTATGCAAGGCAGGGGACGGATTTAATGAGACTAACATATCGCTGGCCAGAGCCAATCTCCGGCAGGCAACTTCGCGGTCACCTCTACTCGGCCGAACTTGATAGTCTTTTTGCCCTGCGTTGTGAGTCTTGCGGACCGGACTGGGGGTATCATGTTTCCCAGTGTCGAGTTGGACTTGATAGAACAGGAATCTACCACTTTGCTAGTACAGGAACTATCTCCACCGGCAGTGGTGAGATTGAGTGTATATCCGTTGTAAAGCTGGTCATTGCTTATGTCAGTAGTTTCGTTCGTCAATGTCGGAACTATGTGAAGTCCATCTTTATCTACGTAAGAATTTTTCGGGTCCGTCGTGGTCCAGTCAAAGGAACCTGTACCAAATCCGTCGATCTGTCCAATGCTCAGCGGAATCCTGTAGAAACGCCCAAGATTATTACCTGCACCTCGTGATTCCAAATATTCGGATCAAGAGACTTAAAGTCATCCTGCAAAACAAGACAGTACTTCAGACCAGAAACAACAATCAGTGTCAAACTCCATAGGCCGAGTAAAGTCAGGGAACTTACAGGCCGTCTGTCTACTGTCCGGGCAGACATAAAACAGATGAGAGCACTCAAGAGAACACCAAGAACCATGAAGAAAGTAACAATGTAGTTATTCAGCATAGTTCTCTTCAGCCTTGGATGGTCCATCCATGGCTTAGGATAGTCCCCTTTCAGTCTGTAGCTTACAAACTTGTGTTTGCCCTGCCTCAAAGTCGGGGTCCGAGAGAGGTATGATTCGGAGGTTGGCGGGGATGGGGATGGTCTAGGTTCTGGTTGAGGGTCATCGAATGGGTTTGGATCTGCAAAAGGGCTGCGATGTTGGACATTTGTCTGGATTTCTGACATGCTCATACTCGAATTCTGTCTCTTCCTTGTCGCCATGATGTACAACTACAGTATAAAAGTGCGCACATAGAAAAAGTCGAAAAAGTTGTGTTGAGAAGTTGGCCAACTTGGTGTTGTTCTCGATGACCAATGCGCAATAAATCAAAAAGACTTTTTCCGAATTGGGCATCCCCTATGCTGAGTCGGGTATTCATGCACCGAAGGGAGCGTTTCTATTTCGAGATCTGTTTGTGAGAAGAAATCAATGATCCAAAGTCTCGAACCCAGGGGAGCAATTTTTCCTGCAGGATGAGGCAGCTGAGGGCGGCAAGAGGTAGGAGAAGCCAATAGCCCCAAGTTTACGCACGTGCGCCATGCCGCGTACCTGCAGCAACAATACCCGAGTCAGAAGAGGCGTCTTTTGTTTTTCTTCCCCTGCAGGAATTTGTGAGAGTAGATTTTACGAGCCGCTGATAATATTATTACATCCAGAGCATTGTGGAGCTGAATGTTTCTCCACAAATCTTTATTCTTCCCAAGGTGATCTGGAACAGCCACAGAGCACAAGGTTCGGCAAACTTTTGATCCAGATTATTCAATATTTTGAACGTAATGTCCTCAAAGCGTCTCAGCAATATTTCCTGGCTTAAGTATTTATTATTTCCTGGTTCCCTTTGTCTCCTCTTCAGAATCTCCTTCCCCACTCTCGCATTCCGAGTTATTTGTACTTCGCAATTCTCGTCACTCCTTTAAATCATTCATTCACCATGAAGAGTGCCTTCGTTGTTCTCTCCGTCCTTTGCGGAATCGCCGCAGCACAATCGGAGCTGGATTATGCAATCGGATCTTATCAAGATGTCCCAGTCCTCCCAGATGTTGCTGCACCAGCCGGTGATGCTGCACCTCAGATGACGAATTTCAACATTACCTCGGTTGCATCGGACGTTGTGGAGGCTGTTAACACCAACACCACTGTTGTCACTGCAACCAATGTTGTAGAAGACAGTGTTGTTGTCGGCAAGCGACAAGTGACCTGCACCACACGATCTTTCAATGCGCCACAAGTCACAGTTCCTACGGATAGCCCAGCAGCATTCCAAAGCTATGCACCTTTTGCTGCAGCAGCCTCTGCAGCAGCACAACCCGCCGCTATTCCTTCAGGATACGCCCTTGTGCCAGAATTCGTTAATCTATTGGCCGCCGTCAAGACTTCACAATACTTGACATATACCACCCAAGGCCTTGCAGCAGGATATAATCCTCAGGTTTGCGCTGCCAAGTGTAACTCACTTGCGGGCTGTGTTGCGTTCAATATCTGTAAGGTCTCTCTCGTTTGCCTTGGCGTTTGCTAATTTCGTTATTTCAGACTATGAGCGGAATCCTTTGGTCGTGAGCGTGGCGACTCAGGTACCTGATGACACTGTCTGTCCAGGGCTGGCCACCTCTCCTTCAGCAACGCTGTTAAAGTGTGCGTTCTACGGTATTCCGGTCACTGCAGATCAAGCTACGAACGTCGGCCAATTCCAAGGACAATTCCACGTCGTCATCGCTGGTTCCAACGCCTACATCAAAACCTCGGCTCCCACCCTCCCTGGCTATGAAGGTCCTGTTCCCTTTGGGGGGGACTCCATAAACGCACCGGCACCAGTGATTAATCACGGCTACCTCCGCGTCCAAACTTTTGGTCAAAATGTTCCTTTTGATCCTTCTCTCTGCGCTACATCTTGTGCCGCTCAGACTGCATACAATGCCGCTCACAACATCGGGCTTGGACCTTGCGTTTTCTTCAACGTCTATGTTCTGACCGAAAATGGGGCCAATGGTATTCTTACATGCACCTACTTCTCTACTTCCTACGGACCTGCGTATGCCACCAACCCTGGCCAGTACGATGCTGCAGGCAATCATTACGAGGTTACCAGCAGCTACGGCTACTATCTTGATGGCTACTTCGTTGAGTAAGCACAGAACCTGGGTAGGGGATTTTGGTGATTGTGGGGCGCTTGAGCTTGCAGGTTGATGTCTAATGGTGAAGGCGGTGGGCTCCCTTTTTGAAAATGGCTTGGGAACAAACGTATTGTAGCGAAGGGATGATAATTTGGATAGAATGGTCTGCAATTTTTTGGATTTGAGTGTACTTCTATTTTAATGATAAAGCTTGTTCTAAGCATCATTGTGTTGAGACATGCAAATATTTTATGATTCAAAAAGACCATGCCTTGGAGCAGTTTCTCTGTGATTAAGTTTTGACAAGCACTAGGATATTGACATTGCCTAATAATTCAAGGAAAAAGGGTTCACTATCTTGTAATATGCAGAAGCCATTTGGAAAGCAATTTATGTATGTAGGAGATTGAGATTTATGATTTCTAATTCTATGATTAGGAAAGTATCCTTAAGCAGTAAAAGTTGAGTTGGTTTATTTACTACAGCAAAAACCCATTGTTAAAAAGAGTTCTCTTCAAGAAGACCGTCTAAATGTGCATTTGTTACTGGTCCCGGATCTACCATCTCCATGCAACTCCTCAGCCAGTTTTGTGACTAATCCCATGAACACCCTCCCGTTGGGTACTTCCTCATCTAAGATGTATCTATCAATAGGGGCAAAAGTCCATCCAACAAAATTTCTGCCCAAGCGTTATTGTGTATTGTTCGCGATACGCCAATCCGAGACTGTCGGGGACTCCGAGGTGGGAGCCATGTACCCGCCTGTTCGTGGCCCGAGAGTATTGAAATTTTATGCGCCAAACCATTACTCCGTCCCGCCGAGAAGCTCGTAACTTTACTGTATCGTAGAACATAAATCAAATTCTCGACAGGGATGTGTGCCACAAGGGTATTACCCGAGTGGGCGAGTGCGACCACACTATCGAAGCTTGCATGTGGTGGCTTTGTTCCTGAGACTGAGGGTCCGGCGGTACGGCGCTGCAGGTGTGACAAAGCGTTAGGAGTTTGTGGCTTTGAGACATAAAATAATTTGCGCTTTTAGCGTTTTACGCGTTGTGCACAATGGTGGCTGCGAGGCTTGGCTAAGCTTTTCGTTCTGTCGCAGATTAGGCACCAGATTCCGGGAGGCTTCGACCCGTAAGCACAATCATAATAAGCAATTCCATCTTTAAAGCCCCTTAAGCCACCGCCAGGCACAGCCGTTCTGCATTGGGCCAAACAGCCAGCCTGCAAATAGTGCCCAGTCTAAATCAATTTTCCAAGACAAAGCTACATGCAAATTGACATGATGGTTCTCGGGTGAGCACGCAGCAAGCTCCACAACCACGAGGGCCAACCATTCTTCGGTTGCTTGAAGATGAGTAGCACTTCTTTTCTCAAAGAAATGGTTTTCTATTGATCCAGTTGCTTCTGTCACTGCTTCACAGTCATTACTGCTTCGCTATCACAGCATCTTCACAGTCACTACTACCTTCATTGTCGTTTCTTCTTACTTTCGTTTTCTGGCGGCATTTCTTCCAACTCTATTTTCTTACCCTTGAAATTTTACTTGCATAATAAAGACTCTTCGTGGAACGGCAAAATGAGGGTCTCAATAGCCCTTAAGGGCCTATTGGGCCTCAGTTTCTGTTTATCAGTTCAAGGATATGATCCAACAGACTCAATTATGGACGCCGGTAAGGATAGATACTTGGTACTCTGTACGAACACAAACTAATTGAATTTGTAACAGATTCTTCTCAGACAGGCTATCTCCCAAATCATAATATGGACCCCGCGGTTGTTGGTGGTGGGTCTTTCGGTCAGATATGGCAATTCAATCTTCCTTCAAATCCATACGGCCAGCTAGAGCAGTTTTACGCAAAGCCTTTGGTCTATACTCCAAGCAGCACCAACCGCCAGGTGGTACTTGTTTTTTCCGAGCAGAATCGAATATTTTCCCTCGATGCCGTGAATGGAACCCTGGTTACCAGTCGGGATTTGTCGTTAGACGGAGAAGCCCCATTCAACGTTGCTGATTTAGGTTCCTGCAACGACATCAGTGGAACAATTGGGATTACGGGGACACCAGTGATTGATCCATCAACGGATACAATATACTTTTGGGCTAAAAGTTATTTGGCGCCGGGCTTGAGAGGATATCAGAACGGGGCATTTTATTTTCATGCAATTGATGCCGCTACGCTGAAAGAAAAGCCCGGATTCCCTGTCAACATCCAAGGCGAAACAGGTAAGATTTAAATAGTATTATAGCTTGAATGATGTTTTCTCTAACTTTGAATAGCCGACAATGATCATACTCGATATTTTACTGGAGGTACCGTGCATCAAAGAGCCTCTTTGAATTTGGTCAACGGAGTTGTCTTTGCAGGTTTTGGTGGCCACTGTGACCAGTATAATTACACTGGCTGGATCGTCGGTATGAGTACCCAAGGGAAATATCTTACTGGCTACTCTACCAGTGCTGGACCCACCGCAGCTCCCCAGGATGGAACCTGGAATGGTGGGGGAGGAGGGTGCGGAGTCTGGATGTCCGGCATGCCGATCGTATCAGACAACTCGGGTCGCATCTTCTTTTCAACTGGAAATGCGTACAAGGTTTCAAATAATGGACTTCTTCCTGCTTCAGGGCATCTTCATCTAGATACACTCTCTGAGGCGTTTGTCAACCTTGCCGTCAACAAAACAACAGGGGCTCTTACTCAACAAGACTACTTTGAGACCTACCAGTATCAAGCAATGGACGCTGCTGATCGCGATCTTGGCTCAGGGGGGGTCATGCTTCCAGATCCGGGTACATTTAGTGGTGGCGGAGTGGCTCGCCTGATCGTTGGGTGTGGAAAGAATGGAAACTGCTACATCACAAATGCCGACAATCTTGGCGGATACAAACTTGGATCTGCTGGTGGCGATGCAATCATTCAGACCATTACCCCTCCAAGCGGTTCGCCGGTGTTCGGCAATCCAGGGTCGTATCCTCTGGAAGGCGGTTATCTCTACATGACCCCCGTTGGATCTCCGACTTACGTTTACGCGTTGGGCTTTGACTCGAGTGGACGCCCTGCTTTCACCTTAGTTGCTCAAACAGGTGATATCGTCACTGGTCGTGCTGGCGTTGGTCCGCCAACTATTACATCTTACAAGGGCCAGCAAGGTACTGCGATCCTGTGGTCTTTGGATCCTGATGCTGGGGTTCGAGCGTATAATGCGGTCCCTGTCAATGGGCAAATGACGAGAATACCACTGAACTCTGCCTCTTCTGTTGCAAAATATCAACGTGTGGTTTTCGGAGATGGCCGCTACTATCTCATTACCACTGCCGGTACTGTGGTTGGCTACGGATCCCCTGTCAAATCGCCGTTGACTTGCAACGATCCCCTCAACTTTGGCTCCATCGCTATTGGATCAACGAAGACGCTGAATTTGACGTGCACTGCAAATATTCCGATTACCAGCATCAACATCACAGCTCCCTACATGTCAACTTACCAGGTGTCAAACTCCAGCTTACCGCGAGGGAGCCTGAGCACTGGTGCAATCTTTTCATTTCCTATCACTTTCAACCTTACGGCAGCCGTAGCTCCTGGAGTCCAGTCAACGTCTATAACCCTTCGCACTGCCAACGGAGTGACAGGATTTTCTACGCAGCAACCTATCTCAGTGACCGGGAAAAGTGTTAGTGCGAACCCGTATGCATCTTTGATACCACTGCAAGTTGACTTCGCTCCTCTGGTTATTGGATCCGCGGCAGCCGAGACAGGTTCCGCCAGTACCTTTGTTATCCAGGACATCGGACAATCTGACCTCGTAATCCTCGGATATGCCTTTACAGACAACATCATCCCCACTGTCGCAAACACCAATGTCACGGTGGGTGGTTCGGCAAATGGCAACTCTGTCTTGGACAAGAATGGCGTCTTTACCTCCAACGATCTCCCAGCTGTGGGAAGCGTTATTCGCAACGGCACGTCTGTCACTGTCAATGTACTTTTCAACGCTTCAGCCATTGGAAATTACTTCTCCCTTCTCCAAATATATACCAACGGAGGCATGGTGTACACGACGCTCGTGGCATCGGCAGACTCTTCTCCCATTGCTCTTCTCCAGCAGTCCACGAGTGAAGGAGGGTGGATCACCATTCCAGACTGTGTTGTCCCTGCCGATGGCTGTACCAATCAGGTCGACTTAGGGACTTCAGTCGGCATCGGCCAATTGAGCGTGACCATCAGTTTCACAAACGAGGGGGGTTCTGACCTGGAAATTACGAAATCCAAACCTCTTGAGGGCTCTGTTCTTGGAGCAGAGAATCCCAATACCGACCTTTCTGAAGGATTGTTTATTTCTCCTGGTGATACTGCGACAGCCGCAATATTGTTCTCTCCCGGGGTATCAGTCTTGAATGCCGACCCAATCATCTACTCCGGTGCTTGGACGCTTAATACGAACGATTTAACCTTTGGAGTTCATACCCTCAATTTCACTGCCACATTGGCAGCTCCGCAAGTGGGGCCTCTGATTAGCGGGAAGTCCCAATTCCAGTACTTGGGCTGCTTTCAGGATAGTGTGGCCAGTCGCATCGAACCCACCCAATACAACAACGTCAATAATACGAATGGCCTTTGCCAGCAGCAAGCTCTGGCGGCTGGTATGCCTTTTGCTGGAACCGAATATAACACCGAATGTTATGTTGGATCTAACATACCCTCTCCTAGCTTGAAAGTCGCAGATTCGTTGTGTTCAACTTATTTCTGTCCTGGAGACCGCACTCAAATTTGTGGTGGAATAGGAGGCTATATATATCTCTTTTATGACACCACGAAGTACTTCCCGCAGAATGGTACTCTGGCTATCAGCGCACCCTCTTCTCTACCAACTGTTGGCCCTTACAAGTACCTCGGATGCTTTACCGACAACACAGGATCAAGAGCACTTTCCGGCAAGATTCCCGGAGCTACATCCACCAACACACTTGAGAGTTGTGCTGCAGCTTGCAGCGGTTACAACTACTTTGGGACCGAATATGGTACTGAATGTTATTGCGGAAACTCACTGGGAAGCTCTGCAACAGCGGCTGTCTCCACAACCTGGTATGTCTTATTTTACCCTTGCTTTTGGGGGTTCTCTTGAAGATGTACTCTCGAAGCATAACTTGAATGGCCTTTAAGACAAACCATTACTAACCCATCTACAGCAATATGCTTTGTGCCGGGTCGACTTCTGAGATGTGTGGAGGCTCTAGCCGGATCTCAGTGTACGTCCTGAGTAGCTATAATTCATCAGTTGTGACAACTTCACCAACCGCTACAACTTTATCCTCGACCAAAATCTCAACTCTGGGGTCACTTCCCACGGTGGGAGCATATATGTACGTCGGCTGCCAGACAGATTCAGTTGCCCAACGAACATTGTCCACGAAGAGCACACAAAGCAGCACAATGACAGTAGAGAGCTGTTCGTCGTTTTGTGCTGGGTATACCTTTTTTGGAGTTGAATACTCTGCGGAATGTTATTGTGGAAATACCCTTGTGGCTGGTTCCACTCTAGCAACTGATGGACGTTGCAACATGGCGTGTAATGGAAATGCATCAGAAACTTGCGGTGGCCCCAGTGGTCTCTCTTTATACCAGCTCATATCTTCAACATCCAGCAGCACCACAGTTGGCTCCTCGGTAAGCCAGCAAAGCCAGTCAACACAGTCGACTCAAACAAGCTCGTCCTTCACCCAGACCGGCTCTTCGACCCAAATAACCCAGACCAGCTCAGTACCAGCTCCCACTCCGACCGTTGCTATCACCTGTCCAGCTTCAAACGCAACAATATACACAGCCACGAACGGGGACACCTTTTTCCTGGAGTGTTTTCTTGACCGTCCAGGGAACGACTTGGGGATGTCTTACGTTGGCTCTTACGCCCAATGCGCTGAACTATGCGCCTACGCCGCTAACTGCGTAGCTTTCAGTTGGTTGCCTCCTGGACCGTCAAATCCGTGCTATATGCACAAAGCAATTGGAACTGGAAACAGCAACTCTGGTGTTTGGGGAGCCAGACTGGTTGTGCTACCTTCATCATCAAGCGTTCTAGGGAGCTCCAGCACAATTCTGTCAACGTCGCTCTCGACCATTTCATCATCGGTCACGAGCTCCATAACTTCCCTCACTTCATCATTTTTGCCTTCTTCCAGCACAAGTACTCAATTGTTGTCAACTACGAGTTCTTCCTCTCATTCAACAAGCACGAGCAGTGGGTCCCTCTCAACATCTAGTATATCTAGTACTTCCACCTCTTTTACAGCAACATCCTCGACACATAGTTCGTCAAGCTCGAGTTCATCTCAATCATCCTCATCCAGCACTAGCAGCGGAACACTCTCGACCACGAGCTCTTCCTCGCTCTCATCGAGCATGAGCAGCACAACCCTCCCGATTACGACAAGCAGTAGCACCACACTTCCTGGATCAGTCTCGAGCTCCAGTTCATCTTCATCATCCAGAGGGACCTCGGTGTCAAGCACGAACACTGAATCCCCCTCAAGTAGTAGCACAGCTCTCACGACCACGACAAGTAGTAGCACGTCACTTCTTGGATCAGTCTCCTCGAGTTCAAGCTCGTCTTCATCATCCAGACAAACATCCGTGTCGAGCACACTAAGTACCAGTGTCATAACTGCCACAACTTCATCCAGCAGCAGTTCCACTCTGTCACCAACGCTCCTACCTGGTTGGGGATACATCGGCTGCGCGAACGACAATACTGGCAACCGAGCGCTCACCAACGCGAGCACTACGGTTTCAACCATGACCGTCACTTTGTGTCAATCCTACTGTCAAACGAACAACTTTCCACTGGCAGGCGTCGAGTATGGAACGCAATGCTTCTGCGGGTTCTCGTTCTCATCAGGACACACGCTGGGGCAAACTGGATGCACCATGGCATGTGGGGGAAATAGCGCCCAACAGTGTGGGGGTTCTTCAAGACTATCAGTGTACAACAATACTGCGTATGTGATGCCTCAAGTTGTTTCAAGTGTGAGCACGTACCAAATGAAGGCTTGCTATAACGATAACGTAGCAGCCAGAGCTTTTAACAGCTATGTCATAGCCACAAACGCTATGACAGTCGAGATGTGCGTCAGTTCGTGTAGCGCTCGGGGCTTTTTGTATGCTGGAGTTGAGTTTGGGAGGGAATGTTATTGCGGGAATGCAATAGCTTCAACAAGCTCACCGATATCTCTCTCAACCTGTCAAGAGAACTTTTGTAGTGGGAACATGACGGAGTACTGTGGGGGTTCGAATGCACTGTTGGTTTATTCTCAATAGAATCAAAGGTGAACGAAGACAAGGCATAGAATTTAGGCGGCTACCCTGCCCTGAGGGGATTAATTTCTGCCATCTACTATTTCGCCTTCCTTCTTATTTATTTCTCAATCAGTGAGGCGGAGTTAGTTTTAATATAAATTTTATGGTGAAAGTTTCTATCGAGGCATTTGAATTTTAGTCTTTTGTTTCGAGTGTATAACCCAGGACTGCGGCTCTTTTTGACATTCTTTGCAATGTCTTTTGCGTTATCTGCTACTGCCACTGCTTGGAACCTCCAAGATTGTAGTACTTCTTTGACTAAGTCCCAAGTTAAAACTGAACAGGAAGTCGAGATGCTGGAGACTGTGTGTACAGGGCAATAACTAGGTTGGCGGTGCGTGCCCAACTACGACCGCAACCGACTTCTATGTCACCTGTAGCAACACTTCCTACAAGACAACACGCCCGCGAGTTGTAACAGGCTTCTACTCCAACGAGTCCGCAATACCCACGGCTGCTGGCGCCACTGCCTTCTCAATGTTAGCGTCGGGACGGATGAGGAGCAATCAGACGACCCGCTTCGAGCTTACTCTACCGTAATTGGCGGGTAGGCGTATACTCTTCCTGATGGCGGTGTGTGCCCACAACAACTGCAGCACCAGATGGAGGGTTTATATCCCTTATCCTTGCTATGGAAGTAACATCTCCCTATCGCTCGTCTTGCCCACATCGCTAACGCTGACAAGCCAGCCAACTGGATCACCGTACAGCAGCTCATGTTGTGCGTAGTATACAACTTCTGAGGCGTGTAACGGCAGCGGAGAGCACTCAGCCTGCGAAACACAGAAACTATGTGTGCCGTCCGCCCCGCACTGGTCCTCTTACAAGACGATAGGCTCTGCTTTGTGCCCAGACAACCAAACCTGCATCCGCACAACCATTGTGCCACAGTACGTACAAGTTATAGGGAGAATATTACCGATAGTCACCGCAATGGCGACTAGCACTCCAACAGAACTAGGAAAACTCAAGTCAAGAGTGCTTGCTATATTCAATGCAACCTCTATATACGGAGAACCTTCAGCACCAGTCAGGCTCAAATCGGAGCCGAGAACAAGAAGGAAGCTGCCGTTCCCGACCCAGACTTCAACACTAAAGAGATTCAGTTCATGAACAGCGGCTGTACTATCTTCGACGACATCCTTAGTGATCAAGGAAATTGTACAGGCATCCCCAACTTCAATTGCGGCCGCGGTAATAGCATAATCTGGTGGTGGAACAAAATCTTCTACAAAAGCAAAAGTTATGGCAGCCCAACATATCCCCGGTATCTGACACGCACTATTACAGATAAACTCTATTTTTGCTGGCAGGGGGTGGGCTGCGGACCCTGCCTGCGGCCTGTATCCAGGATTCCTTTGCCTGCCAGTACGGGCTTGCGCCCCCTATCCATAAACAGGTTATATTGAGAATAAATACAGATTGGAGAAAATAAGACGGGTCTCAGATTGGGCTTACAAAATCATATCTTCTTACTAAATGAGCTGGCTTGTGGATGAGTCCAGCGAGGTTGGGAGGTCGCGGTAAAGAATCTCTCTGGGACAATAGCTGGCGGTGGAGAGATTAGTAGTCAAATGAATCCACTAAAGGATAACTACGGTGTAAGACTTACTATAATACAAGTACATACCCAAGCAGATTTTTATGCCGCACATATCGGTATCGCAACTTGGGTTTGTGGAGTTCTGCCATTCCTAATATTCCCTCGCCATAAGGCGGGGATGTTGCTGAGCACCCCAAAGCTACCCCTGAGCTAGTTAAGACCTAGCCCGAAGGCCTCCAAAGATACAAGCTCTTGTAATAACGTGTATCAGTGAATATTTGGCGAGAATACCAAAATCGGGAAGATCGCGCCAGACGACTCTACTTCATAGCCCTGTCAAATCGCACACCTAAATAGAACCTAAATAATATAGATTTAAAGGAGCCAAAGCTTCTATATTTTGTGATTAATTTGAGCGATTATTTCTTTATTTCGAAGGCGTTACTAAGAACTTATAAAGGAAAGGGCGGAAACGAGAGAGTCTGATATTGCTACTGAGCATTGTGTGACGTGCAAATCGGGGATTTTACATTTAAGCGAATCCAGTACGAGAGTACTCGTAGTGATTCGCCCAATGTCTCAGCTGATCACATGCAGCCACAGAAGACGAGCACATAGAACTCATCTTCAGTTGCGAACTCAACCATCCTTCCACTATGGTGCCAGAATGAGACAGTTAGGTGAAGACGCCCAAGAACGGAAACAATGCGCAAGATTCGAAGCTTGACTACACTCGGCGCGGCTGTCGTCCTGCTTGCGGTAGGGTTCATTCTCGCTGAGCGCTATTTCCTCGACCTCGGCTCCATCAATCAGAAGATCATCTCTCTCGGGGTGGACGACCAAGACCAAGTTAGAAAATGGTGGAAAGAAGCCGTAATCTATGAAATCTACCCGGCATCCTTCAAAGACTCCGATGGCGACGGCATTGGAGACGTACCCGGCATCATCTCGAAGCTGGACTACCTGCACGATCTCGGTGTCGATGTAATCCACATCTGTCCGCACTATCAGAGCCCTCAAGTCGACATGGGCTACGACATCTCCGATTATGAGGACGTGCATCGACCGTACGGAACCGTGGAAGATGTACAGGCTCTAATTCACGCCACCCATACTTGCGGCATGAAAATCATCTTCGATCTCGTCATCAACCATTCTTCAGACCAGCACAAATGGTTTGAGGAATCTCGGTCCTCAAAAGATAATCCCAAACGCGACTGGTATTTCTGGCGCCCGGCAAGGTGGGATGCAGAGGGGAAGCGGCATCCGCCGAATAACTGGCGCAGTCACTTCACCGCTCCGGCATGGACGTGGGATGAGAAGACGGAAGAGTATTATCTGCATATCTATGCACCCGAGATGCCGGACTTTAATTGGGAGAATGAGGAGACGAGAAAAGGGCTTTACAATTCGTCTATGATTTTCTGGCTTGAGAGGGGTATTGATGGATTCCGGATCGATACTGTGAATAAGTATTCGAAGGATATCAAGTTTCCTGATGCACCGATTGTTGAGCCCTGGGAGGAGACCCAGCCAGCGTCGGAATTCTACAATAATGGTCCACGCATCCATGAGTATTTGGGGGAAATGAAAGAGATTCTTGATCGCTATGGTGCACTCACCGTGGGTGAGCTCTCGCATTTTCCGTTTAGTGAAGAAGGTGTGCTGCAGTTCGCGTCCGCAGGTTCTGGACAGTTGAATATGGTGTTCAACTACGCGCTCATGGCTCTTGGGCAAACACGAGAGAGGGGCCAACATAGTCGATCGCCGTTCAATGCTCCAGTTTTCAAGAAGGAGATGTCGCGCTGGCAAACATTTGCCAGCGATACCGACGCTTGGGTGACGCTGTTCTTGGAGAATCACGACGCTCCGCGCTCAATCTCTCGCTTTGGGTCGGATGGATCGGCGGAGGAGCAGATGAGGAGTGGGAAGATGATTGCGATGTTGCTCGCAACAATGACGGGGACACTGTTTCTGTATCAAGGGCAGGAACTCGGTCTGGCTAATGCGCCACGGTCATGGCCTGTTGAGGAGTTCAAGGATGTGAGGTCTGTGAATATGGCCAGGAAGGCGAAAGAAAAGTGTAAGCACGACTCGACGTGTCTGAAGAAAGAAATAGACGAACTCTGGGAGACGGCGAGGGATCACGCCAGGTTGCCGATGCAGTGGAACTCGGGGCCAAACGCGGGATTTACAGACGAAGGCGTGACGCCTTGGATGCGTGTGAATAATGATTGGAAGACCAAGAATGCGGAGCTGCAGAGTGGGAACTCATTGAGTTTGTTGGGCTTTTGGAAAAGGATGTTGAGGTTGAGAAAAGAGTATAAAGATCTTTTTGTCTATGGTGTCTATCAATCATATGCAACCGAGGCGGCAGAGTTGTTTGTATTTACAAAGGTGGGGAGTGGGAAAAAGTCACTTACCGTTGTGAATATGTCTGGCGAGGAGAAGAGGTGGGAGGGGGCTTCTTCAATTTTGGGAGAGGGATGTCGAATTTTGATAGAGAATATTGGAGGTGGAGCTCAAAGGGAGGAAGTATTATCCGCTTGGGAAGGAAGGGTGTATTCTACCGTCCTGTGATTCTTGATAAGCTGAATATGACCGAGTGTCGCATTCATGATTTCGAGGTTGGCGAGACACGAAAGAATTAGCTTAAACATACACAGTATATCAAAGGATTAATCACGTTGATCAAATTAATCAATTAATTAATCAATTAAGGTGATTAGATTATGATTAATGTAATTCAGATTTTTTTTGATTAGATTAGAATAATTAAACAGATTAATCATGATTAATCTAATTAATCTGTCACGTGACTGTAGTAAATCACTATTTACTTAATAAGTATTAAATAACTAAGGCACCTATCAAGTAGCCCTAGTTAAACTAAGCTAGGGCTTATATAATAGTAGCTATATACTAGCTTTCAATAATAAACTACTTATTTTCCTATATTCCTGTTACGTGGCACCAGTCACGTGGTGCCACTGCACGTGACTTAGCGTGTAGCCAGTGCTTTTAGCCCGGCATACAGCCTTCAGCTCAATTCAAGCTCTTTACCACCACTGCAATATCACCTTATCGTGACAATTCCCCTTTTTTTAATTTAGCTTCGGGTCGCTTACTAAGCATTGCCGCCCCTGATTAGTGTAGCGCTAGAGCTAGAGCGGACAGGAGCGCTACCAGATTCGGCTAGCCCCGTCACGTGTAAGATCACGTGTGTATTAATCAGATTAATCATGATTAATCTAATTAATACATGAATAGAATATGATTAATGAGTATGTTTCGTGATTAGATTAGATTAATGGGCCATTAATCTAATCTAATCTAATCTAATCATTTGACACGCTGAACATACAGCCGCATAAATTAGAGACTCGAAAGTTGTGCCAGTTCAGGAGCCGCAGTAGTATTTTCCGCCATCATGGTCGTTGGTGGTGGATTGGGTTTTTAGCAGAGCCCATTCAAGAGACAAATCCAGCCGACAAAGTTGCACGAGCTATTGCATGTAAGTCGGCAGCTGACATCCCCGGGTGTGACACTATCGTCGTAGTAGCAGCATGTTGCTATGGCTGGAAATACGAGATATAGATGCAAAGATAGGAGAACGAGCAGCATAGTTACTTCGCGAGAAAGTTGATATTCGCGATGTAATTGCGGCAGGCTTGTCGAAGGGGTTCCAACTTTTGACTTGGGTCAAACACAGAACAAGAACCAAAAGTCAATACTTACACTGTTCGAGATTCGAGAGGCTCCAACTTGGGGCTGAACAAAGAGGAGTTGCAGCATGCTGCAAGCTTGGGAGGGACGATATGAAGGATTCCATAGGGCATAACCCAATCACATTTCCTTCCATATCAACACCACGAACAGCGTGTCTCCTATCATTGCGGTTTATTTCAGGCACATCCATCGCACGGACAGGATTCGGCGAGCACGGAAGCGGTCCTCTGACTTCAATGTGACGTTGTGGGCAAGCGAGGGTTTTGGCTAGAGTCTCTTCAATGTCCCCCTGCGCTCCTGCAGCCTTCGCACAGCTCTCTATGCCAAAACGGGCCTTGCACCTGGTGCAGGCTTCCAGGGTCATCGTTTGAGTTTCTTCGAAGATCCCGACCTCATTCGTCCAACTTTCGTGGCCTGCAGTTGGAAAGATAAGGGGCGGGCAAGATATTGACGGCCGAGTGGCGGTACGAGCTTACATAATTCAGGCCCCTGAGTTTTAGCGAGAAAAGCCCCTATTTCATGCAAACGAAGTCGATGAAGCGGGGCTTTACTATGTGTCGCCCGAATTTCCTGTCCTGAAACCGAGGTGGTTGAAATCTTGGAGCATCCCTCGCACATGGTGATGAACGCTTCACTCTCGGAAGGTGCTTCACAGCGAGTCAGATTATGGCAAGCACCTGCACGTGATTCGTCGCTTGACTAGCACGATTCTTCAGCGCTGTTTCCTTCCCAGACGTGTTCACAGATTTCGCTCTCTTCAATACTTCCTTTTTGCATCCATTTATGCTCAGCTCCAGAGTTATCAACACGAAAGAAACCAATACTACGAACTTGATATGAACAGCACATCACGAGTTATGTCAACAAGAGTGCCGACTGAGTGTACGCATTGTGGTGAAGCACATTCGGAACGGATTGAGCTTCGGGAATGTGGAAACTGTTCCATCCGCTTCTGCTGTAGTAAATTTCCCACAACTTGAGCTTTAATCCAAGCACGCGGCTGTCCCTGCTTTCCAAACAGGCAAAAACTGCTCCAAAAAGCATCAGCCTTTCCACCAACAAGAATGCAACCAACCGAACTACATCCTCAGATTAGATCTCTTCCCGGGATCATTCTGCAACCCGTACCTCGCTCGGACGCTGCCATGTCCGAGCAGCGCAACGTTGTCAGCACTGCACGGTGCTATAAAAGTTGCATTTGGATGGGCCAATATTGATTATCTATTTTCCTTCCACCTTGCGGCACATCAAGCAGAACCAAAAAATTGTTCCCCAGCCACACGATTTCGAACAGTCATTGGCTTTGCATTCATCCCAGATACGGACGCTATGCGAGATTGTTGAAGACCCCGACCTCAATGCCAAGCATATCGACGGCTTCGAATTCCTGAAATACACACACCATAACTGTGTCCAGAGCTGGGAGCACAAGATTTTCTATACTGAAAGCACACCGGGGACAGGGCATCTCGTTTCCCTAGATGGCGAAGGTTGCGGTTGCATGGACGAAGCTTGCGAAATCACAGTCTGAGGAGATTTTTGCGTGCTTCAAACGCCGAGGATGACGACTTCGATCAGCAGAATAATACTAAAAGGATCCTAAGTCTGTACTAGGAGGGACAGATACTGTATCAATAAACTATTATTCGAACTAGATGGTCATACCCAAACTGTGGACCGAACTTTGCGCACAAACCCCTCCATCTTGCTTATTTCACTCGCAAGGTCCAATGGTTTGATGAATTGTACTCGGGAGTTATTGCTAGACTCCGGCCGCGGGCTGTCGTGAGAGAAGTGACGAACGTCACGACTTCACACGAGCACTTGTGGCGGTCATATATATACTACTCAATCATTGCTACCGATCGAGCCATTTTCAAACCGCGTTTTGCACAGCTCAACCGCGCACTTGCGGTTTACGCCCGTAACTCTACTCACTGTTACAGAGACCCAAACCTGGCTAGCGGACAAAACCGAGAAGCGAAAAGTGATTTTCTGATTTTTGATTTTCGCACTGGCGCACCGCACCACTTGGGTTGAAGGCACGGCACAAAGTTGAGGCTAGACATGTTGTGAGCAATTGTGAAGAAGCTAGATTGTATATACATCAGAAGAAGCACGATTCCACCCTCCTTCAACTGTACAACTCTCACTTCACAGAAAACCACGCCCCCACCCCCCCTTTCATGCGCTGTGTGTAGCAATGCTCCTTTGAAACCGTAGCCAATTCGACAGTATCTCCTGCCTTGCTCTTGATATGTGGAAGCGTGGTGTCCTTCATGTGTCCCCAGCGACCATAGCCTTGTTGAATTGCTGTTTGACCGCAGTGAAAGAAGTGCTTTTGAACTCCAGTCATTCTTCTGGGTGTTGTTCTGGATATGCATGCACTGCAACGGGAACTTCAATAATACCCATACTGCTGATATACATAGTCAATTCTACCCTATCTCGCTCTGTCCAACTCCGAAACAAGATTGGAATGTAGTCCATCGATCTCAACTGGTTGCGGTTGATACGACTCGCCATGGAGCTCGGGAATATGGGTTGGAATTATCACGTTCTCCTGTGTGCCAGATAATTCTTTTCTTTCTCCCGTCGAACCTGGCACTCTCTGGCCATCCAGCTCCGGCTTTTCCACCCCCAGACCCGGCTCTCGAGCTAGCGAAGAATGTGGTCCCTTCCGATGCCATCTCATCACAACAAAGGCACCTAAGACAAGGGAGATAACTACGACGGGAATAGTTACGCCTATCGCAATCTTCGCGTCTTGAGACAGCCCGCCAGATGAGATAGAGGACGCCGAGCCTGTTTGGGCGCCTGAGGATGATGTCGCGCCAGTGACCGTAGCTTTCGCGTTTGCCCATTCACCCCAGGTTGGGCTCACCTTCTGCAGTACCGGAAGGTCAGATGGCCTGTATTTCACATATATTGGATCTGCGTAAGCCGGCAGAACCGATGCCGAAGTCGAAATTGTTTTGTCGCTCTCGCATGTCCAAAAAGTTACAGGTCCCAGTGATGGGTTTTGCGTCGTCGTTCTCGTATAGCTATTGTCAGAACAACTCGTAACAACGATGTTTTCAGCCAATGATGAACAACCAATAATCCCCGGCCAAGGCATGCTGTATCCCCTATGGAAATGTCAATGCCTCAAATATTATTCCCACCTCTAAGGTATGAGGCTTACGCGGGGCAGCACCACACGGTTGTTTCATCAGCGATGGACGAGATGCTGAAACCGTCAGAGCTGTATTGTGATTCCAGGGCTGACTCTGTCGTGGTAGAAACCAGTGCTGCAGAATAACCCGATGGGCAGACGCCAGGTGAATACCAGCCTACCGGATCGATCGATCTATTGGGGTTGTGATTTGGAGGGAAACACTCGGTGTGCCATAGCCCATGAAACTGGTCGTAACCCAGTTCTGCCTGCAATATCGACAATCCGCCGCCATAGCAGTTGTCCAAGCAAGTTGCGGGCGGCGTGAAGATGGTAGTGAGCTGGCCGAACGAGGAGACTGGGGAAGAGGTTGTTGTGAAAGCCATTTTGATGGCCAAAGCTCAGAATATTGGGTCAGAGAATGCGTTCGCTGTGGGAGGTTGCTGGGCTACATACTATCACGATCGCCAGCCGAGTGGCAACAGGGGGGGGCTTCATTCGCTCAGCTGCAGCGCCACGCTGAATGTCAAGATTCAATGGGATGGCTGAACGACAACTAGCATGGCGCCACTTCGACATTGAATATCTCCAAATGCCGTCGGCTCAGCGACCTAGGTTAAGCTCCGTTCCACCACCCAGAAGTCTTGCCCCGCGCAGCTCGCAAGACTAGGAGTTCCTCCAGGAGTAACATCTCGGACAGAGCCAGGTTTGAGAGCGACAGGTTTGTGGACAACTTGTCACGAAATCACGTGATCACGTGACGCTGATTAGGCTTACTAGATTTGTACACCATCGAAAGGGTACCAAGTTTTGATTGAAAGTTCGATCTATAATCAAAAAAGATCAACGACATGTCTGCGAGAGAGTATCTCGAGAGTGGAAGGGAAAGTAAAACAAATGGTTGCGCTGGGAGGTAAGGCAGCGGGGAGACACATATTGGGTCTGCACTTGTATCCCGGAGACTCCACATACAAGAATCCTTTGATCATTTCAGACCATGGCCATGGGAATACCACAACAGCAATTCTCACATGATGCAATGTCTAGCCATCAAAAACGTCGCCCTCAAGCCTGGCCACCCATACGCGCCCATTTGCGGCCACTCACCGAATTGTTCAAACATCATTCAAAGATCTCCCTTTTACCCTTATGAATTTCAGCTCCGGCAGCGATCACTCAACCAAGAATTCCCTGTCAAAATCCCCTCATCCGCCAAAAATATCTTTTCTTCCCCATCATATATGCCTCCACTAATCTCTCACACCGTCCAACTCAATCAGCCTCGCTTCCCCTTCCTCCTCAACATCTTTAAGCATAATAGTAACCCTCTCCAACTTCACGCACATCCACATTCAACCACCACAACATATCCGCATCAAAAGTTATCCCAGCGCGCAACTTCAAGCGCCAGATGTCTTTTCCCAAAAAGTTGATCGACAGTCCGGGAGGGAGTAGCTCGAATAGCCATTTGGAATGCAGGGCTCGGTTCGCTGGAGTTGAAACATGAAATGTACGACGGACATGGAGAAATTTATGTGAGATTTTGTGTTGTGCAGGCGGATGCGTAAGGCGGAGAGGTGAATGGGTAGAGGGCTGGACGAGAGAGGGTCTGGAGGGCAGAGATGAAGCGTGAGTATAGGCAGAGGGCCTGGGTGAGCGGATCGTCGATATGGAAGGCAGATTGTATGCACTGGGGCGTGTGCGGGGCGTAGAGCTGGATTCTTGTGCGGACTCAAGGGGGAGGGTTGGGGGGAGAGTATAGAGCTTGGAAGTGGTCAGTGAGGAAAGATTCGGAGGGATGGAACATACCGGAGCCTGCGGACATGGTTTTGGGGTGGCTTTGGTCCTGCTGAGTCTAAGGTTCGTAGTTTTGTGTGCGCGAGTGCCTCAATAACGCAACTGCGCTGTCAAGCTTTCCTAGTTCTGGTTGCGGGTGAAGTTATCTTGTTCTGTCGTTGCGAGTGGAATCCTCAGGTGGGTTGGAGGTCTGCAGACGAGGGGTTCGGCCCCCTGTCAACTAGATTTACCCGGCACCCCCCGCAGTCCCCTGTAATAAATCGCGGCCACCTCCCCTCGCATGTGCAATGCCTGCAATTGATAAAGATTGAAGCGTTTGGGAAATTTTGTTTTCTGTCATCGTCAATATTGTATAGTTTCTTGACGTTATCACTTTGATGTGTCTTTTTCCAGAGCAAGTGTGCGGAGTGACTGCTCCGGATACGAGAGCTAGGACAATTTTCATTCGCGCGAGAAAGTCCTCGCAATGTTCGGTCAAACAAAGTCGAGCACTCGTGAAAACCAAGCATCGCAAAGCAGATCTTCACCATGGCCAATGCCGCCCAAAATCTTGGAGCTGTAGTTCGACGAATGGTCTCTTGGATGGCCGCAAATTGAGTGGCTTAGTAAAGGATATGCAGCTGAAATCCTTGGCCAGGTCACATTTAGGCGAATCAACAGCTCCGTAAAGACAAAGCTACGATGAATTTCGAAGGGGGGGCCTCGGAAGGAAGAGTTGGGAGTCATGATTTATGCACGCAATCCATCTTGGCTGCATTCGCGAATTTCTTCCCCGTTCCAGAGCGCTACACCATAAATGGAATGTGTTCATGCATGACCATTGTAGCATCTACCAATCCCTTCGAGCCGGGCACGATGGTCAATAGTCGGTTGTACTTTTGAATGAAGATTCTCAGTCGTTGAATGAAGAAGACATGAAGAAACCCTGCCAAACTGAAAGGTCAGCAGCGGATGAAAAGCTCGAACATCGATGAATAACCCGCTTGCAGGTTTCGTTGAGTACTCCAATCCTGGAGCAGATGTTCAGCTACAATGAAGACGCGTCTTGGAAGATAAATAGTTGGTTGGACCCCTCTGATGGAAGTTTTATCTATCTTGTTTACAAGGCAACTATATCATTCTTCCCCGGACATCATTCTTCCCCAAACATCCTTCCTTTCTGAACACCATTTCCCCCCTGAAAAATAATCCACTCTTAACGTTACTTCAACAATGGCCACCACAAAGATCTCAAACATCTCAGCTGATGGCGTCAACGTCTTCTACCGCTCTGCTGGATCCCCATCATCGCCCGTCATTCTTCTCCTCCACGGCTTTCCCTCGTCTTCTCATCAATTTCGCAATCTCATTCCGCTCCTCGCTTCGAACTACTATGTCATTGCACCGGACCTGCCTGGTTTTGGCTTTACCGTCGTTCCGGAAATCCGCCAATACAAATACACCTTCGCCAGCCTAGCCACCACGGTCGGTGCTTTCGTGGACGCCCTGAAAATCAGCAAGTTCGCCATTTACATATTCGATTACGGCGCTCCAGCCGGATTACGCCTTGCCTTGGAGAGGCCCGAAGCCATCACAGCCATAATCTCCCAGAACGGAAATGCCTACGTCGAAGGGCTGGGTGCGTTCTGGGACCCCATCAAGGTTTATTGGGCCTCGCATAGCACTTCAGACCGCGAGGTACTTCGAAACAGCATCTTGACGTTTGCCGCTACGAAGTGGCAGTACCACAACGGAGCACCGAATCCTGAGAGCGTAGCCCCGGAGGCTTACTATCTGGACTATGCGCTCATGGAAAGACCAGGCAATAAAGACATCCAGCTGGATCTCTTCGGGGATTATGGAACTAACTTGCCTTTGTACCCGAAGTTCCAAGAGTGGTTCCGGACGAGCAACGTCCCAGTGCTAGCGGTATGGGGGAAAAACGACGAGATTTTTGTTCCGCCTGGTGCTGAGGCGTTCAAGAAGGATGTGAAGAAGTTGGAGGTGCATCTTCTCGATGCGCCACACTTCGCGATTGAAACGAACGAGAGGGCTTTTGCAGGTTTGATTCTGGAATTCTTGCAGAAGCATGGCATTTAGGATTGAGAGATGGAGAGACTTTTTCAGCTTGGTTCGGATGCTAGAAGCCACGTGTTGATGTTCATATCGTAATGAAAATGTTGAAAGAAGGTCGAAAGACCTCGCACAAGCGTATGCGTCTCTTGCATGCTTATTCGTCCCTTCACGCGAGCTGTTACATCGAGTTCTCATCTGGTATGTGCCTAGGCTGCGTTTACTGGATAATTTCAACTGTCAGACGGTTAATTAAGCTGGCTGCCAGCGGCGCCCTTTTGAGTGGCTCGCTTAGTCCTTGGCCCCTTTTCAGGAGCAAATCTATATTTCTCTAGGTTGGTGGCAAAAGAGGGGAAAGGGGCTAGAAGTAAATGCGAGGTCCTGACTAATCGCGGCAAAGGTCAACAATGGGCAAGGTACGTACCACATGAACCAGAGGGGAATTGTAGGATTGTTCTCTTCGTCTTTTCCCTCTGACTGATGATACAATTGCGGCAACGGCGATGGATTTAGAGTTCATCAGCTTTTCAGACCCAAATGAGTTCAAAAGCAGAGATGCGCAGAGGCGGGTGCGTTCTCATGCAATGCAGCATGTGCGCCGTCGACAGCGGCTTGGCAACCAAAGAAGCGCAGCTTTTCGAACCCTACAACCGAAGCAGTTACCTGAACATGGTAATCGTATATTCCCAAAGAGTATTACGTGGCACAATCCAGAGCTTGGCCAAGATGAAGACTGTGAGGGAGTTGACACAAGTGATGAAGATATTGCTGGGTCTAATAGGATGGAGCAACTTGAGATATATCCGGTATCTCCAACTGAAAGATATATTTTTACAATCTTCCATCATTGTGAGTGTTTCAAATCCCCAATACAGTCATGTAAGATTTCAGTTGGGCGAGCTCTTGTTCTACTTGCCTTTGATGACTCTTTTGGTGACTCTCAAATTAGACGGCGCCGCTGTAGCTGGTGGTCTTCTCCCATTAGGCAAATTTGTCCCAACGAACCCTTTGCGAACAAGGGTCCTCTCACTAGTGACTCAAGACACAGCTCTCTTCCACACCATTCTCGCACAGGGTGGATTGGATATGATGACTTGGCGCGGCGAACCGTTCTTTGACCCGTCGACTCGCTCAGCTGCTCGGGGACGAGAACTCGGCACAGTTTTCTGTCTGAAACATAAAACGGAAGCTATACGTATTATCAACGAAAGATTAAATGTTCCAATTTTGTGTACTTCGGATGAGACAATACTTGCTGTCTCGCATTTGGCTGGATATGAGGTGGGCATTCCTACACCCTTGGATTCTTTCAGCATTTTTCTAATAGCTGCTAAAGATGTTGGCCTCCGCAACGAAAGTAAGAGGCCTTTAGCTTAAAGTTTTCCTTGAATGTCGTAATTAACAGACCGGCATTAACTAGGATTCGGAAAACAGATTCACAGAATTCAAAATTCATATGGATGGAATCGAACAGATGGTCACGTTGCGAGGTGGATTGAAGGGAATTGGGTTCAATACATGCCTGACACATCTAATCCTGAGGTAAATTATTGCAGTTCAAGATCGTTAATTCTGTAGGCTCAACAATTTCAAGCACTGATTTGCTGCATAGAGTTGATCATTTGCATTCAGCCTTGACTGAGACTTGCCCACGGTTCACAATTGATAACGTCCCGGAGGAGCATCTCGATTCTCAACCAAGACTGTCACTTATTCACTTTCCTGGTCCCGTCAGGGGCATAGGAGATCCAACTCTCCTGGATGTACTCAATCAACTTTGCGAAGCATCACAGTTCCTGGAAAATCTTGTGGATCCTGTGTCGGAAGAGGACTTCTTCTCCTTTGGTATCAAACGCGTGCGTATAGAGCAGAAGTTGTTCAGGCTGGGAAGCATTGGCAATGCTCTCCCACCTCTCTCTCCAACGGAACAATGCTGTCGGGCTGCAGCGCTTCTCTACGTGCAGACAGCACTGACGAAAGTAAACTGCAAGGTCTACCACGACCTTTGTACCGCAATCAGATACAGTATAGAGCAGATCGGTCTAGAAAGCCTTCGAATGGAAAATGCAGATCTGCTGTTGTGGATGCTATTGGTTGGTGGTGGAGCAGCTCCTTTCAATGCAGATAGACCATGGTTTATGAGAGCTCTTGAAAGAAAGTTGCATACGTCTTCATGGGAAGAGGTCGAACGGAGACTTCAAGGATGGCCTTGGCGTCCAAGGTACTGCGTGCCTTGGAGAGCGATTTGGAGAGAAGCTATCACGATGGGAGGAGAGTTATGACAAGTAGACTGCGCGACCAAGGCTTTATTCGTCGCTACGTCCCTCCCGTATGAAAAAGCATTGTCCTACTTCCCCTCCCTCTGAACAACGGCTCATATGAAAACCCCTCAATGTCCTACAGCCCCTCCAAACAACAGCCCCATCTGAAAGCATTATTGTACCCATCGCCCGCCGTACAACTGCCCTATTGTGGAATCGCCATTGTCGCTACCCCAGTTAGTACAACAGCCTGTAAGAAAGGACGGATTGTCCCTACCTTAAGCAGAACATTCATGGGCTACTGTCAATGAAGCCATGTGCCAAAACCCCCGCCCTAATCATCTTCTCGATGGTGTAATCCCTAATACGACCATCGATTCTTGCCAGCTGCACATTGACCTTCGCAGTCGCCTTTGGAGAATGGTGATAGAACGTATCGTCAGATATCTTGAAGGCGGTCGTCCACTCTGCATCAGTTACGCCTGGTGGTGGGTTGCCTCTGCAGTTCTTGTGAGGACCACGGGCCTGCTTGGTAGGGTGGTATGGGTGTGGTCGACCGTGGGTGGGCGCGGGCCAAGAGATACGGCGAGGAGCTGAGGAGCGATTGTTGGTAGGTCGTTGGGGCATTGTGGACAAATGGGAAGGCCATTGGCCTGGTTTGTAGCGGAGGCCATATCTGTGTCGCCAGCTTTGTGCCATGTTGCTGCAACGGCGATTGTTCGGACTTGAGTTGGTAGAATGACAGTGATGGTGCGAAGATTGTCCCAGGTCGGCGTGGTTGAATGAAATTGGTAGAGCGCCTGGACACTTCTCAGTCTCGGCTAAATTCGCTTAATGCGAATTTACTTTCGTCGCAACAATTCTGTGAATAGGGGGGGTTAGCGCGTTCGCTAATCGCTACGCACCGACCACCAAAACAAAGGAGTCGACAGACCACACCCCTTCTTAATGTCCCAGAGGACAGTGGGTCATTCCGTCTTTGACTTGGAGGGACTAGGACATCTTCGCTGCATTTGCAAACCCCATACTGAGAGACAGGCTCGATCCAAGAGATCCAAAGAATGGCCATGGTCAGGAATACGGCTTGCAAGAAGGCAAGAATAGAGATATACACAAAGCAAGCTTTCACAGAAGCGTTTCAAAGCAGCTGAGTACCAAGCCGTTATACACTACACAACCTGCTCATTGCAAGCTAGCTACTCTCCAGTTTGCAAAACAAATTCCCCATCGAAACTCCTCCGAGATAGTCTTACATCCTACGAGTCTCAAAGTCAAGATCGCGGCTGAAAGCCTCCCCAATGGGTGGCCTGAGATATGTGGCCGGCCAGCAGGACATACAGGAAGAGAGATGATTCATTTCGAAGGGGTACAGGTACACGACTGTTGCGGAAGTAGACTTCGGGATCAAAATTTCGCCACTGTGGAGGATTTACAAGCTGCGGTAACACATGGGATATGGCCCCAGCGTTCAGAAGTACTTATTGCAAGAAAGCAAGCAGCAGCTGTCACACACGGGCAGTCTTCAAAAGCAAGTAGCCATCAAATCACCACACACACCAAGAGACCTGCTAATTGCAAGCTCTTTTCCATACAAACAGAAGAAGAAAATCCGCAGTTAAACTTCCTTGGGAAGAAGCATACGTGCATTTAGGGAAGGAGTTCAGGTTCTGGACGATACTAGAACGGCGTTTTGTCACTGGAGGAGCAATGGAGCACACATGGGAACATACAAACTGAAGGTGCAGAGCGGACACTGCAAGACTGGGAAAGCACACGACGTGGACAGTACTTCTAGACGAGGGTAGCGGATGAAGAAGGAAGGACATACACACTTTGGAGCGGGGTGTATCTACTGGAGGATCGCAACTCGGGAAGGACTAGGGAGCAGCACTTCAAGCGAGTGCGGAGTATACAGACAGCAGCGCACGAGGCTCTAGGTGGTAGGACTAGGGCAGAGTACTGGAGGATATACACACCGGCGAGCAAGATGCTAGTTAGAGAGCAGCTCTTGGGGAATTCTGGAGTGGAGGGACTGGTAGGACGTGGAGGAGATCCTGTCCCTTCTGCAAATTTCAGAGTCAAAAGCCAGGTTGCAATGCCATCGAAGAGTATCCTATCTCCCATATGCAGGCAGTCAAGACAAGCTGGCAGGAGCATAATCCAATTTCGAAGGTAAATGGCTACTGGAGTATAGCTCTGGAACAGTGCACGATAGCCACACATGCTAGGAGAGTGACTGTCCTGGGAAGGCACAATTCTGATACTTGGAAAACGTTACTCGGAGAAGACATTGAGTATCAGGGAGACACATTAAGGGTATAGAATGGAGGGCAAGGGAAGAGGACTAGGACTTGGGAACATACACACGAGTGGTGCAGGATGCTGGCTTGGAACGCAGCTCTTGGAGACCTGAAAGGTCTGGCATGGAGTAAAGCCTCTATGCCTTGACAACGCAAGAAGGCTCGGGTCGTTGCAGGAGAGGAGCATCTCTGTCAGTTCTTTCTGTGCTGGCTATTTCCACGTCGTGGGGCTTGCATCCCACGGAAGTCACGGCATGGTAAGGAAGATGAAAGATCTTCGTACTTGACTTGACGTTGAATTGGATAGGCGGATTGTCATGTATAGATGCAGCGACGGGAAATAACGTGGACGTTCATCCTGCGGGATGTGTGTTGCGTGGACTTGGCCCTAGGATGTGGGGGTTGAGCGATGCTTCCACCGCCCTTTTGTGCGGCCACTAGCAAAATAACCGCATTTTGCAGCCCTACATCTGCAGGAACAGTTTTGAAATGTCGAGGTCAAAAGCTCGTGATAGTATCTTCTGAGCGGTTTCGTGGGATATAGTGGGATATAGTGGGATATGGTGGGATATGGTGGGGTATGGTGGGGTCTTGTTCAGCATCAAGCCACAACTTCAGGGGCCTGAACGTCGATCGCCCGGGTAGTCAAGGATCCCCTCCATCACCAATCTTTACCCCGCACTCTCATCGGCTGTGGGTGTCAGCAATTTTTGATTGAGATCTTTTTGGGGAAGCCGGTTGCTGAAATAGCAGGGCGCTTGCAGACCGCTTGCAGACGTGCAGGGCAGCTGCATGGTGAGGCTTCCGTCTCAATGGAAGCAAAGGCATCTCATTTGGTCGAGTTTCATGCAAGTTCTCGTTAGCGGACTCGCAGGCGGGCGACAACGCATCAGGGGAAGCTGCCTGGCAGAATGATTATCGTCAACACAGCACACACTCACCGTTTCCCGAACGATCTTTGAAGGTACAGTACGTGGTTCAAATCGGTGCGTTGGGCCGGAGAACGGAAGCTTTTATGGACGGTACAAGAGGCAATCCCACGGTGTCAAGTTCTGAACTGGACACTGCTACGCCCGAAGGTCTCTGACCAAGTGGCTCGGATCGCTTCCCTTCTCGCATCACGAAAGCCACCGGGCACCTCGTACACGGCCAGAACCAGACTATCACGGCCGGTTCCCGACCGCCCGCCGCGTGTTAGGTGATACGAGCTGGCGATTGGGAAGTTGCCAGTCATTGATGAGGCTTACCTACAGTAGCGTAAGCCACCAGCGCCCTGTTTGCCTTTGAGCCGAAAACGCGCTGTAACATCATTCGTTCGAGAATATATGCAGGCCCTCCAAACGGGGCGACCTGAATGAGGCCCCGAGTTCATTGGATGCCGCGGGCCCGGAATGCATGGCCTCCCCGAATCACTGGCTCACGAAGCGACGCCGTGCAGCCTCACTTGAGCCTTGTCTCCCGTTGGACAAATGCACGACGCCGATATTGAACTTCAAAACCAGCTCTCATTCCACCAGTATTCCTAAGAGTGAGATCTTGCCACCAATCCTCTACATTTATTCTCATTATCCAGCAACTCATGAGCCCCACCTTATTGCTGCATGACCATAGAGGACTTTGAGGCTGTTGATCATCTGGATTCACGACCCCGCAACCGGCCGGCTTCACAATGTCTCCCAAGGTCTCTGCGAGGGACTTGCTCGAACTTGTTCAGCTCGCTTGGAAGGTCGTCGACTCATGTCGCCAGGCTTGTGGTGAGCGGGAGCCACTGACCAAAGAGGTTACCAGCCTTCTTGGCGTCGTTTCTCAACTGCAACAAGAAGCGGAGAAGCCGAACTCCTCGCTCCGTCGGCAAGACGGTGTCAGCCGTGATGAGTTGAAATCAACCATTCGAGGTTGCCGGAAACTACTCAGGGCGCTTGATCAGTTCCTCGCGAAGTATGTTCTCTCGCACCGGAAGGGGAGTATCAGGAAACTCTCCCTCAAGTTTGGCAATGGCGACGTCCTGTCTATGAACGATGTCTTGGAGGAATTATCAGTTCACAAGGCAGCTCTTTTATTGAATCTACGTCTGCTCACCCCAAGCTCTCGAGGAAGTGTTGGGTGGTCGTTGGGGAAGAAATTTCCAGGGATGCAGCAATCAGTTCACTGGACGATGGCCAGGATCAATTCCAGTCATGATGGATCATCTCTCGCTTCTTCGTATTCAGATGATGAAAGGACTGTTTGGAAGGAGATTCAAAGAGGGCTTGTTAAAGATGGATGGTCCAGTCGCGACGTCAAGAAGCATCGGAAGGCTATCAAGGAATACATCAAGAATCTAAGCTGGAGTGACGCTTTCGACGAAACCCCGCCTTCTTCGAACCCTTCTCTACATAGAGAACCCCAGGGCGCTTTCCCACGTCAAGTATATACGCCAGAGAGCTTCCCTCGAGAAAGCTTCTCGCGAGACGGCCTCCCGCAGGAAAATTTTCCTCCACCACCACCTCCGAACTTCCCACCACAAGACTTCCCGCAACAGAACTTCCCTCCTCCACCGCCTCCGAACTTCCCACCACAAGGCTTCCCGCAGGAAAACTTTCCTCCCCCACCACCTCCGAACTTCACACCACAGAGCTTCCCGCAGGAAAACTTTCCTCCCCCACCACCTCCGAACTTCACACCACAGAGCTTCCCGCAACAACACTATGAACGACCTATCTTCCCGCCACAAAATTATGAACGGCCTATCTTCCCACCGCAACACTACCAACGATCCATCTTCCCACAGCAAAACTTCTCGGAACAGCAGGACTTCTCGGAACAACAGAACTTCCCGGAACAGCAGGACTTCCCGGAACAGGAGAATTTCTCGGAACAGGATTTCCCTCAACAGGACTTTCCTCCTCCACCACCTCCGAACTTCCCACCGCAAGATTTCCCGCCACAGGACTTTCCTCCTCCTCCACCTCCGAACTTCCCACCACAAGACTTCCCGCAACAGAACTTCCCTCCTCCACCACCACCAAACTTCCCACCCCAACACTTCACCCAGCCAGTTCCGGAACACGAGGAGGCACCACAGCAGATCTATGTAATAAGAAGTGCCCCACAAGAAAGCCACCAACCGGAGAGTGACATATACGAACCGCCACAGCCCACTCCATCCCCCCAGTACATGCCGCCATCCGTTTCAGATGATGGCCAACAATTCGACGAGAAGTCAGAGTACCCTCTCCCACCGCAAACCCAGTCAGAATTCTCGGTCCGCCCCGGTGACCTCTCAGACACTTTCCTCCAATGCACTGAGAAGGACACCTGGAACGACATGATGGAGAGTCTTGTCACAACACTGATCGATCCCAGCAAGAATGTCTAGTGAGTATCACCAGCTCAAACCCACATCAGCATTTTCTAACAGAAAATAGTTTCCCATGTTCGACATGCAAGAAATTAGTTCCGACTGCTCAGGCGAGACTCGACCGCAGCCAAAACTGGTGTCGCAACTGTTTCCACGCCATCGTTTACAACGTGCTCTACTACCCCCTTGTTCCTCCCGAATGGTGCAAACTGCGTCACATCTCCAAACAGCGTATGCAGGATATCGCAACACCGAAGATGAAAGGTCAATGGGTCAACAACTACGAGCAACTGCGAGCCATGCGGGGTAGACCAGCAGGTGGGATGTTGGTCCCGAGTCTTGAGGACCCACCACTGCTGCTTTATCGGAACCCGGCTGTTCAGGATGAGATCTCGGGGAGGACGTTGAGGACGGCGTATTTCGAGATTGCGTATTTCGAGGAGCCATTCTCGAGCTTTGTAGCAAGGAGGAAATGAATAGTGTAAAAACGGGTTCAAAAAAAAAAACACAAAATTTCGGTTGAGCGGGGGTTTACTTTGGGTGCTTCTACTTTTGGGGAGTTTGGGGGTTTCAAAATAGGGAAAATGATTGTGGGCGAGCTTCATGCCTTACGAAATGATGAGGAGGTGGGATTCTGATTTACGGTTGTGGCACGGCTGGGGGAGTTAGTTTGTACATGCTGGATCTGTATTTTACCTTGGTGATGAGTTTGAAAGCAAACATTTGGCGGCCAAAGAATCATTGAGCACGTGATTTGTGGTTCCGTGTCATCAAAACCCACTCATATTTCTCACCACACTCTCAAGGTCATTCTCAAATATACAAAAACTAGTGATATGTGTCCATATCAAATCTTAAGACAATTGGGTTTATGGTTGACTTCAACTTTTGAAGTGTTTTGCTCGTGAAAAAGAGGTACAGGGTAAGACCTCGGCGACCGGGAAATGAGCATGCAATCTCATAGCTCAACACAACCTTGGAGTCTTTGCGATATCTACCCAGAATACGGCGGGTATATTGAGAAAAAATTTAGCCTCTAAACTGCTGCTTTCAGAGTATGCTTGTCCAACCCTGGCCTTTACACTCGTTGGTCGATGTCCCAACCCGGCCAATTCCGTCCAATGAGTCCCTCGTTCTCGAGTCCGCTTCCAATTAAATCATGCAACGACATTCGAGCAACTACACAACACGTCCCTTCGTCTGCTTGAAATCCTTCACCTGGATATCCCTCCACACCGCCACGGACACCAAAGCAAGAACCGAAATTGCAGTTGCAGCAATCAGCATGTATCTCTGACTTTCACCGTACGCATGCGCAATCGCGTTCCTTGTTTCCGACCCCCACTCATACGATATCTGAACATTAAGACTCTTATAAATGTCGGTCAAATTTGCTTGCGCATCAGCGGGCAAGTATTGCTCGAGCTTGTTAGGGAATGTTCCAGTCCAGATCGCTCCAGCGACCGTGGAACCGATGGCACCACCGACGCTGGCAAACATGCCTTCGACAGCCAGGACGACAGCAATGTACTGATGAGATGTGGCAGCCATGGCGGCAATCTGTTCACAGATAACCAGAGTTCCGCCTCCAAAGGCGATGAAGATCTGGCACATGACAAGGAAGCCGACATTGGTGTCCGGCTGGCGGAACTTGACCATCAGTCCGACACCCAAGATCGTGATCGGAACACCGAAGTACAGGGCAAGCCACTTGAAACGGCCTGTGTATCGGATCAGAGCTCCGACAACGAGAGCCCAGAAACAAGAGCCAATGCTGTAGATGTTGACGACGTAGCTTGCTTTCGTGACGCTGAGATTGTTGACAACTTGGAGAAAAGAGGAGAAGTAGCTGTCCCAAATGTAAAATTCAATGAAGAGAGTGGCGGCGAGAATGCAAGCGCCAAGCACAGTGCGGTCTGTGAGAAGTCCCCAAGGAATGAAAGTCTTGGGGGCCACGTACTTTTCGTACAAGCCGAAAGCGATCAACATGAGTCCGCCGATGACAATCATGCTGATAACGAGAGCTGATTTCCAGCCGTTGGCCTGGTAGGAGTACAGGGAGAAGGGAAGCAAGAACAATGCCAGACCTCCAGCGATGAGGAACAGGCCGACAACGTCAAATTCGATGACGTAGTACTTCAGCGACTCAAACGTTGTCCTGTTGCTTTCTCTTTTCGGAATCAATCCAGCTCTCTCTGCTTTGCGATAGTTCCACATGAACAGAGCCCAGAGCGGCATGGTGAAGCATGGGGTAAGGATTGCCCACATTCCAAAGGCCCAGCGGAAGCCAGACCCTGCCAAAAAGCTCGACGCAATTGGGCCACCGCACCAGACTGTGATAATGTATGGGGATGATGTGAAGGCGAACATCAAGCCTCGGTTCTTCAACGATGAGGTGTCTGCAATGAAGATTGACAGACAGTAGTTGAGTCCATTATATCTGGGGTTAATTGTCAGTCCAAGCTCTAGAGGTGTATCAAGATCCAACTTACCCAACCCAGTAGAAAACTTGTGCTGCAGCATAAGTTTCTACATTCTTGCATGCAGCCATCATGACCAACCCCATGGTCAGAAAAAAGACCATCAATGCATAACCTTGAGGTCGGCCCCAGATATCAAGAACCTTTGCGAGTGGAAGCCGGACAAGACCACCGATGATGCTGGACATAATGGACGTGGCGGCCGTTAGAGTATGTAACTGGAACGCACTCGTCACATAAGGTGTCAAAGCACCCGTGGACGACTGTTCGATGGTGTTGAGGAAGTAGATGCACCAGATCCTTTGAATATATTAGCATGACTTCCATGGAATGGAGTATGAAGTAATCATTGACTTACATGATATAGGCGAAGACCAAGTGCGTTTTGCTCCACACTTTTGTGACGGCTTCGATATCTTGCACACCAGGTTGTGCGTCGGCAGATATCTCATCAGTGTCGCTATCTGTTGACACATCTTGATTCTTGACCCCAACTTCCTTTTCAGTGTTATCGGTTGACTGTTCAGTCACTCCCTCGACCTCGCCGTTGACTTTTTGGGTGGAAAGAAAAGACCGCATGACTGCAAGCAGAGCAAGTAAAACAATTGATTCGAGTGCCAAGCCAAGGGAACGTGGGTGACTTGGTGCAATATATAGTCGCGTGTGCACCTTGACAGTCGATCAGCACCACAGCACCGCTGTGGGTTTGATTCTCCGTGAAGGTCATCTAGCGAATTCTAGCCAGGAAAGCGAACAAGGAAAGAAGGTAGTAGCTATGGGGAACAATCCAATCAAGTAAGGCCAAGGCAAACCCAGGAGGAGCCAAGAGGGGCAGGACCGATGTCGCAAAGAGTAGTGCGAACCTAGAAGAGGGATGGCCCGCAAAAAGTGGATGCATAATCTAATCAGATCAGATCATCAGATAAGATAATTGACCTTACTGCAGGCCCCCATTCCCTTGGCATGACTAATTATTGGCTGGTGTTGAAAATTTTCACACGCTCGTTACGTGGAGGGCGAAAGAAAACGTGCTCAAGTGGAGAGGGGTTCCCTTATCAGATCCATTCTTCGACCTGCATCCCCACTTGACCCCACAACTTTCAGACCCTGCTCTTTTAGGGCTTCCGAGAGACGCACATAATTTGAGGGTGTTCACGTTCTTTTACTGGTGGTGATGGCATACCTTTACCGGAAGCGAACGAAATGGTATGGAGAGAAAACGCAGAAAAGTAAGTGGGATACATTGTAGCAAGGTATTCGAAAATGAAGACGAATTTCTAGGACCTGAGAAATGCGTGGAGAATATAAATTACAGAAGGGAATATGCCACCTGGGAGAGAAACTGGACGTCCTGTTATGAAATTGCTTTCTTGTCCAACTTCCTTGGCCTTGTAGCCTTTAGCGAGAATCTAGGGTTCTTTAGCAGTGAACATAAATTGCGACCCGTTCCCTTTAGGAGCAAAATATAGCCAAGTATCTACCTTTTAGCAGTCATACGTCTGATAGGCTTGACTGGACACCTTTAGCAGAAATTCAGGGCAAAATCCAGAGTCTTTCGCAGCGAGTGTGGTTTTTATAAATCGAGTTCTCTTTAGCTGTAAATCACTGCCAAATCTCGACCCTGTAGAAGTGCAAAAAATTCTAAGTTTCAATCCTCGAAGGTAAACCAAGATTGAACAGCGAATTCTAAGCAAGCCCCTGGGTAATCACGATGGTGTAATAATGTGATTTAGTCCAACAAACAACCCTCGCCCCTTCTCCTCGCTAGTTTGATATTAATCGTGCGTCAGGACTTGCACTAAATCCCCTACGTCCCTGCGGGTTTAGTGCGTATCAGCGATAGGGTCAAAAATCAGCGATACGGTCATTTTTTTAGAACACCAATTTTCGGAATTTTGGTGAAAATCGAAGAAAAATATTTTACAGTTTATATGGAGTTTATACTATAATTAATAATTGAAATTCTCTTACTTTCATATCGCATGTGCATGCAGTATAAAATGCTGGAAATATTACACACTTTACCTCGTCGGCGACCCCCCCAAAATGCTTCGATTCTAAGAAATCAATTAATTATATAACCACGATATCTTAATTCGTGTACCCAATAATTGTCTCCTTCCCATTAGTAGCTAATCTAACTATATTACCAAAGCCATTGTTATAAAATGAAGGGGGAAGGGGGGAGTGGCTTGACAAAACCAAGCTCTCTGCCTAGCATTTATCATTATGCGCAAATATGCATTGCCTGGTGGGTAGACGCGCTCTCTCCCAGAATCTTATTAGCCATCCCCCGCACGCTCTTGAGGTTAATATTATGGCCTAAACAGATCAAAAAATCGATAAACTGCTTTGGGGCATTTTCCTGATTACGATAAAGGGCCTTGTTGAAGCCCCCTTTGGTGTTTTGTGGTAATCGGCCAGCGAGCCGCGCTTTCCAGAGGCGTAATTTGACCCTGAATTGACGCGCAATCGCAGATTTTTGACGTGTGGGTTCCTGGCATAGAAATCGGAGGCCTGGGCCATCCTTTTCTCTTCTTCTGGGTCGAATTTGGCCATGGTGTTGATATTTAATTAATTAAAATCGATATAATAGTAAAAAAAATGACCGTATCGCTGATTTTTGACCGTATCGCTGATACGCACTAAACCCGCAGGGACGTAGGGGATTTAGTGCAAGTCCTGACGCACGATTATGCTCATCGCCAAATGAAAACACACCGGTCAGCGGCAACCCCAAGCTCAAACATGTTTTGATACCTCCGACTCCCTTCACCATTATTCGCGTTCAGACGTTCTCTGTAACGTCCTATCCTCCAGAATCTCAATCGCCACATCCCTCCTCCGTTCTCTTAATTCACAAACCTCCATCCTCAAACTCTGCAAATCTTTTACAACCCAATCCGCACCCGCCTCCCACAAAGCCTCAATCTCATGCGTCGTCGCCAACGCCAGCACCTTACATCCTGCCTTCTTCCCGGCCTTGATCCCAGCCGGAGCATCCTCAACTACCAACACTTCCCCATCCAGCCCCAACTTTCCTTTACCAAGCGAATAACAAGCCGGGTCGGGTTTCCCATCCCGCACGGCTTCCGCCGTAATCAGTACCGATGGGTGAACAAGTTGCAAAATGTCAAGCCAGCCCGAAACGAGGGGCTTCGTCCCGGAGGTCACGATACCCCACGGGATTCGTAGGTTTGAAACCTGAGCGAGCAAAGCCTGAGAGCCGGGGATGGGTATTGCGTCTACTCCATATTTGAAGGGAATTTGGGATTCCATTCTACTGACGTCTGAGCATAATCAGTGAACAGATTTTCAGGGATGCGGAGGTTAGAATCCTACATTCCCAGTTCGCATTTGAGGGATCGATTTCCTTGAATACATCTATTGACCGCCGACCATGAGATGTTGCTAAGATGGTTCGGGGGTCTATGTTGTATTTTTCGCCGACGCTGAGGCGTTTTGTTAGTCTAAAGTTTAAAAAAGAAAAGGGGGGAGTTCACGTGACGAAGGAAGAAATACCTTGTCCAGAACTTCACAATCGCATTTGTGGAATCTATTAATGTCCCGTCCATATCAAAGAGAACGCCCGAAAAAGTCCCAATTGACGTTGCATGAATATTGCAAATGGCCTTCTCATTGTCAAGGATGAGATCCGAGTTGTGGTGGGAAAGTGGCATGTGAATCGTCATTTTGAAGAAATTGAAGAAACTGACTTGGAGAATGAATTCAATATCTCCCCCACAGAGAAATCTTACAGTATCAACTCGACTTCCTACCAAGAAAGCATTATATAGAGAGAGAACATTTTTTCCCGCCAGGTGGGCGGAGTTCCGAATTAGGCAATCGAACGCCGCGGTAGAAAATTTGCGGCTTGCCACTCGAGCTTTGGATAAGTGCGCGCACTGGGAAATACCAATTGAATACTAAATTGAGAATAACTCGTATCCAGGTAAAGGAAAACAGATTGTAGCACAACGCCGCTGAACTCGGATTCGATTCTAGTTGGAGCTGATGCTTGTCACGTGATATTCAAGACGATCAAAGAATTCTTTTGAAAGCAGTCTCTGATCATCCTTTTATTATAGGTCTTAGATGCCTTCAGTTAAGCCACTAGGAGCGAGAAGATATTGCATTAGAAGTCAATCATCTGAAGAGATAGCATCGTGACTTTAATAACTCCCACTTATTATCCCAACAAGCTAAATCATTCCGCGCATGCAGCCGGAAGGACCCGCTAGCCATCCTGCCCCAAACCCCTTGAGTGCCCATCATAAAAATGTGATTTTTCATTATATCTTTATTATAATTGCAAATCCTATTCCATATCAATACTTTATATTTTCGACATCCTAACAGCTGCGTGTCTGTTTAAAACGAGTAGTGCGGCTGGAATCGTCTGTAAGGTAGTGTTTTAATTGATTTTGCCCCACTACCAAAGCCCCTTACAAGAGGCATTTACTTCTTATACTGAAGAGAGGAAACAAACATATAAATGGAGGGAGCATAAACTAGTGCAATTGGCTAAGGAGCTAAGTGAGAGCTCCATGCAGGTTGCGCTTTTATCCTACTTCGCCTAGCCCTCACTTGACTTGCTGTCTGTGTGATCCCCACCCCCCACAACAATACCCCTGTTAGAACACCTAAATTTTGAGATTTATTTAAAGTAGTAGGAAAATGCTGAAAATTTCAAGAATTACTATACTAAGGTCGTTGATCACGAATATCTACTCAAAATATCGGGTTTATAATGTTGTTGTGTGAAATGGGGTGGGTTGTTGCCTAGTGGATCCTCCTAGCCGATTCGGAAATGATCGCCGAGGCTACCTTCAGCTGACTTCAAACTTGAACTTCACCAAGCCGCTGTGCGCTGTCCTTGAAAACAGACATGCGACGGCCTCAATCACCGCCATGAAAGAGAATGAAGTCATGGACGTGAAGTCAGAGGAACCCTTGGGAGTTTCTAGTGAGATCTCGCAACCCAGCGGTGTTGGATCCGGCCCTATCAGCGCACTGCCGACGCCAAGGCCAGCCAAAGTTAGCGACGGGCCTGTCGATGTTGTGGAACATCACATAGTAGGGGGTCCCATGGATGATTTGCAAGATGTGTCTCAAAACAAGGAAGAGGTAAAAGGAGACACGAACGAGGCTGTCAGGGATGCGAGTCACGGTGTTGTTGAAGTAGGTGTACAGACGATTGCGGACTACATATTGGGGCTCCAGTCAACGCTGAATCAATCGACGGTGGAACCTTCCGCTGCGGAAATCACGCAGAATGTTCTTTCTAGCGGTCCAGCGGGAGCGGGAGCGGGAGAGGGTGAAGATGGGAGTGTTGTCGGGTCTTTAGATGTACGTTTTGCCAAGTTTCAGTCACTATCACGGGAAAATGTTGACGTGTGCAGGTCGACTCGAATGAGACAGACTCTGCACTTGGGGATATGACGCCGTTGTAAGTAGAGCTGCTATCCCTTTTACCTTATTTAAGAAGTCCTTCCTGACTGAGATATAGATCCTCCACGATGTCGATGAGATCTTCAGTGTATGATCACGTGGCCGAGAACGGACGAACTTATCACAGATACAAGGAAGGAAGTCAGTTATGAATCCCTTTAAATTCTTCCATTTGATAGACTCACTGACAGAATCTAGAATATGCACTCCCAAATGATGAAGTGAGGGCAATCAGAACACATACCCCATTACTGATATACTGACCTTTTTTCCTCTTGAGACTGAACAAAATAGATTAGGTTGGGGGTAATCTTCATCATTTATAATACCCGATCTGACATTCACAGATATCCAACATCAATTGTTTGTTCTCACATTACACGGAAAACTTCACCTCGCACCCCTGAGCAAGCAAGTGCATAATGTCCTCGACATTGCAACGGGTACTGGCATCTGGGCCATAGATTTTGGTATGTATGCCGGTACCCCGCAGGTCATACATACTAAACTGTACCAAGCGATAAAGTATCCCACAGCCAATGTCCTTGGAACAGATCTAAGTCCCATCCAACCCGAATTGTACGTGGCTAGACCTGTCCCCGCAATCTCTTCAGTGAGCTAACCAAACCCCAGCGTACCACCCAACTGCCGCTTCGAGGTCGACGACGCAGAGGATGACTGGACGTATAGCTACCAATTTGACTACATCCATGGACGCCTTCTCCTGTCATGTTTCAACCAGGACTTTCCGGCGGTCATCGCCAAAGCCTACGGGGCACTCAATCCAGGAGGCTGGATTGAGTTGCAAGATATGTTACCACCAATCTGCTTCGACAATTCGTGGGATGGGACGGAGCTCCAGAGGTGGGTCACTTTGACGCTAGAAGGCGCTAAGAGGCTAGGTATGGATTGGTACAAAGTTGGTATGTATAGGGAGTGGGTCGAAGCCGCGGGATTTGAAGATGTGCAGGAGTTTAAGGGGTCGTGGCCGACGAATACTTGGCCGAGGGATAGGCATCATAAACTCCTGGGGGCTTGGCAAAATCAGGTAAGCGAGACTTTCTATGAACAATCGCGTGTGTTTATTAAAGCAAGCTAATGAAACAGAACATGATGGAGGGTTTGCATGGTATTAGCGTTGCGGTTCTGACGCGCGGGCTGGGAATGACTGCTCAGGAAGTCGAGGTCATGTTGATAGGAGTAAGGAGGGATCTGTGTGATCGGAATATCCATTGTTATGCCCCAATGTAAGTCGTTCATCGAATCCGCAAGATTGTGTGCTGACTAGATTCAGACGGGTGATATGGGGACGAAAACCAGGCGGAAATATATACGGCGCCGCAGCAACCACTTCCTGAAATTGGTTCAAGTAGTGAATTTTAAGAGTCTAGGAAATGCAAAGTAATACGCAACGCATCCGGATGAGGCATGACTTCCCGGCAAGGAGACTTGGCATATATAATCACGTGTGCGAAGAATCTGGGGGTTCTGTCTGGGGGTCTCTGTCTGTGCAACGGCATCCACCACTGACATCGAGAAATAGGCTCCAGCCATGGAATGGAACCCCGCAAACAAATATTCTGCTCCCGAATTGGAAAGAGCTGAGATTTGGCAAGGTGCGGACATTCTCTTGAATTGCTTCCTGCTTCCGAATGCCTTCTGCACAACTTTCTGCTCCATTGTCCCCTCAATTCGCTTGCCATCAATCAGTTCTTGCACATTGCAACAAATTCCTCCGATAGTGTCGTCGTCGTATCAAGATACTTAATGGTTTCCCTATGCCAATTGTCATCCTCCGCCGTAACCCCCACCAGCTTCGCCTGCAGCTTTGGCGCTTCCCCCGTCGTCTTCCCTACCATGATACTTATCGACTCGCCTCTCGTAATATACGTCTTCCCCGACTGGACCGCAATCGTCCCTCCATCCTCGTTCCGAATCTCATAATGCACCGTCCCCATATCAATCTCCAATGGACTCGGATTAATTGTCAACATCGTATTCCTGAACCCGTCTCCCTCTTTCTCCGTCTTGGCCATCACCGTCTTCGGCCCCTTCATGCCCTTCATCTTTACCTCCTTCCGATACACAATATTCGCCGTCATCATCATCGCCCTGATCGTTCCTTTCCCATTCTCAAGCTTCAAGATCAGATCTTCGTCTTGCATGAGAGCTTTGACGAATGATTTATAGTTGTTCATGGAGATGATCTTGACCTCTTGCTCCGGGATCTGGATGTCGGTGCCTCCCGATTGGGTCTTTATTTCGGGGAGGTTGAGGCGGCCGAAGATACCAGTTGGCCCAACCATGTCGACAGTCATGGGGGATTGGGTGGCGGAGATGGGGCCAGTGTTTGTTACTCGGGACTCGATGGTCATTAGGAAAGAGCTGGATTGGGTTAGTGATCATTATAAAAGGTGGTGAAAGACTTACTCTTTAGTCGCATTGGTAATTTTGATCAGCGACACTTCGAGTGTCGAGTAATTGAGAATTGCTTGAACGATTGCGTTCATTTTGACCTGGTTGATAAAAAAGGTAGAGAAAGTGAAGTTCTTGTGGAGGAAAGTTTAGCTTGTGTAGTGGCACATGAACTACGACCGTCAGCTGTTTCACTTGGCGACTTGATTGGGATTGAAAAAACGTGGCTCGAACATCACCGTACGGAAACTGAGTGAATGTAGGCCATATATATATTCGAATTTGAATCCAAGTGAGGCTGGCATATGAATGGAAATTTATGCCTCGGTTGCAGTCCTACTGTAGTTTGGTGGGAGCGATACCAGTGACGATCATTGTGGGGTAGCCCATAGTGGCAGCCTAAACCCCGCGCTTTGCGAGTTCTGTCGCTTGCGAAGCTTCGAAACCAGGGAATGTATATAATATGATTTTATCGATAATCATGAGGGGTCTTAAAATGTATTGATTTTATGGTGCTAAAATCATGATTTTATAAAAATCATGTGACCGCAATTGGAAATCCTCTACCTTTGAGAGTGAGAGATGTAAACGAGCAAAAACACCGGAATTGTCCATCGATTTAGTCACTGCGGCCACCAAAAAAAGAGGGAACATCTTGTAGGCCCCGAATTCAGGTTATACAACTCCCCAGAGCAATGTAGCGATTCTCCGGCGTCTCTTATACTACACGTGACATATATCTCCTCTGCTGCTATCGATATAATCAAGTTTCATTACGTAATATGATCAAAGCGGGGGATAATCCATGCAATACCCTGTTCGAAACGCACTAGTTGTTTCAGCTTACGAGCATGCTGACGAAAGTCCCTGGCGGGGCCTGCAGAGGTATCCTGACGGCGCGTTTTTGCTATCCCTTCGTCCGGTGAGACATAGTCCACGCTAGTAAGGGGGCCTGGCTCAGGGCGAAAAGGCGATGGATGACTAATAAGTTTTTAAGCAAAGGTACGACTTTACAGTCTGAGCCAGGCCCCCTTACTAGCGTGGACTATGTCTCACCGGACGAAGGGATAATAGAAACTCTAATAACCTCTCATAATCTCTAATTTAATAATTACAAGTTTTATTTATTTGTTGTTGTCTTGAGACAATTATAAAGTGATTCCGATAAATCGACAGGTTCTGGCCCTGAAGACGAGGTCGTGGGCCTACAATCGCTGAAAAGTCGCCTACTAATACGGCTTCTGTCAGCAGCGTCGTTACGTTCAACCGAGGTACCTGGTGGGGATGGAAGCCTTCCACAATTAAACAACGAAGCAGGAAGAAGTATGAAGTCATCATGTATCTTGTTTCTCAGCGCGGGGATTTCAATACTGCTTACGGTGGAGGGTACCATTTTTTCGGCCAACCTTCAGCCCTACCCGCATCTGAGGCAAACTACGTCAATGCACTTTTGCACCATGCGAGAACTATATCCTCACCTCCTTTTAGAATGCACCGCTTGTTAGAAGTCCTTGCCAAACACCATTTTCAGCTCAGTGGTGCAGCTGCGAATCGGAGGCATTTGATCAGGATCATGTGTCCAAGAATCTGCGGAACACGGCGAAGCAAGCCACCACTGTGGCTATGCTGGTAAACAATTAATATCGCAATAAAAGAATGAACTTTTAACCTTCTTCGTGAAAAAAAATCTTGGCGTTATGGCAGTTTTCTTGTGCAGCATGAAGTAGATCTTCATCATAGCCTTTTATGTTTTGCAAAATATATTGCACGAGTCACAAACCAGGATCTTCCGCCTTCACATATGCTCCGTTCGAAATTCGACGAATTATCTGAGCCTTGACCGTTTCGTCATTTTGAAAGCACAACATGCTTCGACTTCCCAGACACGGCCTTTTCGCAATACAGTAAAACCTCGCTATAAGGATACTCGATATAAGGATATCCTCGATATAAGGATACTACTACCTTAGGATCCCAACAAAAATTAGCCCTGAGCTAAGGATATCCTCACTATAAGGATTATCCCTATGATTCTTTATCCCAGCCTTAATTTTTTGGTGTATTATCCTTATAATCGTGCACGTGATAGGCTAATTTGCCGCTCCTGTCAGGCCTTCAGGCACCAGTAAAACCGCATTCTAAGCATTAATCTCACTGCTCCAGAGCCTTTACAGCCTATTACCCACCCACCCACCCACTGATCCTATGGCCCGCCCACCGATTCTATGGCCTCCCCAATAGCCTAAAAAGAGGCGCAGAGCGATAAAAATATTTGCACGTGATCCTCGATAAGGATACCTCGCATTATCCTTAGTTTTTGGGGACAATTTCGGTATCCTTATAGCGAGGTTTTACTGTATGGGTGCTTTTGCTTTTGCTCACCCCCAGTCACTGCGGCAACGCATTATCTGATCTGAACGCAACATGTTGGCAATTGGCTAATGAAGACAACGAAAACCGAACTGCCATTCCGTTTGATGGAATTATCGTGTACTACGCTTTGTATTCGTGGTGCACTCAGCGGCACAACTGCCGAGATGACGGCCCGTCAATCTCATCGGACTTTCCTCTCGTCCTCCTTGGCTTTGCGCTTCCAGCGGTGATTTTCAGCACCGTGATTCCTCGGCGGTGGCATCTTAATTTGCCTGTCCAATTCTTTAGAGGTGGTCCTACTCAGATACATAGCATCTCAAAGCTGTTGCTTTCCATTCCCGCCATCTGCGTGGTGGCGACTTTCGACATGATCGGCTGGATCACTTGCATCATGGCTCTCGCTGGACCGATGGCGTTTAGTGGGATTCAGGAACTGCTATTAGACTTCCGTGTTGTCAGAATTCTGAAACATAGTCAGACCATTTCGGCGAGAGAAAGGTTGGAAGCAATTGTCGCTCTGTTGCGTGGAAACTATGACCAGGATCCAGACGACCCGACCGCTCGAATCCACAGCGCTCTCATTCCATCGGAGCTCACAGAAGCATTGATAGAAGGCACAAAATCCCGCCTGATCACTATAATGGAATCTCAGACAAACTTCGGGACAACGATTGGTGTGCCGGCTGTTTTCTTCTTGCTGGGCTTCTTGTACAATGCTCAACAAGCATCCCCTGTCGGTTCAATCTCATTTGGGATCTTCTGGGTGATTTTAGTCATCGTATCTATTATCTCTAGGGCTCTTCTGGCAGGGAATTCTTCGCACGCTGTCAGCGTGCTTGTGGTCAATAACTGCATCAGAAGCTCGAAGACCCGCACAGCTCTCTTCCAAGATATGTACGATTCCGAATTATATCCAGTTGCGATGTGGGATGAGGATTCTGCAAATGTCAATGGCTACAGAACACCACCCTATGGCTACCATCGGAAGGTATTCAGCGGGGTCCTTTTAAGAAGGCTGTTGAAATTCAAGGGTGGAGCTGGGCAGCTATCACCATCATCTCGTGGCTATTAGTAGCAACACCTTGTGTTTTGGCTCTGTCCTTTGACTATCTACTACCTTAGTCTTGGTACGGAGTTTATAGCTTGCTCTTCACCACCTACCTGGTGACGCAAACATGGCTCATCCTCGTGGCGCTGACATCGGCGTATCTGGATGTGCCTTACCAGACTGCTTGGCGGCCATGGGGTTCACTTCCGAAAGAAATCCCTCGATCAATCTTCTTAAGATCTTTTATAACGATTTGCGCCGCTCTGACTGGAGGAGCAATTTCCCTAGCTGCGTTGGTTACTTTATTTGGCTCCGCATTTCAGTTGTCTGACGGTTTCCTGTCTTGTTTTTGGGCTTCGCCTGTGTCTTCTTGGTTGGAGCCGGCTTCGAAACATCAGGTTATGCTCCATTGCGAGATAACAAGCCAGAGTTACCAAGACTATGCCGAGCTTCTTAGTGTCAGTCTATACCGGGCAGCAGCAATTTACACTTGCGTCGTTTGCTTTCTCGGATGGTGGTATCATCGAGCACTTCGAGTCGCTTTGAGGAATGTTCTAGAGGATCTTGAGCTGTGGAATATTCCGTACGATATGCAACTGGAGATATTCTAGAAGTGCATTTTCTTCGTCTCGGGTAGAGTAGGGAGTTTGGGGGGGGCTCCAGGCTCCACCGCAACCTGTGTTCGAGACTTCAAAAAGAAGATTGAGCGTCACAATCCAGCTGGAGGATAAATAGAGGACAGGGCAATGCCGAACAGGACCCAGGAGAAAGTTAAAGTTGGGGTGGGATTATGGACGTGTTTGAGGGGGAAGAGAGGACTAAGTCTACATCACCTCTGATTTAGGTGAAAGCAACACGCTTTTCATTCAACTAGACCACAAACTATACATTCCACAGTTGCCAGTTCAGAACTCCTGCACTTTTAAATCTCTTCTCCCAAAATAGTAGAAAACTGAAGACATTCGCCCCCTTCCAAGCACAACAGAGACAGCTAGTAATCCATGGGCTCCTCCTTGATCTTGATACGCTGACTAGCAATTTCTCCGTCCTCACTTCCTTCTTCTTTGACATACCAAGCCTCCTTCAACTTGAATGGCCCTTTCAATTCCGGGCAATCATGTTCCAGGGATTCTTTCTCGGACTTCCGTGAGAGGCGACGCAACCGATGTTTTTCAAGCAAGTTTTCAAGTGCCTGAATTTCATCGTCTTTGTCCTCGAGTTGGCCCCTTAGTGCCGCCACCTGGTCTTCCATTCTCTGCTCAAAATCTTGGTAAGCAGAGTCCTTTACGTGGCTGGCATCGCGTTGCCGTGCCAGATAGGTATTCAAGTTTTCAATCTCACGTTCCTTCTCTCGAATCGTTTTGTGGTTCCGGTTGCTGGTCTTCTTGCGGCTTTTAATAACTTCGTTCTTCTGCGTGATCGTGCGCTCGTGCGTAGTGATTGAGATTTGTGCCTGCTCTAGATTTTCTTCGCGGTTTTGAATGACCTCGTCCTTCTGGGTGATTGTTTCCTCCCGGGCGGTGATCAATCTGGCTGCTTCTTGGATCTCTCTCTCTTTGATCTACAGATAGTTAGCCGAAGCAAACCGCACGATGCCATCTTTCTCGGATGGCAATAATCCTGTAGTATTTCTTTCAAGCAAGTAGGAAGTTCTGTAGCTCATACCTTTATGATTTTATCCTTGTCTGCCATCAACGCCTTACTCGCCCGCAGTGTCTCCTCGTTGATCTTGAGAAGCTCATCTTTGCTTTGTATAATGAGGTCCTTCTGCTGAATTATCTCCATCAGTGGTGCAATCTTCGTGTCATCCGCGTCACTTTCAGCCTTGATGTGTCTCTCTGGCTCGCTCTCAATGTATTCCAGAGCTTTCAATAAGCACTCGTATAGTGGGTCTATTCCTGGAAACTCGTCCGCAGCTGCTGCCGTAGTCAGCTCAATGCTACAACAATGCCTTCTCCCCTAGAATAGTACTCACAGTAATGCCTCCATGTCTCTCGTTCGGCCAGGAAATTGTGGTAAATTGGAGGGACTTTGGGATCAGAGTACGATTGCTTTGCTGCTGCATGGCAACCGATATAATCTCAGTTGAATCTGGACCTCTCCAATGTCCATTTCCGTTTTTGGACCTGAGCAGTCGCTGCTCTAACCTGAGCTAAGCCCTGAGCCCCTGAGCATACTAGTGAGTCAGTTGGATCACGCTCAGGGGGATCTTGCTCCCTCGAGAATCGGTTATAGTTTCCAAGTTATCTATATATAGACTTTTGCAGGTCCTACTACCTAAGCATAGCCACATATCAGAGCCTGTTAAGATACCGTAACGGTGGCCGTTCTCGGTCCCCTATCACATTTTATTAAGGGTCCTTGTCGGAGCCGATTTGGGTCCCCTTTTTAACCGAAGGGACCTCGCTTAATGCCCCTCTCAACCTCTCCTTAACTCCCCTCAAATAACGCAACCCGCATATGAGTATACGACTTTAATTTTCTAAGAGCTTTATCACAATTTTAGAAAGGTATAAAAAATGGTGCTACAAGTCCAACGTGCGTTAGTATCTAGCCCCGGTGCTTCTGTTTGACAAGGTAACGTGCAGGATTAGGCTACATTAGTACGCCTCCGCAGCTTAGGGAGAGCAGGCGTGTTTCGTGGGTGTACATGGGCAGATATATCTCGGCGACGGAGAAAGCTGGTTGGATACTGTGCCTGTTAACTGCCACGAGATCCATGTAGCGGCGATATTACATTAAGCAGGAGTTATCACAGGTTTAGGAGATTCATACATATCCTAGCAAGGCAGAACTACACGGATGTTGGCACCTAAACCATACTGACGAAAGGATTAGCTGGGTAAAGGGAGAGATAAGCAGTAGCTTTTATAGATTTATGTATATCCTAGTAAGGTAGAACTGCACTGACGTTGGCACCCAAACTATACGGACGAAGGATCAGCTGGGCAAAGGGAGAAATAGTAGCGGTTTTGGGAGATTCATGCATATCCTAGCAAGGCAGACATCATAACCAATACTCAAACGGTACGGGCAAACGGAGTAAAGGGTCAGTTTGGGGCTCATTCGGAGGTGCTGTAGAGATTCATGCACCTGTAATATGGCGACTAGAGGAGTCATACCAGACGTACGTGGTTGTGATACTTGTCCCATCTCTAGCAGGGTAAAGCCGCTAATGCCTGTGCTAGGAGCTGACCTTTCCTTGGTGCACTCTGTCGCCAGCGAACATGCGGTCACCACAAGCCACGGTCAACGCAACTTTACGGCCCAGAGGTTCCCTGCTTGCATGAAGCTTTGCAGCTCCTAGGCAGATGAGTTTCAATTGGGGCATCTCTCCCTCAAAAGTAGCCACAGGGTACGCCGCATAATAACCTCGAAGTTTGTAGCACTTGCCACCTCCTTTTAAAAAGCGTATTGTGCAAGTGTTCTATCAAAGAGAAGTTAGAGAAACGCTCCGGGAATTAATGTTGTCCACGATGCAGCTACATCTTATTCGAATATGTGATTCCTAATCACGTTTTTGAACGCACAAGTAAGGTTATGGTGAGTCACGTGCTTCCGATTTATGATAAGCCGTCCTTTCGCCTTGCAGGTCAGGCCGACAACCGGATTACTCTAGGCAAGTATTAGTCAGCCAGCTGCTAACCTTTATTTAGCGTAGCGTCAAATCTCCGTTTCAGGTCGCAGGCCACCGTCCACTTCTTCTGGTCCTCATCGAGGCACCTCTAGCTTAGCCAATCCTCGGCTTCCTAAATCACCGCATTAGTTTCTTATTATCACCCACACTTAGGTGCCCCCCCCTTCGTTAGCGGCAATATAACCCACTTGCCTCCTCCCTCCAGTCGATATAGCCCCGCGTTAAGTAGAACGAAATATTCGAAAATTTAGGCGGTAACGCTTAATACCTTAAGACGAAAGTGAGTAAGTTATTTACGCTAGTCGTGTATACCTTAACTAATTATTAATAGAAGCGCGGCCACGAGGTATTAAGAAAGAACGACTATAATTTTATCCTTATTAAATAAGGAAATAGGAGGACTTAATTAGCTTGTAGGTAATTAGACGGATATTATCGCTAATGCACTAATTATTAATATTGGTTAAGGCAAGTTCGCTTTATTAAAAGGGGCTCGAGAATAGGGGTGTGTCTCATCCTTACGCAGTGGCGTTCAGCTGGCCCCTCTAATCTACCACTTAGTGCCAATCACGATAGACAAGGCTCTCGTAAACGTTCGGAACCTAAATTCACCGGCCAATATTTACAGAGGGCAGGGTTATGTTAAGAGACACAATAGAGAAAGGGGGTTTTCAGCCTGGACTCGGGCGATGTTATTCTCGTCTGAGACCCTATCATTCTTCTCGTTATACAAACAACACAAACTTCTACGCATTATAGATAGTTGTAGCTGAAGAAAATGTTTTCCTGGCATTCGTAGGTCATACCGCACTATATGACCTGACGTGCAAGCCGTTATGAGTCTCCAGAGAACATACTTTTGAACTGTTCGAACAAAGAGCTGTGACTGCTCCACCTTTACAGATTTACAGCATTGCTGCTGGTGCTGCAGCCAGTCTCGGCAGTGATGGGTGGCATCATTCGCAATAGCCACGGCTCGGTTCTCATATTCCTGACGCTGAGCCTGTTGGTGCTGACCTGCCTGCAAGCCAGCGGAAGTGTCCTAACAAGGAACATCACACTGGTCAACCAGTCCCGCGGGTATTCAATCTTTATTCTCCGTACCTTCTCCGAACTTGCGAGTGTCTCGCTATCTGCCACGATATCTTCAACCTTGGAACGCATCAAGTGGGCTATGATTTGTCGAGAGGGTCGCTCTAGCGCCAGATTCGTCGACTTTCTCGCTCTGCAGGACGGTACCACCGTTTTGGGTCTGCTTTCTCTTGCTGCGGGGGCGGCGGTGCCATCTTTTATGACCCGTGTTTGGAGTATAATAAGGTTGATAGTAATGCTCCTGGTTCCCGGGGTAGGAATCTTGATCATGAGTACGCTTCACTCTCCTGGTTCCCAGCGAAGCGTTATAGCTGCTAAATACCTGACAGGCCAGGTCCAAATTCAAATGGCGTTCTCTCCCGTATCATCCGCGACACCATATTTTGGCTACGACAACCAGCCAATGAACGCCTCTGTGGCAACGGAATATACTGGTTTCACGGACCTGCTGCTATCGTGGGAGTTTGCAGGCTTTTTAACAGACCCTACCCACTCCGTAGATCTAACTCCGCAGAGTGAAATTGCCCAACCCTGCAGACTCAATACGAATAGTCAAGACTCCTCAGGATGCAATCGCACTTATTTTATGCCTGGGGAGAGCATAATCGCCATGCCCGAGCTTGTTGCTAATGCAAGCTTCCCGGATGCAGACATTATCCTCGCCAGTGACCATCGTGGTTACCTCTTTAACTTCAACGCCGGAAGTTCGGGCACAGAGTTCAATTCAAGTCAAGAATGCCGTACTTATTCTGGTCGTTACTTAGGGATTCAACCAGGAGCAATTCGCCTATGTGTGGGAAATCTTGGCCCCAATGAACTTGAAGCTAGTAGGTTCAATCTCCTTTTCTAGATTTCCTCAACTCGAAGCGAGACTAATTAAAGAAGGCCTTGTAACATGCCCGGGCCCTATCGCGTCACTGCAGATGTGCCTCAATAATACATCATGGTATTCAAATACAGGCTGGACGACAAGAATGACTGTTTTCTTTCAAAACTCTGCAGTTGCCTATAGTCGAAGCAACGCAACCATTCTCTGGCACTCCTTTACGGATACCCCGGCCATACCGCTCAATTTGTCTGCACAGCAAATCCTCGAAGCCTATGATCATCTGTTATTCGATACCACAACGCTGCTGAATAACGGGTCTAGCCCGTTATCCCTATTCTCTAGCCCATCCTTTCCAACGTTTCTGTGGTTGGTCGAGCCCGAATTCAGTGATCAACTTGCTATGGAGAGTGTGAGCGGTGTAGCATTCGCCATCTCCGTGTTGCAGTCGCTTCTTGCCTTCCCAATATACTTTTGCCAGAATGGTGTTGCGAGGCGCCTTTTACCAGGAGCTATGGGCTCTAAGTCCGTATCCAACCCTGGACTATCCTTTCTCATTAGCCAGCTCAGTGAACCCCCAGAACGCAGTAGCCCAGCATCGTACGCCTACCACCGGTACCAAGTTACTGTGAGCTTTGCGACCCTAATTGCTTATATAGCTGTAAGCGGGACTGCACTATTAGCTTGCAGCATTATTCAAGTCGTCATGAATCTGTCATCGCACGTCGGGCGAGGTAGTCAACAACCTCGCCTTAGCCGATTCCCCACACTTGATTTGTTTATGCACTGCACTATTGAGGACGAAAACCGATATGTGATTTACCAAGGACGATCGGGATTCTTTCCTACCGATACTTCCCAACGAAGCTTAAGGAAATGGCTGTCAAATATTGGCATCAGGTGGTCTCGGCCGCGCACCATCGAGGATGGCCTGCATCTTTTTGGCGAGGATTTCGTGGATGAACATGGAGAGTGGTCTTCCACTAGCATGAGACCAATATCTCCTCATCCTAATCGGTCAAAAGTCTCCTTGTCTAGGTGCGATTAGTGGTTGATAGAGGAGGCAGGCTTCGCGCACATAGATCCACACTAATCTAATCTCGAGCTTCTTCTCCCACCCATGCGATCTCTTCAAGGTGAAATACAGTAGTAACTCCTGAAAACTTACATATAGTCTACAAAACAAGCCGGTATCACAAATCTTCTTCCCCACGATCCCAAACCTCAATCTCGATCTCCCCTCCGCCTGGCCCATCAATCTTCATCCCCCGCAAAACTGCCTCAGTCCTCTCCCACTCAACCCCAAACCTACCCGAATTAATCCTACACATCCTCAGCCCTGCAATCATCTCGTCCCTCCCCCTCGCCAACTGCACCTGCACAAGCAAATCCCTCACCGCCGTCTCCGTATTCCTCAAAATCTCCTCCGGCGCATCTTTCTTTTTCCCATACGCGGCGCTGGTAAACAGACACGCAATCCAGTGTTTCGGGCCTGCATCGCTCTCACATGGTGGAATGAGGAGACAGGTACCTGTTTGCACGGGCGTCGAGAGACAGTGCGTGTGGTAGACTTCATAGGCATGAGGACAGAAAGTCTTGAAAGCGACCGCGATGCCGGCGCCCCAGCTGCCTTTTGTGTTGCAAGCGTGGATTAGAACGGTGTTGTCTGGTGCTGCGAGGAGAGGGTTTTTGTGGTTGGAGTGGGAGAAGGCGGCGCGGGATGGGGAGTTGAGGTTAATGATGCTGGCATTTTGGTAAACATGTGTCAGGAGGTCAAATTGAAGGGTTCTGCAATAGGGCATTAAATTGATATAAAAGCTAAGGTCTTAAGAGCTGAAAATCAGAGATTTATTCCCGGCGCATTTAGCGCTGTCACGTGCCCAAAATGGTCTTTCAGCAATATGATATCGATATAATTTCTATTTAGTTGGGTTTTAGTATAATAGAATAGTGTAAAGTCACTTCTAATCGTACATGTGGCTGTCGAATAACCTGTGCACCAGGCAGCAAATCCTAATATCATCCGCGCGCATTTAGGGCTGACATAGTGCTTGTTTGCTTGGCTCGACCGATCTGGATACGCCTACTCTAGATTTGGACTTTGCAGCATCAGGGGTTGCGTAAATGCCCCAAAGCTACGTGTGTTCCGTGGGCTCCCGCGGTGGCCTATCTAGTAAAAATGAATTAAATTCTTGCTAGATTATATAGACTAAGTATTGTAGACAGGCATAGCGCAGCGAGTAAAACACGTGCAAAAACAGGAACATAAAACAAGCAGTGCAAAGCGTACTGAAAGGGACAGATCGCAAGTAATAGCAAGAATCGAGTTATGTACAAAAAGAGTAGATTAGATAAGGGGAGAGTTGCCTACGACGCGCTAAGAGCCCTTTATGAAGACACATCACGTGATATAGGGAAACCCCTTCTTATGTAACTAAGCTACAAAAACACTAGGAAAAGCCTGCATTTGATTCAGGAGCGGATCAACGTACCACATTAGGCACGTGACTGAGTAACCTGAGCAGTGGGTGAGGCGAGGGCAGGCTTGGCAAAAATACTTTTGGTATCGATAAGGTATTGATACTGGATGGTATTACTTAGGTATCGCAAGGATCGATACATATTAATACCGAATCAATACTTAGCCTTAAATTATCTCTTCTATTTATTATTTAATTTGTATAATAATATATTTATATACAATTTCTTTATTTTCTAGTCTTTCTATTAAAGGAATTACTTAATATTATTAATAAAAGTTAATATTATCTTAATTTTAAAATGACCCTCGTATTCGGAGAATTTAGTATCGTATTCGTATCTCTTATCGGAACGCTTATTATAAGCGAGCCTTACGAAAATCTCAAAAGCTATTTTTTGCTTAAAATAGCTGCATTGAGACGAATTTTAGTCTAAACTATAAGATAAGTAGCTAAATAGAAAGCCTAAATTAAGTAGAACATTTGCGCTACCAAAAGTTTTCTTATAAGGGAAGTGGTTCTAAAGTTAATTGCAATTAAAGGGGGGAGTTGGGTTCCGGGAATTGATACTTTATCGATAGTATCGGTACCTTACAATTCTGGCATCGATACCTATCGATACCAGAAATTAGGTATTTCTGCCAAGCCTGGGCGAGGGTGAGTAGCGCCTGAGTAGAGCGGCGATGGTGACTAACCGCGTTAGAAGGAAGGGAGGTCTAGATTCGATGAGATTACCGTAGTAATAGTCGCTGACTTCTTGAAGCTGAAGGAGAGAGCACATTGTTAATTCTGATCGTTTCAACCTTTGGGCGAAGTTCAAGGTGAAGGAGGATGTGGAGACTCGAGACTGGTAGAGAAGCTTACATCGAGGCTTTGCTGAACTGCTTTCCGGCCCATGGCCTCAATCTGGGACAAGTATTTCACCTCCGTCATTGTGTGTCTTTGTTTTGCCTGTCGACGAACTCTGAGGTCGTCAGGTGTTGCGGGTCAAGTTCGGAAGGCGCGCGACACCAGTTGAATTCGCCTCGCATTAAAGTCTAGGAAGTGAATATCTGCAGCTGCTAGAGCAGGATGAAATTGCCAAGCAAGCAGAGAAGCAGCCTTTCGTGAGTTCCAGAACATTCAAGTCTACACTTTCAAATCGACAACCAGAGCATTTGCAATCCAGTGGACGTCCTACGTCTCTTCCCTCTGGCCTCCCCTTCTTTTAGTTCATGGCCGATCCTCCAGAAGCACTGCCCTCGACCCTTGACTTCACTTCGCAACGAAGTCAGCATTCGCTGTGAGCAAAACGTTCTGAAATCGTTTCAGAAGGCTTCGTGAGGTGAGGTGGGAGTGCGATTATGTTTCTGGTTCGATATCAAACCTCTGAACGGTGATGTGGTGGATAATTGAGACGAAACATGAATGGAATCCCCTTCTAAAGATACTGGTCTAGACCTCATTAACTCCTTCTGAGCCCCAAGGCGCCTACATCACCCAGTCGAAGTTCGCAACCTCATAGGCCATCCCTATACTGCAATACAAAAGCACCCCTGTCTTGGGAAGGAAGACAACCTTAATAACAGCAACCAGAAAAATAAACACCCAAGGCAAGGCTAAGTAGCAGGACATGCAATAGCCCATCTCAAAAACAACTCCAAGTCTGTTCCTGAGCAAGATCCACCCTGTCGATTCAACTCCAAACTACATACTCTACTTGAGAATAGACTTGAAAGCAAAGACGTCATTGGTATCGCAACCCAGTATGCCAAATTCATCTAGCGCACTGCATCTTCCCACGATTAGCTTCGATTTACTCGTAGTAAAACCACCCAAGAAATCGCCATTGCTAAAAATAAAACACTGCTTATCCGCAAATATCTGACAGAATTTGATCTCGGTCTTACTGGCTGTTGAGGCTGAAGCTGTTTTATGCTTAAAGACGTTGGAATTTGGTGATTTGCCGGAGGGAATCCCCCGCGCTGGGTCAATCGTGAGGGTGCCATGAACTTCCTGATAGTTTGTCACGGCCTGGATAAGCTGTGGAAGTGGAAATGTGTGGGTTTTGGTGTAAATATGTAAGAATGATGGTGCCCTAAAGGCGGTGAAGAAGCTATATGTACGCCTGTGCGCAGCACGTGACATAGTTCTTCTGTGTATAAAAGGCAACTCTACCAAGCAGTCTTTAGTTATGGCTTTTCGTGTGGGAATGAGAGGTCGAGAGAAGGGTGAAAAAGGAGTTGCGTACTCGTAGGGACCATTGTTGACTTTTCTCTCAGCGAGTGCCGGACTACCAAAGGCAGTTGCCAAGAGAAGTGGGAATAGGAGAGCAAAGAAATGCATGTTTGGAGTACTTTGAACAGTGTCGACGCCGGCCAGTGTGGAAAGTTAGACCTCGTGATATGCAATGAGGCTGTGTGATTGAAAGTATGCGGAACTTTGAGGACGGGATAAGACAGGTCGATGCCAACAAATGACGATTTCGAGGACAGAAGTGATAGATGGAAGTGTGATATACCGAGACTGGGATGTTGATGTTAAGAAATAGATCGGAAAAGGCAGACAAGAAAGTTGACTTGTTAAGATACAGTACTTCAAGAGGAAGAGAACGTGGCCTAAGCTGTTCTTCTCTACACCTCCTAAAACGATCAACGGTAGTACCGAGATATGAGACACAACCACAAGGACTTGTCCCAGAAGATTTCCGAAAAGGAAATATCTTTCGTATAAACGCAAGCGCACTGATGAGGACGTACAGTAAAAACTCGCTATAAGGATACTCAATATAAGGATATCCTCAACATAAGGATGCTACCTTAGGATCCCAATAAAATTAGCCCCGAGTTAAGGATATCCTTACTATAAGGATTATCCTTACGATTTTTTATCCCAACCTTGATTTTTTGGTGTTTTATCCTTATAATCGTGCACGTGATAGGCTAATTTACTGCTCTAATCAGGCCTTCAGGCTTTAGTAAAACCACATTCTAAGCGTTAATCTCACTGCTCCAGGGCCTTTACAGCCTATAACCCTCCCCTCCCCCCACCGATCCCATGGCTCCCAACAGCCTAAAAAGAGGCGTAGAGCGATGGCAGAGGCCAATCGACGTGCCGTACGGCGATGGAAGCAAGCAAATCCACCAGCGTAAGGTGCAGCAAGCTGTAATTGACGTATCTACAGGTAATTGGGGCATTATGAGGTGTTAGAATGGAGAGGTTCTGTATATATCTTCAAATCCTGGTGATGTTTCTATTTATATATCTATGCACGTGATCCTTGATATAAGGATACCTCGGTATATCCTTAAGAATTGGCGACAAAAACCCTATCCTTATAGCGAGTTTTTACTGTAATCTTACCTAGCCCGAACACCGTAGCTTGTACGAGAAGCGCGACTGATCATGTCCTTAGGTCAAGGATAATCTGGTCGTCTTTTTAGGAGCGCCCCAACTTCTAGTTAACTGAATTTCTGCGTGAGGAAAATCAAGCATAATCTTGGAAAGGGCTTAACACAGCGTGGTACGGAGACAGCGGCATAAAGTGACGGGAATACAGGGCATACATAATTCTAGGGCCTCTAATATGCCCTGTAGTGTCTCACTTGGCCCTGCAGCCACTGTAATTACACTGAGTCAAGGCCATAAGACCCCTGAAGGCTCACTGAAACCTCATGCAGCTCGATTAGGACGTTACATTAAGCCACAGCGTTCTATCCCTTCGTCCGGTGAGACATGTCCAGCGCTAGCAAGGGGGGTGTGGCTGCACGCAAGCCTCTTGAAGCGTAATAAAACGAGATGAGGCTTGCGTGCAGTCACACCCCCCTTGCTAGCGCTGGACATGTCTCACCGGACGAAGGGATAGGGCCTTAGCCCCTATATTTTTAGACGTACGTCCGTAATCGGTAGCGGGGTAAATTGAGCTTTTACCCCCCCATTAAGCTCTCCCACATCCTTTATTCTTCTTTACTCTCGCTTCAATTTATTATGGCTACTTTTGGAGGTCTTTTTGACTTCCCTGATTTATTAGATAGGCAATTAGAGCTCTCGTTACCCCCTGATTCGTCTGATAACGAGCATTCTGATAAGCATACTAAAGATAAAGATAATACGTGGTATAATTTACCTACTAATTCAGAAGACGAGGATAAAGACAATAATTCAAGCCCACCGCTTTTAGTACTTCCCATACGACCTATACCCTTAACTGAACTTGTTATTTCTACTACCATATGCAAAGAGCATTCTACTAGTACGAGAATTAAGGCAATCTATATGCTTAAGGACAGAAAGACTCCGGCTCAGATTAAAAAGGCTACAGGAGTACCCAAAATAACCGTTTATTAATTATATACTATTACTAGAGAGTATAGCTAGAGAGAGAATAAGGATATGCCCTTGGAAATAAGTCATGTTCTAAATATACTATAATCTGGAAGATCTCTAATTTCAATTAATATAATTAAGTATATTTTAAAGGTTATACTTTAGAACTCGACTATAAGAGGCTTTTCTTATACTATAATTACAAAGGAAATAAGAAAGTATAAATACGAAATTACTTCTAGAACTATCTAGAAAGCCCTTAAGTAAGCAGGCTATTCTTAGTATAAATTAATAGTAAAGCCTGGACTAAATAAGTTTAATAAAAAGAAGTAATTAGAATAGTATTTAGAGTAAGTATACTAGATATTAGAAGACTAGAAAATATAATTTTTATAGACGAGACTATAGTATAATTAGGAGGTATAAGAGGCAAGAGACATATATAGAGATTACCTAGAGAAATATATAATAAGTATTATATATAAAGAAAGTAAAAGGGCTTTTCTGAGTTTATATTTTAGGGAGCTTTTTCTTTTAATAAGAAGGGGCCTTGTTATATATGGGAAAAGGAGATTATAAAGAAAAAGAAAAAGTATAAAGCTAATCTTAATACGAGAAATTCATTTAATTAAGAAGGCTAATAAATAAAAGTAGAAGAAGAAATAAAGAAAGTAGCTAAGGAATTAGAAGAAGATCTATAGCCGGGTACTAGGAGGCATATAAAAGATATAGAAGTATAATAAGAAAACTAGGGCCTTTATTATAAAGAATAGACGAGAAGGAATTAATTAGTATTAATATTAAAAGAGAATATTAATTAAGAAGCTCTTGCCCTTTATAAAAGAGTACTAAAAGGATTACCCTAATATAATTATATAAGAGAATAATATACCGGCCTATAAGTCATATTACTAAGGGAAGATTTATAATCTATAAAAAATTATAAAGATACTTTGGCCAGGAAACTTACCTGATCTTAATATAATTAAGAAAATATAATTTTGAATAAAAAAGGAAACTATTAGGCAGGGGCCTATAAGTAATAGAAAAAAGCTCAGAGTAAGGTAAGAGAAATACTAGGCAAATCTTCCCCAAAGTAAGATTTAAGAGTGAATTATAGTAATTCCTGATTATATATAAGAGATAATTCGTTTGGAAGAGGGGAATAAGTATAAAAAAGATAGAAAGAAGAGCCAGGAAAAAATAGCTATATATTAGTATAGTTTAATACGAGATTAGGGCCGCTTCGCTAAAATTAAAGCCTGGCGGCCCTATATAAGCTCCGGGGCCAGTTTTTAATTTTGCCCTGATCTCGATTCGAGATTAATTAGATACTTCAGGTACTTATTTAAGGGATATTAGCTTTACTAACTTTAAATTTACTTTGAAAATTCACTTTTTAAAGGCTAAAAATTCTCTAGGTAAGCTAAATAAGGTAGGTTTTAATTTTGAATTCTAAAGCTTCTTTCTTTTAATAAATATATATATATATATATATAAGTTAATTCCTATATTTGCTACGGGCCTGCCCCTGGCCTATAATACTTCTTATGGTCCATAGAATATCTTCTTTACTATCTGCTACCGCCGCCGCTACTACTACTATTACTACTACTATGGCAGTAAGCTTTACTACTAGCCTGCCGCCACTGCCCGCCCCTTCCGCCCTGCCTGCCCTCCTGTCCCGCCCTATCCGTACTATGGCCTCTCTCTCTCTCCTCGCCGCCTGCCGTATACCTGTCTTATGGCCCGGCCGTACTATTAATTCCGCCTGGCCTACTAACCTGGAGGCTGAGCTTGGCTAATTTATTAGTTAAGTTTATACTACCGGATATATATATTATACTAGCGGGTCGGGTATATAGACGGTATATATAGTTATAGCTAGTTTTTTTAGTAGAAGCTATACTAACTATTATTATAGTAATAAGGGTACCTGCTACTTCTTCTATAAGTACTTTTATATAATATTTTACGGACTATAACTAATTTAATAGATGCTTCCAGGTATTACTATTACTACTATTACTACTATTACTACTACTACTACTATTACTACCGCCGCTACTACTACTACTACTTCTGCCGGCCCTGCCTCTACTAACTTTTCCTTACTTTTCCGGGTTATTACTAGTAGTTATATAAGTAACTAGGTTACTTCTAGTAACCTATCTTTATATATATATACCCGTTACGGATTACTATAAACCGTAACTAATATATAAATAGCCTATTATACTATTATTACCTGCTACTATTACTTACTTATTTCCTTTTAGAGAATATACTATTTTACTAAGCTCTATAGGGAGCTAGCGGCTCTTTATAAAAAGAAAGTAGAGATACTAGAGAAAGAGGAGGGAACGGATTATTTAGTACTAGTATTAGAGGATAGGGAAAAGTAAGGAAGAGAGAAAAAAGAAAAAGAGAAAGAGAGTTATAAATTCTATAAAGAATTATCTAGGAAAGATATATATTTTTAATACCTAATAGTATAGTATTCTCGGTCTATTTAAGCCCTAAAATATTTGAAATAATAATTATAAATTACTTATAGATAGATACGGATACTTATAGGTAGTTACGAATAGTTATAGACTCTCAAATCCCTTAACCTGACTTATAAGGCTACCTAGTATCTGTAAAATACCTATAAGAGATAAAGTACTAAAATAAATTAGCTAAAACCTTAGAATAAGTTATATTAAGTATTCTAGATAGGTTCTTATATAGTAAAAGGATACTT